CCAAGATTCTCAGGATGAGTGGCCCATTATCTTTTCGAAATAATAAAATTTGTTAAACGCACGTAATTAAATTAATCAATATCTTAATTCAAAATCAATTAGTAACGCGTTATTAGTCATAAATGAAATCAACGCATTGTGCTTTTTCACATACTCTAGAATGAACGAGGTTAAAAAAAACAAGTTAAAAAGGAAAAGTATGACGCTGTTAAAGTATCACTGTTCCATCCCTTTTTTGAATCAAATTTAAAGATATACTGCATAGACAATTAGGCCTTTTTATGTTCTTGACCCATAAACCAAATATGACATATTGCAATGCTAAGAGAGGTAACAGAGAGGAAGTTTTAGTAAACAATGCTGATGAATGTGGTATCAAATGACGATAATAATAATAATAATAATAATAATAGTAATAATCAATTTATTTACAGTAGGCGGGTATAATATAGCTGTTTATGTACAATTTGTGTATAAGCTAATTTAGGCCCACTCTACAAAGATTTAGAATAAAAAGCAATTAAGAATGAATAATTAATAATTACATATATAAAACAATTAGTTAATTAATGAAAGAAATGAAATTGAAGATCAAAAAAAGATTAAATTTTGCAATGCGCTTACAGTTAAAAGATGTTTTATATTTTCACACCAAGACAACTCTTTTTACGAAGCTTATCAACGTGGTATCAAATGAATAGGGTAAAGTGAAAACGATAGCTTTCGATAAAATTAGTGGTTTTATTCCTATTCTAAGAAAGTAAGTGGTTGGGTGCCACTACCAACAAAAACTAAACACAAAGCACGCGTCAATAATATTAAGAAACAAGTTACAGTTTTTGTTGGAAGGGCTAACTTTTAAATTGAATTGGCAGAGGTGGCCGGAAGAACTTGTTCTCGAAATGGTTCCGTGATGTTAGCGGTTCAAAAAATGAGGCAGAGATGGAAATATATTTTCTGCGTATTTTATCTTTTTCATGTAGTTATATTTTTTTATTTTCAAACATGCTTGAGTTATGAATTTAACATTCGTAGGTTAGTTGTTCTAAATTATAGACTCCAGATAGGATAAACCCTTGAGGCCCGAGTCAGCTTTACATAAGGGTAAGCATAGTTAATCCTTCAATCTTCTTGTCGATTGGTACGTTTTTATATTAAGTAGATTCGAGAAATAAGCTGGAGAACAGCCCCTGATAAATTAAAAAACATTAGGAATCATACATTTTTACAAATCTTTCTTTTATAGGAAGTCAATTGATTTTCGGAAACCGATTTTGATTCTGTGGTTTTTTACTTATGCTTGCAAGAAGTACAGCAATTTTGCTTAATCAAACATTGTAGCTTTAAACATTGGAAAGGCTATTGAAAAAAATTTATACTGGAGGATGGCTAAAAAGTAGAATTAATATTTAAGTTAGAGGAAAATTTGACAAAAGCCATAATTTTTTTAAACTTGCAAGGTCGTCCATAGTTTAAAAAAAAAATGTCTATAGTTTCGGTAACTATTATTTGAATACATAGACAAAGAATTATCTTCTGTAGAAACACAAAAAGAATAAGACAATGGATCTTACTGTTTATTAAATGTCTACTTTGAAAACTGACTAGAGGGACACCAACAGAATGTGTTTCTAGGTCTAAGTGGATTTAGGCCTATAACAAACAACAAGTAATCATGAAATTGATATTGACTTGATATGCAATATCTTTGTGGGAATCAAAATCACAAGAGAATAGCGGATTTATATGATAACCCCTGTATCATTGTCTTACAATCTTTAATTTTATTATCGCTTGTTGCAGCGGCAGGTAAAATAAAATAATAAAAGAGCCGATTCAAATGCTTCACACCTGATGCTCCCAAGAAAGTTCTTCCATTAATGTTACTATTGTAAAAGATCGCAGAGTCCAAAATGATTGTCCATGTATACGATCCTTGACAATGTTAAGCCTTTCTATAAAAACAATGTTATCGAGGCTCGGTTTGTCAAAATTTATGAACAACTTACCAACATTACATACCAAGGCCTCAGGCAAAAAAATGGGAAGAAAAACCAATGTGTGTTAGCGTAACTACTCTCCTGTTAACAAAACAGAACAGATTTTTTCAACTTATAAACCATGCTATTAAAAATGTCTTGCAAAACCGTTATTTAGTGAACTCTGAAACAATGTATAGTATGCGGTCATAGAAGATTCAATGATTAAATAAAAATAGCTTTAAGAACACTTGAGCCTCAAATTATCCAAAAACAAGAACATTATAATTAGAAGGAACATCTTGCTAAAGAAAAAGTTTAGCACGCTTACCCTATCCTCCTGGCGGTATAGAGCCTAAAGAAAGCAGAATTTTCCATTTTGATTACTCTAGTGTCTCTAAAAGGAGGGGGGGAGGTAATAGAAGTGGGTGTTCATTCCAGCCAATTTTCAATAGAAGGGGGTGCTAACAGAAGGGGGTGTTCATGTTGGCCAGTTTTCAATAGAAGGGGTTGCTAATAGAAGGGGGTGTTCAGGTTGGCAAATTTTCAATAAAATGTCAGCAAATTTCGATAGGAAAGGGGAGCTAATAGAAGGAGTGGATATTGGTAAATCTTTTAATTAAAAGTCAATGGAATTAGTAGGATGGTGACACACTGGTTATTTGATAATGGATAGATGGTTAGAGATAAAGATATACAAACATAACAAGGGGAATTATGACAATTAGAAAATAACTACATAACATAACAAGGGGAATTATTGACAAGTGAAAATTGCGTGTTCTGGTCATGATAGGTTTATAAAATTTAATAGAAGGGGGTGCTAATAAGCGACGGGGAGAGGGCAAATTCTTCCGAGATTAATACACGGGGGCCCATCTATTAGAGACACTAGAGTACTAGTGTACTAAAATATGAACTTGTCAGTTTTGTCGTTATGTTTTGGTGACCTCCTTATACTCGTCTTTGTTGATGTGAGTGACAAAAAGCTTCACTGCAGGTGTTGAAGACATATTCTACCGAATTCTAGAATTAGTTTTGATGTAAAGTATTATGTAATTTTAAGAAAAAGCACAGATAAATAATTAAATTTTAACACAAAATAAATATTGATGAAGCAGTCTATCAGAATTTTCCTTATCTGTATGATATTTTGAAATTACTTGAAAAACAACTTTTCCGCGCATCTGAGGCCATAAATTGAATTTTGTGAACAATTTTTTTGGCGGTACGAAATTTGGAAATGGCTCCTCGGAGTGTAAAATGTCAGAATAAGGGTTCAAAAGAGCAAGAAGTAAAATATATACCCAGTTGTGGGTCAAAATAGGCCAATCAGAAAACTCAAAAAGGCAGGAAGAAGCTTGATTGCCTCTGTACCTCGGGGAATCGGGGAATTTCGTCTGACTTTTTGGTTCCTGTAACATTTTCAGACAAATGGTATAATGCCTGGCAACCAGTCCTGCCAATCATCAAAATATGCAGTTTTACCCAAACTTCTCAACTAGACTCTAAAGCCTAGTGTACAAAGGAAAGAAATATAGGGAACAACGATTTTATAATATATTTAGAATCTGTCAGGAAAAATGATGTAGATGCTCCCTCATAAAAGTAAATTTTAAATGACACATACGAGGGTCCTCGAATATAGAGTGAAAACTTAATTGATTATTATCAAGCAGCACACGCTTTATTATAAGAATACATATTATAAGAACATACAGGCTATATTGGCCAAAAAGAACACGGCCTTAGTTGTAAAACTAGAAGGAAAACATCTTAAAGGCATTGAGTCGTGGTAAATAGGTCTTCTCTATAGGGGGTCATTTGGTTTCGGCGTGATCGCTACTGTTTCATGTGATATTGGCATCCGTTGTTGACAACTTGCTATTGATGAAAGTTGTTTTGTCAATCAGTACGAGGTGAGTTCATGTGACCAGTTCAAGGTCAACCAATAGCATCGCAGTCATGAAAATCATGACTCCGCGGATTTTGGCACTTAGGGTATACCCAATCCATTTTATCATGACTCAATGCCTTTAAGTTTTTATTCATTTGAATGTGTTTTCATAATTCAACTAAACAAACTCAGCGTATTAAATCCACTAGTCAACTTTTTGTATGTCAGGCAAAACTTTTGTGTAGCGGTTTTAGAAAAACAATTTATAGTATGTAATTGCAGGAAAATTAATGCCGAAGTAAGAACAATATCAGGAAAACGAGAGCCTCAAAATTCCTATGTAATAAGAACATCGAGACTGGGCAAAATTTATCTGGTTCTTTTAAAAAGCGATTGTAGTGGTGTTAATTTTGTATTGTTTGTTAGAGTGAGATTTTGTAAGAATTGAGTGTTTCGTGTCAAGGACTGGGTAGCTTTCCCCGGAACATAGTCTATACTCCGAAGGAGCATCTATACATCATCAAAGGCCTCAATCTGTTATCGTCCTAACCTCCTAACCTCTTCGCCCAATCTCGCCACAGAGGTTTCGCTGAAGTTTGGCTTTGTTTTGATCCACACCACTGACGTTTTCAAACGAGGAAAGATTTCCTGAACGACAGAATCATATACCAAAATCACAATAAGAGGTCTGTGGTGAACCCTTTCCGGAAAACTTTGTTATTACCTTCTGGAAATCATAATTGCTCAATAACCATAAATGGCAGTTATTGTTGATACATTACAGGTGACAAATACCATGTGAATGACGGTTAACTTAGGCTTCGCATCAGCCTTTAGACAAAACCGTTGATAATAGTAAAGAAAATATCCAGTTTTACGGATATTTCACTTGATGTTGGCTAACTTTAATGTTGAATAAAGCCCTTGATCAATAATGATAATTATTTGCCAAATATAAAGTCCACGAAACTGAGATAGAAGTTTTCTGAGTCATTCTTTTAAAATGCTATTAGGAGGGCGCTTCCGTGACGTCAGAATCTTATGGGTGTATCAGCGAAAACAATAGGCACCTTACTCACAAAATTTGAATCCCATTGGTAGATTCAAGTCACGTGGCCCGTCAGACGCTGACTGTGAGTACGAAAACTAACTGTTGAAGTATTCATTGGAAATCTCAAAAGAAGCGATTGTGAGAAAATCGGAATAGAAGAAAAATGATGGAAAAAGTTTCATGATATCTTCTATTCCTTGAAGTTGGAATAAAACTATATTTTATCGAACGGTGCTCCCACTTTGTCGTGAAATCTGCTGGTCGGAGACAGAACAATCTTACCTTTTCGTGTAATTGTTAGGCCAGCTCTGAGAAATGGCGGAAAGAACAAATCAGTCAAAATATATAGTCCTGTTATTTGGTTTAATAGCAAGCAGCTTTATCAACGGATTAGACGTAAATGTCAGAGAAGATGCTACGGTTGGAAGTACTTTACTTTCTTCGTTTCCAGCCCCAGATTCGGGTTTCGTTTACTCTGTTTTTGGCGACGGTGATCAACTCGCATCCAGTTTGTTTGGTGTCTCGCCAAGTGGGAAAATAACCGTGCGAAAGAAATTGAATTATGTGAACGGTGGAAGGAACAAGTACGAACTTATTGCAGTCAGACGAAAAGATGGTACGACAATCGGCGGGAAAGCAGAAGTTGCTCGCATCAGTGTTATCGATGTTAACGATCATGTACCTGTATTTAAAAAGAGCGACTATCAAGGACATATTTACGAGGGTTCTGCCGCCGGTTCCGTGGTAAGAGGACTTGAGGACTGTTTTGCCACCGATCAAGACAGTTCTGGTGTGTCGAAGTATCTTATTACCAGTGGAAATGATGCTAATCTATTTGCTGCCAAAGTTAAGGATATTTCTGGTTTGAAGTTGCTGCAAATCGTAACAACTCGCTCCCTTGATCGCGAGGCTCTAGGGAACACGCCTATCAGCCTTCAAGTCCAAGCTGTTGATGGAGGAAATCCTGAGAAGAAAAGTGCGATTGCCACTATCCGTATTAAGGTTTTAGACAGAAACGACAATGGCCCAGTATTCGATGAGACAAATTGGAGGGCGACAATCCAAGAAAACTCTCCCGTCATGACTTCTGTTGTAAAAGTGAAAGCCTCTGACAATGACGAAGGATCAAATAAACAGCTTTACTATTATTTCTCAACAGAGCAGGACGACTTTGTAATTGACCCTTACACAGGCGTTATTTATGTTGCAGCACCTCTTAGTTACAACAAGAAAAACTCTTATAACATTAAAGTTAGTGTTACTGATAGAGCTGTGCAAGACCCGAAAACAAGTACAAGTGAAGTTCATATTTCTCTTGTACAGGCCAGTAACTATCCGCCGGCGTCTGTGACTAATACTGCACCCCAATTTGCAACCTCACTGTATGAAATCAAAGTGCGTGGGGACTTGCCTCTAAAAGCATTTGTCCTCCTCCCTAGAGCAACTGATTCTGATGGCATTGGAAACAGTAATGGCCGTCTGTCATTTTCATTATCTCCAGTCTCAACTACCAACCCATTTACAGTAAACCCTAGAAGTGGGGCCATCACCGTAAACAAAAAGCTACCTGCTACTCCAACAACAGTAGAATTTACTGTTACTGCTCAAGATGGCGGTGCTTTGAAGGCTGACACTACTGTGAGGATTGAAATTCGTGCAATCAACCAGAACAAGGGGCCACCTGAATTCAAGGAAAGCACTGTTAATGTTGATTTTGTTGGAGATGCAGACAAACCTGTGTTTACAGCTGCAGCAGTAGACAGTGATAACACCGCATATTCAATTGTTGAGGGAACTGGTCTGGGTCGATTCCAAATCAATGAAAATACAGGAGTTGTCACATCAAAAGGTGCATTCAAATCTTTAGCAACTTATGATCTGTACATTGAAGCCAAGGACAAAAATGAATTTCCAATGAGCTCCATGATGTACGCTAGAGTAAACATAAAATCATCCAATCATTCTAACCCTGTGTTCACAAAAGCCATGTACACTGGAAATATTGATGAGGGGGAGATGTCTGGTAGCTTTGTTACTGCAGTGCATGCTGAATTCCCAGACCCAACAAAAGTTGTAAAGTACAAGGTCACTAATACTGCCATTGGAGTTGGACTAATGCTAGACCCAAACACTGGCATTGTAACCACAGACCGTATACTTGATTATGAGCTAGATCAGAAGAAATCACTTGAAATTCAGGCCTATGTTGAAGGCTCGGCTGCAACAGCCTCAACACTTGTTGAAGTCTACATCCAAAACAAGAATGATGAGGACCCTTACTTCCCAAGGTCAAACATAAACATGCAAGTACCAGAAAATCTTGGGTTCATACCCAACTTGGTATGTTTATTTGCTATTGATGGTGATGGATCAGAAACACTATCATACTCCATAAAGCAGGGCAATACTGGTGATGTTTTCAGGATTGATCCCAAAACAGGTATGATGATTTCATAGCAAATTTTCTTTCTAACTACTTTCTAACTATTTGCATCACTTACGCCAAGGATTTACTCAACAGGCTTATGATTTCTTTTTAGAAAAGTGTTGATTGCCTTAAGTCATGACCTTTTGGCAAATAGGCTTATGTTCAATCCATCTTAGGTGTAATGACCCAAAGGCAATTTAGCTAGACTTTCTAATCTTGGTTGAGGATCTAGACGTTATATGATAGGAATGCATCCAAGCCATCCTGTTTCCTCTTAAAGCAATGATATATTGTCTGAAATCATTCTTGCTTGTGCCGTCTGAAAGTAAAGACAAGCCCAGACTAAGAGAAAGCTTTTCCTGTTACTCATTATTTTATAATTTTCTTCATTATGATTTCTTCATTTTCGTCACTAGATGCACAGAACTGACTCTTATATGAGCACATAAAAAGTTTTTATTTACTTCACACTGCACTTGCTTTAAATACATAAGATATTGGATTGCTGATTGGAATCCTCACATTTTATCTTGTTTGCTTGCCTTTGACGAATCTGTCTTATCTGAAGCTCTGTGGGAAGGTAAACACTCAAGCATATGTGTATACCTAGATGGACAAATAAACTTGTTAATGTTTAGACAAATGAGGTGTGTCTATTTAGTAACCTGCTACTGGCATTAGTCTACTGTGAAACATTCCAGAGAAGATTAGCAACAGGAGTCTGCCCAGTTGAGTGGGCAATATGAATTTCTGTTTCTTGATTTTGTTGTTGTTTATCCATGTTTTTGAGTTTTTGAAAATATAAAAGAAGAAGTCATCATAGTTATTTTCAGTGGGTGCTTTTGAAAACACACTTTTAGGTTTTCTGTACCTCTTTAGCTGTCGCAAACTCTCTTCCTCATTAGCATTCAGAAAAAAATGGATGTTTTGATTTTTAGAAAAGTATTGGCCTAAACTTAAACAATAAATTTGATAGCCTTAATGGAAAGGGAGAGCAGTCTCCTGCCAATAATTGGGACTCTACAGAAGTTTTGTAATCTTAAATTAATATTTGTGTAGAAGATAGTTTCCACTGGCAAAAACCCCTAGATTCTTTGCCCATTTGATGAAAAATATTGATTTGTGAGTGTTCCCTTAGAAAATTAAGTTAAAAGGTTGGACCAATATGTTTTGACTGCTTCTCTTCTTTTGTCCAATTGCCTTGCACTGCCCCTCTATGTGGTCTAACTCATAAGCTAATGTTTTGTAAACAATAAACCTTACTGTTAAATTCAGTGTTTAACAATAATATATCAATTAGTGTTTTGTTATATTACAGTGCAGTGCTTCCAAATTTAAGTTAAGCTTTCCTTGAAGTAACTTTTGAATGGTTTTGTTGCAAAATTACAGAAAAAATTTCATAAAAGATGTGTCGTTTATGATTGGCAGAGTTTTTCCTGTGACAGAGGAAATGGGTAAAAGTAATGTAATGTGCCCACAGAAGTTTCATCCATTCGGAAATTTCCCAGTGAATATAAAATTCACCACAACTTAGATTATGTTATTGTTACTGTTAGCCACAGTTATCTGCTTTTCTAAAACTTATTGTTCACATAGACCTGTGTTGTTTTTGTATTTTCAAAGCTACTAGCTGAAAAATCTTCCAGCACCTGTTTTTCATAAAATCATTGAAATGGTTCGCGTGAATTTATTCATTCGACTCAAAGCAAATCAAAGAAGTTGTGTACTGCTCTCTATACAAACAATGGCTTTTTCATTTATTTTGTCATGCAAGAGTTTTTTACCAGCTTTGTTCAATTTTTTATTTAGCACAATGTCATTGTTTCTTTATGCGGTTGTTCACCCTGTGCCGCTGTGGATTTAGTCCTGCCTTGATCAGTCCAAATGGTCTGAGCTGAAAACTAGCAAGGAACAAGCACATAAAGTTTATTTAAACTTGGTTGGTTCAGAAAAAAAAGTCAACAAGAAACAGACTTTTCAAGCTTTTTCTGTATGATGTAACTAGTAAAAAATGTTAACCCTCATGCACAAAATGTTTTCTATGTTATCTATATGGGTAAGGAAACTTGGTGTATAAGTTGATTTACAGCTTCCAGTACAAAGTTTTATCTTGTTCTTACTCCTTTTTTGTAAGTTGAAAACTAATTTCCTTGAGAAAGTGGTAAACACATGCCTCCCACAAAATTCATAACAGTTGTTAAAAGATAGTTATCAAGAAAGCACTGGACACCACAGTTATCATTTTTTTGTTTGGTTAAAATCAAGATGTTTGTTACAGTCCGAGCAAATGGGCAAAGTTGCCAAATTCTGTTGGATCCATTATATAGGTCATGGCGTAATTCAGAGCCAATATTTGGTTACCCAAACTTCAATCAATCTGCCAGTATGTATAGATTTAGTTTTATTGGTGGTTTTGTAAGGAAAGAGTTAACAAGTCCGGTCTTGTTGGTCAAGTGTATGTGTAGAGATGGGGATCAGGGAGACCTTAAATGAAAAAGGCCACAGTGTTTTGGTGGAGTTTGGGCAGGGTATTTGAAATTCATTTCATTCGCTGAATATTCCTGTCTATAATCACAGTATTGCTAATTTGCAGAATAACCCACAACAGGACAGAATCAATTACAATATAATCACCCTTCTTTACTTCAATGAAATCTGCAACCCCTATAGTTGATATTCATGGCTCATTTATTGTACGCTTATATAAATGTATCTCCACATTGAAACCATGTAGTCTAGGAATACTAGAAATGTATTATTAATGTCATTGCTTCTTCTTTATTATCCACAATTAAAATGGATGCTTTGCATAATTTATTGAACCATTCAAAAGCCCAGTCAAGCACATTTATTACAAAGAACATGCTTCTTATTCATGCTTTGTATGGGCAAATCACAGATATTGAATTTAAGCTTAGTCTAGTTTTTGTGTTTAGATGTTTAATCCCAAACACTGTTTTCCATCAAAGATTTTTTCTGCTTGAATTGATTGTTTATTATGTAGATCAATCTATCTTGGCAGCTCCAGCTATCACTAGGAAAGGTTTTAGGTCAAACAGACAACATATTTGCGCTTTTATTGTCTTGAAGCAAGAAGATGATCCAAAACTTGAATGCCTTCATCATTTTTTTTTTAATTTTGATTTATGACAGCAGCACTCTGATTTTCTTCATTTTTTCCTGATTTAGGCTTGAGTCCATGTAATTGAGACCATGTCCCTGCTGATGGCCATGCTACAAAACTATATTTCACTACATTCTTCCATTACATTCCAAAGCTCAATTACTTGTAAAATAAAGTCCCAAAATCTATTTAATGTTTTCTAAGGAAAATATTTAAATTATAAAAGGAGTATAATGCATTGAATCACAATGTAGAAAACTTGAGTTTTTCAAGTTTACCCTTGCTTTATCTAGTGGTTAGAACCTTTAAATGTTACTCTTTTCTTTAGAACTTATGAAAAACTCTGTTTGTCTACAACAGGTCAGCTTTCTGTGAAAAATCTTGACTATGAAGCACAGTCCTCATACACTCTGTTGGTTGAGGCAACTGATGGAAAGAAGAGCACTACAGCGACTGTCAAAGTGAGTGTTGTGGATGACAACTTGAATCCAGAGCCTCCCCACTTTGGTTCATATAAAGATGTCGTTACAATTAGGGAAGGCTCAACATCTACCGTTCAAGATTTGCCAGTGTCCGGAGCTGCAAGCTCCTTCACATGTGTTTTTGGTTATGATGTCACTCCAGATATTTTGAACAAGTTTATGATCAGAACCCAAAGCACTAGCTGCCTTGTGGAGACAACTGGGAATATTAAATGGACAAAAGCAGCTCCATCATACAAGTTCACGATTAGAGTGATCAGCAAATCAAATGCAATGCAGTCAACCTCTGCTGAATTAACAGTGAAAATACAGGATATTAATGATCATGCGCCAGTTTTGTCTCAGACTTCTTACGCAGCTTCCCTCTATACGTCTGCTCCAGTTGGCACCTCTGTGCTCAAAGTCTCTGCGACTGATGAGGATGATGGACCAAATGGAGCAATTTCTTATGCCTTCTTAGCTAGTGATGATGCAAACAGGTAAATAGTGTTTAACTTATTTTGTTCAATTAGTTCTTGCTCTTGTATAAGTTACTGTATATCCTTGAATGGGTTCTTTAGGGGCATGTTTAGTTGCGACAATATAGATAGGGACTAATTTGTAGTGGGTAAACAGTTTATAAACATTATCTGAAATTTTTCATACAACAAGACAAGGAATCATTTGGAAATTCATGTTGATCACAAGATATGTGACAATGCTTCATTTATAAAAACGCAAAAAGCTGGAATGCTAGAATTGGACTACGTAATAAGAAAACAACAACTGCATCTCCATTTTAGCGCAGTTACCCTTCCTAAGTACAGTATATGGGTAACACTGAATGTTCATTTCTATAATGTGTGAAGGTGCTCTACTTGATTCCATATCTTTCAAACTGTCTGGGTATGCTTTTCATGATACTGTTTATTTCAGCATGTTTTCCAGTTATGTTCATTTTTACGTTATTCCTAAAACCCTTTGCAGTTTCAACATTGATTCAGTTACTGGAGTTGTCAAGATACAGAAAGCACTGCAGGCTGGCAAAGAATACAAAATGACAGTGAGGGCAATGGATAAAGGTACACCTTTACTAAGATGCTCTTTTTGTCTGTATTTTTCTTTCTTTGTTTTCTTAAAATTTGAATTATAGAGGTTCTTCCTTGGACAGTTTGTCAAGAAGTTTTAGAAATAGAGTTCTAAAATTGTTTTAGTCTCACAACCGATTTTCCAGAATTCTTGAATGTGGATTGTATAATCTAAATTTGCAAAATTGCCTAGATTTGTTCCAGACTGCCTGAGATATGACTAGTGAGCACAGACGGTTATGAACCCAGTTAATATAAAAATGAACCGTTAGCATACTTTCATTCTTCCATTTGCCATATCTCACCCAATCATAAAATTTTTTAGCTAATGCGGAAATGCGGAAGTAACAAATTATCTGACAGTACTGGAGTCATTTGATCAAACCGAATGTTTAGTTGTTATTTAGGGAGCTCCTTTGCTGCTGGAATCATATTGTGAATATTAAAAGTATATGTTTCATTTCCAAAGGAATTGTATTATTTATTATCAATGTAAATTTTCTATGAAGGATCTACCCCGAAACATACAGATGCTATGGTGACTATCGGTGTTCATGCTGATGGCACTGTGATGCCAACATTCGACAGCTTAGCAGACCAACAGTTTGCTTTGGAAGGAGTTTCTAGTGGTATTGTAACCAGTGCAAAAGTGACACTCGCTGGTGCAAATATCGAATATAACATTGTTGGTGGGAATAAAGACAACGAATTTGCAATTGACAACTCTGGTACAATCTATGTGAATTCGAAAGTTCTTGATCGTGAGAAGGTGCCAGAGTATAACTTGGTCGTCAGAGCTGCTAAACAGGGTGTTACACCTATTTTGGTTGTCGAGAAAACTATTCGCATTTCCATCAAGGACGTTAACGATAATGAACCAGAGTTTAATGTGAGAGGATCACCAGAAGTTACAATCCAAACAAATGCACCTATAGGCACCGTCGTAAGCATGGTAGGTCTTGAACAATGTTTTTATCAACATACCTTCAAGTTGAAGTAGATAATTCAAGTACTTAGGTGGAATTGAAAGTGGAAATTATGTGTAAGAGAAAATAAGCTCCTGGGTCTAACATACTACAGAACTTGAGGATGGCAAAGATGAACACGATGAAAGGCATTATCACGTCTCCACTTTTCTGAGTAAACTAACTTTTGATTTGAAACCTCAGAAATTGTTGACTACTGGCACAAGGAAATAATGAAATAGCTGTTTTATCAGATTTTCCACAAGGCGTAGGTCGTTGGGTAACAATTTGTAACAAGAAATCGAACCAAAGGTTCCAAACTCCAGGTTGTCTTGTGAAGTATTATAAGATCCCCTACACAACAGTATTATACAATATCAACATCTTCGTATATGCCTTATGCATATTTGTAAGTTTTCTGCATGGTCGTATATTATGCTTCTACCTTAACCATCTATGTTTTTTCAGTTCCGTGCATTCGATAAAGATTTTGGTGATAATGCAAAACTGAGTTACGTCACTGAACCTGCTCCTGGTGGTGATTCTAGTGTGCCGTTTAACGCTGGTATCCACACTGGTATTATAACAACTAGCCAAGTGATAACGTAAGTTTCAGAGCTCTCTTTGTAACGGGGTCTCTTAGAACCTGTTTCCATTTTCTTGTTGTGTAGCATCTTATTGCATATTGTCTGATGTTCCAATTGGCAAAGAAATGTAAAATTGCCCCCTTGGATTTATCTTCTTCTACAAGACCAGTTTGGACTCATAAGTTTTTATAATATCAGCACTTATGCTACAACATACCAGCAGTGGCGTCAAATTATTTTTGGGGAGGGACAAGCCTATTTTTGATAAGATGACGTCACATTGTATTTAAAGCTATCCTTTGCTATTGACTATTGACTGCATTATCCTATTGACTTTTGTCGTCTAAAATATTAGGAGGGTGACTGTCCCCGTCGTCCCCCCCCCCAGGTATGCGCGACTGCATGGCAATCAGAAACAGTTATTATAGGAGCATCTAGCATCTACGACCAACCCCTTCAGCATTGTTTCAGGGTTTTTTAACATTTTTATATTTTTCTTTAATAGAGCAAAGCGTACATATAACATCATTCTGAGAGCCACCGACAATGGACCAACAAAGAAGTCGAAGACGTTGAGCATCAAAGTGAACATGGTAGATGGAAGCACGCTTCCTTCATTCCAAGACACGCAATATAAAATCTCATTGAAGGACAACAATAAGGCAGGGAAGCGTGTTGGAGAGGTTTCTGTTAAGGACTTCGCTCTTGGTGACTTCATCCAATACGAAATCGTTTCAGGAAACGAAAACAACTTTTTCTGCATAGATTATAACAGAAAAGTTTATCTGCAAAAACCATTGGATCTAGACACCATGACAACCCAAACTACTGACATGACAGTAACGTTGAAGTTCAAGAACAGTGTGTCGTCTTCACAGCTATTTATATATTCAACAAAGGAGAACGACAATGTTCCAGTTTTCGAGGGAGGCTCTGCTAATGTTGTCAAGGTGATCCCAGAAAAAGAAGGTGCGTTGGCCTTTTTCTTCATCTCTTAGGTTTTATAGTTATCTAGAAATTATCAAACTAAGCCAAGACAGGGGCGGCGTGGGGTGGTATTAAAGGTATTAGTCTAATACCTTTTTATTTTCAAAGGAAGGCGACTTATGGTCTCTGAGATTGCAGGAAATTTATTTTGCTTTTTGTACGCTGCCACTTTTTCACAACAATTTTATCGATGCGACCAGCTCTATTCATATAGCCAAGCTATATTTGCTTTTCTGTTCGTTGAATAAAAGCTTTCCTAATCCTTATTGAAATCTTTGAAAAGTGTTATCAATGCCGTAATCAGCAGCCCTGGCCATGGTATTAGCCTCCAAAAACTAGTACACTGCCCCGAAATTTCTTTTGTCTGTTGTGGTCTGCATGACGTGAATTTCTCTTGTTGAGCCATGGTCGAAGAATGGGTGAACAGCAGTAAGGTATTAGTTTTTCATTTCTAATACTACGAGGGCCACTGTCAGTGGAAGGGACGGTGGAAAGAGCCCCAGCTCTATTCTATAAGGCCTCAGCTTATAGAAAAAATATTTCTGGAAATTAACTTTATGAATTTACAAAATGTAGCTGTACTTTTGCTAGCAATGCCTTTGGATGGATAATTTGATTGACAAAATTTAGACACTGAATATAAAGAGCAACAGTCATGAAATAATTTGTTTAAGCTAAAGGCAGTTGTAAAAGTTGTTTTGTATGAACTGTATGTTTTGTAAAACTTTGATTCTATATGACCGTAGAGTCACAGGCAACATTCTCACATTATTTCTCTCGGTTTCTCAAATCAAATAATACATCTTACGTTTTTTTGCTGCATTACTCTAAAGTAAATCGCTCGCTTTATCGTAATAGAATCTCATTCGCGGGCCAAAAGCCTCATGGTATTAGAATTAATGGGCTAATACCTTGGGGCTCCATTACTGGGCAGCAAACCGCTGTATCAAAACACGATTTTGCTCGAGTAATTTGCCGCAGCCATAATTCATTTGTATTTCGTAGGACCGATCCTTCACCCAAAACTAGTAGGATGAACTACATTACCACAGGGTCATCAGTGTTTTGGGGGAGACAACAGGGGCCAGTGCCTTCAAATAATTTTGTAAGATATGGTATTGCCAAAAGCTATTTTAAACCATCATATAGAAAAGGTCATTTTGCCCACCTTCTTAAATATGAACATATAAGCTCCACCCCTGTTAAATAGTTTCAGGACTTTGCGGAGGGACCTTCTTATGTCTTAATTTCGGAGGCTAATACCAATACTTTTCTACTCCCAGCCGCCCCTGAGCCAAGATAAGGATGCTGCTTTCTTGTTTTATTAATATTCTTTTGCATTATGACATCACAATTTGTTTTCATGGTTTCAGTTCCCTATGAACTACTGTATTTGTTTCATTTAGGCCTCCGGACAATTTTGAAATCCTTGGTGTCATCTCTTTGAAATACATTGAAAGTTATTGCGCGAAACTGACTTTTATATATAGATTTTCTAAATTAATTATTTTCTAAGTAAGTCTAAATTTGTAGCAATGTTATTTTAGTTTAGCTAAATTTGTAGCAATGTTATTTATTGAACTTCACACAACCCAAAAGACTTTTAACCAAATAACTTTAACCTCATTACTTTCACATATAAATATATATGTATGTCAAGTGTGTAATTAATTATTATTTTATAGTTCCAACAAAAGGATTGCTGGTATATCAGTTTAAAGCCACAGACCCAGACGATCCTAAAACTGATAACATCGAATATAGTTTCAAGCAGTTCGGAAACAGTGCAAGCAAGGCCTATTTTGGAATCGACTCGGTAAATGGCAAAGTGACATTAAAGAAACGTTTGGATTTTGAAACACTCGACAAGCATATCCTCACAGTTATGGCAAAGGAACAAGCTTCTACAGGATATGGTAAGTCGGTCTTGTTCGTTAGACAGTTTCTGAGCAGCAAGGATGTTGTATCGATTATAGCTCCTTGTTCTCATCCATCTGTTTTAGTGTTTTCATTTATTTTAAAAGTTGTGCTGCAGTACATATGATAGATTTTTCCATGCAGGGGGAAATCAGATATTTCACAGTCTAAGACAATATTTATTTTGCGATGTTTTTGAAATGACAAAGTCACCTTTCAAGAAAGATAAACGAAATTCGCTTATGCAAAAAATAAAATCTCTAGCAATAACAATGAATTTTAATAACATTTGTTCTGTTTTTATTTAATATCTAGTTATATAATGATCTTATAGATATTCAAATTGTTATCTCTATTCCTGCAGCGTTGAAAAATCTGATTGTTAAAGTGACAGATCTCAATGACGAGGCACCAGTATTCAGTGTGACGGGGGGTCGCTACTACATTCCAAAAGATGAGAAAAAAGGTGCACGAGTTTTACAGCTGCACGCTTCTGACCTGGACAGTGGAACCAATGGTGAAATCACATATGCCCTTGCCAATGATAAGGACGAGATTTTCAGCATTGATCCAAAGACAGGCGTCATAACTCTGAACAAAATCATTGCTAATTATGACAGAGAATCCTTCACGATTACGGTGATGGCAACTGACAAAGGAAACCCATCGCTAACTGGCCAGGCAGCTGCCACAATTGAAGCTGTAACGAAAGATGGACCGCCAAAGTTTGCTTTGTCTCAGTTCAAGTTTCAATACGATGAAGGACAGCGGATGAATGGCAAAACCAAGGCAATCAGTGTAGATACCTTGACCTATTCCATACTAAGTGGGAACAAAAACAACAAATTCAAGATCGATAAAGCTAGAGGATTTATAACGTCTGTGACGGCATTGGATGCAGAAGAAGGGATGGAATACACTCTTTTGGTTCAGGCGAAGGATACTAGTGAGAGAACTGCAACTGCAGAGGTTCATATTAGTGTGAAAAACCTGAATGATAATGAGCCAATGTTCCTGAATGCAAAGAATGGGCTCATTGAAAAGGTTGTGTCAAAGAGGGCAATAGCTGGAGAAACGCTGGTCACTGTTCAAGGAGAAGATAAGGATGTTGGCGATTTGCTAACGTACGAGATAATCGATAAAGATCAGAAAGAAATATTTGAAATTGGTGCCAAGAATGGCCAGATTAAGTTAAAAAAGAACTGGGCGGATGTTGGAGCGAAGAAGAACTTTGCAGAGTTTGATGTGAAGGCCAGTGATCGTGGAACACCACCAAAAACAAAGACCGTTCGTGTTCGTATTGTGTTCGCCTATTTCAAGCCAGATCATGTGAAAATAGTCAGGTCAGTGCCCGAAGATGCGTCAGTTTCAGCGTCATCCGTCATTTCTGATCTCCCTCGTGTCTTCCCTCTTGGTGGCTACGAAATTGTCTACCCGAAAAACCATCCATTCAAAATATCAGAGAAAACTGGTGAAATTACTCTGAAAACAGCTCTTGACTTCGAAGTAGTGGAAAAATACGATCTCGTTATTCAGGAAAATAATTACAATTTGAAAGAGGACACGAGGTATCTAAATTACAGACTGGAGGTTAAAGTGAAGGATGTAAATGACAATTCTCCTGAATTTGATATGAAAAGTTTAACTGGCAGAGTCAACAAAAACGCCCGGCCAGGAACAGAGGTGATCAAGCTTGTTGCAAAGGATGCTGATAGCGGTGATGCAGGTCGTATCTCATTTGACATTATCACTGATAATGTGCCATTTACAGTCAACCCTGTTACTCACACCATCGAAGTAAGTAAACTGGCGGCCCTCACTAAGAGCCAATACGACCTCAAAATAGCTGCCGAGGATAGTGGTGTACCACAGAGACGAAGCGCCAAACAGCCAGTGCTCACAATCAATGTTGTGAATGATCCTCCCCATTTCACTGAGAGTCTCTACAAATTCAAGGTGTCCGAGAAGGCTAACGTTGAGACCCTGGTGGGAACTGTCAGTGCCAAAAGCTTGTCAGGGATTGCTGTGACATACAAGATTGATAGTGGCAACACAAATGACAAATTCAGGGTCGATGGTCAGGGCAGACTTTTTGTGCAAAGGCCTTTAGACCACGAGACAGATCCTAGCTCGTTTACGCTTGTCGTTTCAGCGGCAGAAATCGCGTCCAACTCTTTGAAATCAACAACTAACGTGATTGTTGAACTCATCAATGACAATGACAATAATCCCAAGTTTGAAAAGCTTGTTTACCGAGTCGCAGACATTGCCGAGGATACACCTGTCAATTCTTTGATACTGACTGTAAAAGCCACTGACAAAGATTGTGGAGATGAAACCAAATGCATGCCTGGATCGCTTATCTACTCTACAGATCAGTTTAAAGATACCTTCCGACTAGATTCTCTCACTGGTGAAATCAGAAATATAAAGACATTGGATTACGATACAATAAAGAAGTACGAATTTGAAGTAAAAGTTGAAGATTTTGGATTGATAAAGCGTACTGCAAAGGCCAAAGTCATAATTACTCTGAAAGGGGTGAATGACAACCCACCAGTTTTCAATCCGAACCATCAAAAGCTTTATATTGCTGAAAAGCTCCCAGCTGGAACCAAAATCACAGTGGTGAGAGCAACCGATGTTGATAACGACCCACTCACCTATTCAATCAAAGAAGGGGACACTACCTCATTTCAGATTGATAGCAAATCCGGCCTTGTCACTCTGAAGACTTCGCGTTTGAGAGGATGGTCATTCCACTTGAAAATAAGCGCTTCTGATGGCAAGCATGAAGGGTTCTTCAATCTGCTTATCAATGTTGATGACAACAATAACAACCCGCCTGTGTTTACAAAATGCAGTAGCTACAGCCCTGTTGTCGCTGAAAATAAAGATGCTGGAACTCTTGTCCTGAAAGTGACTGCGTCTGACGACGATTTCGATCGCAGTGGACAGATTGAATACACTTTGTTACAAGTTGGTGGCAAAACTGATGGCTCCGGCAAGCAGACTGCGGTGGGCGGCACTGGATCCTCTCAGACCCTTGACTTCAATATTGACAAAGATGGTAACATCAGAACTAATGGGGTAAGTAGATTTATCTTTGAACTCAATTAGAAATCATCTTCTCGTCGTTTACTTTGCTTCTTTTTGTAGCTCACTTCATTATTTCTTAGCTGGACAAGTATTTTCAAGAATGGCCAACTTTTTTCAAACAACTCTACCCGACGATGGTCCTCTTCTTATAATAGTTTATTAGAAGTACATAGTATATAGTATATAGTATATTAGGGGTTTAATTTAGCTTTGCAGGCACGTATCGTGTTTCCTTATCATGGCTATTGACTATCCCTTACGCACAATCATAATATTCTTAGGTAACTAAAGGCTAAATACTAAACTTATTATGCTAGTGGTTTATTCATCTACAGTCTTTTTTAAATCTTCAAATTCATTTGTTTTTTATTATTGACACGCTATGTTTTCATATGTTTGGAATTTCCCAATAAATTCAAAATGTCATCCCAGTATTTTCATATACCTCATTTTCATTGTAGAGATTCGATAGGGAGGCTCAAAGTACGTACACGTTAATTGCAATTGCTCGTGACGGTGGCGAAAACAGGACAGACTTTGAGAGAAACTCTGCAGCCTGCGAGCTTAACATCAAAGTCCTTGATGAGAATGACAACAAGCCTATTTTTGCTATTGAGAACTATGAAGTATCTGTATGGCAGGGAACCTCAAATGGTGCAGTTATTCTAGTTACTTCGGCCTTGGACCAAGATGAAGGACCAAACGCACAGATTGAATACTCAATAGTCGAAGACAGCAGTTTGTTTTCTATACCAGATAAGACCAAAGGCGAAATTCAAGTCAAAGCTTCTTTGTCAGGCAAATTAGGTGAGTACAATCTGAGGGTTAAAGCTGCGAATCCAGGTACAATTCAAGCATCAACGGTTAATGTGAAGATCACTGTTGGTAACTCGAAGCCACCAAAATTCAGTAGCACCATTTACAGGACAAGTATTTTAGAGTCTTTGCAGGCAGGAGCTGTGATACCGTCGCTGGCAGTTTCTGCTACTTCACAGAACTCTGCTAAAAGTAATGTAATCGTCTACAATTTGCCAAAGGGCTCCTTAGTTCGGTCAAACTTGGATACTTTTGCCATTGACTCGCGGAACGGACAGATTAAAGTGGCTGGTGAGCTGAACTACGAGACGACCAAGAATTACATTGTTTATGTTCAAGCCAAGGATGAAACAAACAACATGGTCAGCAATGCTATAGTGTACATCGACATCCTTGACGTAAATGACAATTCACCTATCTTCCATCTTTCAAAGTTCGAGTTCCAGACCATTAACGAGGCAGATGCTCCTGGTGCCACTGTTGGGCAAATTTATGCATCGGATAAAGATGCAACGACCAATGCAGAACTTGTTTACTACATAGAGAAAGATGAGCAAAAGAAAGACTTTGCAATTGACAGTAAAACAGGCATCTTAACCACTAAACGCACCTTTGACAGGGAGCAAAAAGAGACAGTCACAATCCACGTATACGCAAAAGACATGGGTACCAATTCCTTAAGTAACAACGTTTATGTTACTATAAAGATTGTTGACTTGAATGATAATGCCCCAGTTCTTGATCCCAGTGTCTATAATGGAAATGTAAAGGAAGACGCAACGATCGGTTACCAGATTTTAACGATCACAGCAAAAGATGCAGATGCTGGGGACAATGCAAAAGTCAACTTCTTTATCACAGGAGGCAATGAAGATGGCTACTTCAGCACGTCTAGATCTACGTTCAAAGCCGGAGTTAGCACTGCAAGTATTCTTGTAGCCAAACCACTCGACAGGGAAAGAAAAGACTCGTTTAAACTTACAATCACTGCGTCTGATTCTAAGTTCAGTGTGACTGGTATTGTGAATATCAAGGTAGGTCATTTGTTAATGATCACTACGCTTAAGCCCTTTATAAATCAACAGTTGACCAATCAAGAAGCGTTATGCCACTCGTTTACTGATTGGCCTTTAGTTGGTATACAGATTGATTAAGTATCAGTCGATTGCTTTTAATGGTCCTTTCACACTTAAGTTTAACATGTCCGTTTATTTCAGGGTTGTAAATCGCTACCTTTGCTATATCTGCTTTCTCCCAAATCTAACCACCGAATTTCTAGAAACAGCATCTGTGTCTTCTCTAATCAACAAATCTTTATTTTCGATCATTCTCAGCCCTTCTAACCTAATAATTGAGGAAAATATTATTATTTACATCCAGCAAATAGGTTTGAAAAATCTTTTATGTATCTTGCACGGCTTTTGTATTCGACTTTCGTATTTATTAAACTACTTCAAGTTTCTTCTCTTTAATCTTCCTTGTTAAACTTCCTTCTTTGCTTTAAACTTCCTGTGTTATTTTCATGTGATGATAAATCTCATTAAACAGCCAAGTATCCCTTAGATTTGAAGATAATTTCAAGTCAATGTTATTTTTAAGCTACAGCCTGAGATTAGAAATTTATCAATTCTACAATAAATTAAAATTTTACAATAATATAATGTAATTGTTCAATGTAGCTGAATTTCTCATTTTTTCTTGCAGGTGACTGATGCAAACGACAATGCCCCCGTCTTCTTGAAAGACTTCTACCTTGGCAGCATTAAGGAGGACGTAAAAGCGGGTGTCTCGGTTACAAAAGTAGAGGCCCGTGATGATGATACAGCTGCTGTCCAAGGACCAATCCGATACTCTCTCAGCAAAGAGGTTCAAGGAATTTTTGTCATTGACCCTGTCACAGGTGTTATCACAACTGGTACGTACCCTTCATTGTGTTTTTTCTGAGCAGTGCCATTCCTGAACGAAAAAAAGCTTTTTATTATGCTTAGTCTATATACATTAATTGTTTAAAAAATATCAGTGTCCTGTTTGTTCACAATTGACCCCTGTTTTCTAGGCCCAAAACCATTTGATAGAGAGACCAAACAAGTCTACCGATTTACAGTAATTGCATCAGATGGAAAACACCAAGGCACAGCCATTGTGGAATGCACTATCAAGGACGTAAATGATAAGAAGCCTTACTTCCCTGGTGCACCATACACTCGATACATAGAAGAAAACATGCCGGCCGGGACCGTTGTAGGTTATGTGCCAGCCAAGGATGACGATGATCCAAATGAAGGAGGCAATGCAAAGATAAAGTACTCTATTGTAGGCAATGATCATGGGTTTGTAATTGACTCAGCTACCGGGCTGGTTAAAACTAAGAAGTCGTTTGACCGAGAGGCAACAGGCGTGTCACCAGTGTTCAAAGTCACTGTCAGGGCCACTGATTCCGGAATCCCAGTGCAAGCAAACGAAACTATAGTCACTATAATTGTGACAGATGCCAATGATAATGACCCCAAGTTCACCAAGAGCCTCTTCGTTGGAAAGGTAGCTGAATGCGCCCCTGGAGGCACCAAGATCACAACAGTAACTGCAGTAGATAAAGACGATATCACAACAGTGAATGCGCAATTGTTATATTACGTCATCAGCAGTAGCCACAACTCTGAGAAATACTTCCATGTGAACGGGCAAACGGGTGTTGTTACTGTAGCACATGGCTTGGACTACGAGAGGTCTGGCAAATATCAGCTCAAAGTTGGTGTCAAGGATCGCGGGATCCCGCAGCGACCGATAGGTAGAGAAGAGTCAACACTGGTTGAGATAACAGTGACAGACTGTAACGACAATCGCCCAGTTTTCATTCCTGATTCTTACAAAGTTTCGGTTAAGGAGAATGTAAAAGTAGGCGAAACACTCTTGACTGTTACTGCTGTTGACAAGGACAAAGGGTCGAATGGAGATTTCACTTTTGGCATTGTTGATACAGAACTTAACTTCCAGTTCGGCATTAGCAGTTCAGCGCAGAATAGGAGCAAGGGAGTCATCAAATTGGCTTATCCTGTTGATAGAGAGGCAGTGTCAAAGCATTTATTCAAAGTGAGCGCTTCAGATATGGGACTGCCAAAGCAAACTGGCTACGCAACGGTTGAGATAACTCTGATCGATGTCAACGACAATGGTCCGCATTTTGACAAGCCCGAATACTGTGGAAGGGTTGAAGAAGAGCAGAATCCAGCTTCTGTTCAGGTTGTCACCAAAATCAAAGTTTCTGACCCTGATACGACCAAATATAGCTGCCCGTGCAAGTTTAAATTCAAGTCAGGAGATACAAGCCTGTTTGAGATGAGAAATTCTGATGGAAACAGCGTTGAAATCGTGACAAAGCCAGTCAGGTTTGACAGGGAGAAGAAACGATTGTACACCCTTTACATTGAAGCATCAGATGGCGGCAGCCCACCAATGACCAATGTCACGACCCTTAAAGTTGAAGTTCATGATAAGAATGACAATGTCCCAAGCAGTGGTGGTGAGTTGTCTCTGCTTGTTAATTCTTATCAAGGCAAGTTTATTGGTGGTGTGGTTGGTAAGGTGTATGTCAAGGATGATGACAAAGGCTCGCATGACCTTTATGACCACACACTGACGTCACAGTCTCCTGGGAAATACTTCAGTGTTAACAAAAAGACTGGTGAAATCATAGCTGCGGCAAATGTGCCAGATGGGAAGTATAAGTTAGCATTCAGATCCAAAGAGCTCAATCGACAGGTCGGTAGTGACCGGGGCAAAGAGGTTGTAAGCACTGTGACAGTCACTGTTCGAGCGATATCAGAGAAGCAGGCCAAGACAAGTGTGGCTATTCGTATGCAGGGTCTTGTTAAACCAGGCTCATGTAATGAAATACCCTATCCGGAATTTGAAAAGATACTAGCAAAAATCTTGGGAGTACCGGTAGAACTTGTAACGGTTTTCAGTGCCCAGAGCGTCAAAGGTATGCATAATGGGGTTGACATAAGATTCGCAGTTAAGAAGTCAGCAAAGGCTGGATATGCTGGTGACGATGCAGAGTATGTCGACAAATCCACGCTTGTCCCATTGTTGAATGCAAAGATTGCTGAAATTGAGAAGGCAACAAGTGAGTTACTTTGCAAATTTCATTTATTCTATTTTCCTTTATACTTGCTGCAGTAAACTGTGGTCGTTTCGCATTTAACTTCCTCGATTAGTAACCTTGTGTATGCATCAGTCTCCCCCCCCCCCCCCCCGTCATTTTCCATATTTTGACGTATTTCTTTAAAGGGCTGTGATTACTGTGTTAGTCTATAGTTTTTGGATATGGACCTCACAGGAAATCATTGAACTTATTTCAATCCATGTATATTTTACTTGCCCTGTTGGTTGTTCAGACAATCGACAGATACTAAAATGGTTTATACCATCTGTCAATCAAAACGTACCAATCAATAAGCTTAATTCCGCACGCACGTTTTTGATTGGCCAATAGTAGATCGACAGATCGCTGAAGCCATTCTAGTATCTTTCGATTGCCTTTATACAGAGCCCAGAAATAAAATCAACTATTTTAAAAACCTTATGATATGTGACAACATTCTTCAAAAGGTTCTAGTGACTTTAATGCAATCTAGAATTTACAGTTATTGCATATTTTGAAGAACAACCCTTAAAGATATCTGCTTTTTCAACAGATGGGAAAGTTGATTCGGTTGGTATTGATCCGTGCGCTCTAGAGACATGTCAGGTCGGGTTCTGTTACAACGACATCCAACCTCAAAGAACATACAAGGTTATAACTGACGACAATGGCATTGTTCCCGCCAACCCTGCATCGAAAACGTTCATATCAATCGATGTGAATGTAGTGGCTACGTGCCAAACTGGCCCGCGTGTACCAAAGAGCTGCAAAGACAAGCCATGTCTCTACGGTGGAAAGTGTACTGACCTGGTAACTGGTGGGTTCTCTTGCGCATGCACCAAACCAAGCCTCGATGGGCCAAGATGCGAAATGACCATCAAGTCTTTCAAAACGAAACAGTCTTATTTATGGGTGAAACCTTTGAATTATTTCTTCGAAGGCACATTGCAGTTTGAGTTTGGTACCAAAGATGCCAGTGGTCTCATTTTGTACCAAGGTCCTGTTCACAAAAGTAAGTATACAACTTCTAGATACTTTATTCTTGTCCATTACTTCTTTATTTTGGTAAAAAAACCAATAAACACGATTATTGTAATTTTTATACTTAATTTCTTGTTTGTTCGAAATGTTGTTTTTTATTTTCAAGGATAGCCTGGTGTCTGGGCATTATTAGAACCTCTGTGTTCTGCAATCACAATTAAACTTTGAAGCAAAGTTCCTTTATTGTCGTGTTAGCACATTTACTTATATCCATTTTCGTTGTTCTAGTTTCAAACAGGGAGACAAAGGACTACTTGGCTATCGAACTCATCGATGGACGGCTGAGGATCAGTGCGAACCAAGGCGACTTCTACAGAAATTTTGTTAAACTTATCAATACCAAAAATAAGCTCAACGATGGTGTTTTCCATAGTGTCAAGATCTACAAGAAAGGAAAGGTAAGAAAATACTGTTTATCAATATAATGTCACTGCACTTTTTTTTTCGTTTTGTTCCAGGTAGCCTCTTTCTCTATCAAGTATAATTTAAGCCTTTTAAGTATGGCCTTTCTTTGACGTCGTTTCTACGTTATTGTTCTTTTTGCAGTATATTAAAGTGACAATAGATGACTGCAGGGATGCAGAAATTGTTGAAACCGAGACTTCTACCAAGCAAGATAGAGGCAGCTGCGAAATAACAGGAGTAATTCCCGGTAGATTCAGGTACAATTGCGTTTCTTCTTCATTACTGTTCACTACCTGCTAATGCAATATAAATACACAACAGTCTCGCTACATTACGATTTCTCATATATTTTCTACTGTCCTTGTCGAATACAAGGTTGCATGGATGTCGTGTTTATACTTAAATGGGATAAACAAACTGTTTGAACTGAAATCCTGCAAAGATCTCGATAAATCGTTCATCAAATCATCAGATACATTAATTACTGTATAAAACTTGTCTGTGTATCAACTTTAAAATTTATTGTCTATCTACATTTAAGATTTATCAACGGACTGAATCCTCTGCAACTTGGTGGCATGAAAAACAAAGGCCTCGCGTACCCACCATTGACTGCCAAGGACTCCTTTGCTGGCTGCATCCGTAAGCTCAGCGACAATGGCATTATTTACGATTTGTCAAAGACAATCGAAGAACGTGATGTTGGGAACGACTGTTCGTTATTGGCTAAGTGTCCAAAATGCTTCTTTGGTTACTGCAGGGCGACACAGTTGCCATTTATCTGTATTTGCCATTTTGGATGGACTGGTGCTAACTGTGACAGACGTAAGTCATGCCTAATTCACAATAATTTATAATTTCGTATTTTGTCAATCATTGGCAGAATCTTGAATATATATACCCTCTATTGTGTTTTCCTATCGTGCAATAGTTTTGTTTCAAGATTTTGATGGTGTACCATAAAAATGTCTTAGTGCAGGTTCGAAAGTGAAAATTCTCAATTCTGTTTTGATTTTCTCTGATGTGAATATCCGTCTCTTCAAAATAATTATATTAAAAGTCATTTTATACGAATTCGTTTGAGTTAAAGGCACAGCTCATTCTTCAAGTCTTTCGTATCCCTAGGCGTGAAATCATACCACTACAAGAAGGACAGCTACAGCCAGTACACATTCATCCAGCCTACTGCATTGGCATGGCACGACAGGTATCGCTCAATGTATGAGGTTCAGATGCAGACAAATATGGATGGAATTTTGGTGTATGAAGGCAGCCCCACTAGCAACGGCAACCCCCGGGAATTCAGTATTCTAGAGGTAGGCCTTCGCCCAAATCTTTGTCACCTTTGTGTCTGATTTAAAGACGATCCAGCAGCACCTTAGAAGGCTCTTTTAAGTCTCTAACCTGATTCTATCTTCTTTAATGAAATATATTTTTATCCTCCCAATTTATTATATGCAATGCAAGCATTTAATTTTTCGCAACTCACTTTCAGGTTTACCGCAGAAAGTTGAGATACAGATTTAATCTTGGAGACGGAGAAGAAATACTGACAATTGGAGAATTCAATGCTTCCGACAACAAATGGCATAATGTCACAGTGGACAGAAAAGGAAATTATGCGGTGGTAACCATGCACGGAGTGGGACAAGTTGCTGGAACAAAGGGAAGCCATCAGTTGCTAGACTCAGATGGTGTTATCTATACAGGTGGTGTGCCGACACGTTTTAACATGAGGCCACCATTTGACTTAAGAGGTAAGGTCTTGGAAACTATTGATTAATTCTCAATATAGTTCTTCTGTGTTGCAATACCACCAGCCGTGCTTACACTACATGAACTCTTTTGGTTACCCTCGGGTTAGTTTGTGAGAGAGCCTTGCAGTTGGATGGAGCCAAGAACTTAATCATCATCATCATAATCATAATCATAATCATCATTAATCAATGTCATCATTAAAACACTCCCCGAGCCGAGGAATGTTATCAAAAGATAAAGCGGTACGGCTGCGAGTCTTCAAAGCAAAGAAAGATCTGTTAACGGTCAAGCAACAACATATTACAATAATGCAACTAAATTTGTTTTACCGGAGGTGACAGGCATTTCTTTCGGAACCTAATTGTCTCCCTTATGAATTTTGAAACCAAACTTGCTCCGTATCAATGCTTCAGTCTAGCCAACACTTACCTTAGTTCAATCAGGGTGAACCTGGTGTAGTTTTTCTAGTGTGAACACGGCCTAAGTTCATTAGATCGATGTTCTGCTTTGAAATCGATGTGACACCATTGACTAGACAAGACTGTAGTACCAAATATTTTAGAGTGTGTTGAAAACATTCGGAAGCCTTGCTTGACACATTCGGATGTGGCTTCAGTATTTAATTTTAGGGGGTCTGCAGTCTAGTAATGTGCAGGTTAATAGATATGGATTGCAAATTGATAGCACCAGTCTTTAACACTGATCTTCATTTACTTCACAGGTGTTTAGCTGACTTCCGTGTACGGTATACAAACATGGATTCTGACACGGCAGTTGCACGAAAGAGAGTGAATGTAGAACCAAATGGCTGTCCATGTATTGGAATTGTTTGCCTCAACGGTGGTATATGCGTTGCCGGATCGCCACCATATTGTATTTGTCCTCCTGGTTACAAAGGACTTTATTGTGGCGAGTCAGTAGTCAAGCCAGAAGCAGGTAATACGAGTTTTTCATTATTTCTTCTCCTCACAACTAACGAAAGAAAAAATGATATGTCACCGTTTCTCATTTAGTATGATAAATACAATATGTTGTATTCAAAGTTATGTACTGAGTGTCTCGCACGTTTCAAGGTTATCGAAAAAAAGTGGATTGTAGTTGTAAACATGTTTGTCTTCTCAATCAGCGCTGTCTCCCTGTTGTCGGTGTATTGCTTTTATCTCCCTTGGTTTATTTTTTATATCGGTGCTTTCAAAGTACACATGTACCAGCTTTGAGTAAGGAGGGAAGTGTCTAGATTATGGACTATGCATGCATGCTACCAGAGAAGTATTTAGGGATTTGTCTCAACAGCCCAATCCAAGGTTGCTGACTGAAGCACATTCTTCAACTTTGACAAACCAGTTCTGATACAAAAAAATTGATTACATTCTAGGTGCATTGGCAGTTGTAAGCAAAGACGGTTACCTTGTGATGGCGGTCCTGCTAGTTGTATTCTTGCTCGTACTTGTATTAGCTGCACTTATGCTTGCATCGAAATTCGCTGGAAAGAAGACAGTACCAGTATACGTCGACGATGACCCTAGGGACAATATCATGCCCTACCACGATGAAGGTATTTCATTTTGGCATTGTTTTGCTATTGTGCTGAAGAGCAGCGTAGCTGTCCATGCAGCTGCTTTGCTGCATGTTCTTTGTAAACCTTTTAACTAGGCTGTACAGACAGTAAAACCTCCATTGAGGAACATGTGCCAAAGACGGACACCCCTCAAAAAACGGACACCTCCTAACAACGGACGCCCGCACACACTAGACAAATAATTTTGTTTCAAAATTTACGCTTTGGAACAAAAATTTACCACTATTTTTAAAAACACTTGTGTCTATTATATGGATGTTTTATTGTGCTGTGAATACCCACATATCTTTCAATGGCTCTTTTTTGTATTATATGTACTGTTCTATGCATACCTGAATATAAACCTGACTATTTCCGTTTCCGAAGGTGCTGGTGAGGACGATTTCCATAACTATGATCTTGAGAAACTCCTCAAACATGCGGGTGCGGCTCGTAGTGCTGGGCTAGCCAATGGTTCAGCTGGTGGCGGAGGCGCAAAAGATGTTGAACAAGAAGCACTGCTCACTCGAGAGGATGTCGATTTTGTGGCTGCAGGTGCCGTTTCCATGCGGCAGAAGAAAGCCCGCTTTGAAGGAGCTAATGTAGAGAGTGTAGACGTAGCACGATTTATAACGTCAAGGCTTGAAGAAGCAAATGGTGAAGATGCTGCCTACCCACGTGACACGCTCCTTCACTACGGCTACGAAGGGGAAGGCTCCGATGTTGATGACCTCAGTGAACTTGGAGACAGTGAGGACGAAAGCGATGACGATGACGCCGATTTCGGATTCCTGGGAGAGTGGGGCACAAAGTTCGACAATCTTAATAAAATTTTCAATCCCCCGACACAAGAATTCGACGAGGATGTCTGAGTGATTTCCCGCCGCTGATTCACTTCCAAGTTGTTTCTTACTCGAATGAGTATTGTTTAGCGTTTCAAGGTTAATGAACTTGCCCTGAGCAAAGTAGCTTTAGAAAGCAGAGAGCCTCGCTATTGAGAACTTAGAGATGCCATTTGAACAAGAGGCCAGACTCGTTTTGTTTTTGTATTGAATTTTAAGTTAGATTAGATTACTAATGCAGCACTGGTAACAACCTTGTTTGAGGACAATGTTGAAGACGATAACATAGCGCTTGAATAAATTATGCATATTTTAGCATTCTTGATAAGATTTTTTTATTGCATAATGTTGTTGATAAAAGGATGTAAAAGGGGGCCGAATCTGTCCATATAGAAATCTGGACAACAACAAGGGGCTCTAACCCGTCATTGCTATGGTACTGTTATATTGCATATAGGCTGCTTACCCTCGCTGTTAGCCTGTCTTATGCCGTTTTACAACAGTGTTTGTCAGTGGTCGTAGTTGTATTGTGAAATCCTTGTAGTGCTGGAATATTTTGTTGCACTTTTATTTAAATAAAACTTTTTTGATCCGTTATTTTATTTGTTGAACAAATTGAGTCGTATTCGTCGTTTTACAGTATGTAGAAATTGAAAGTAGGAAATATGTGAACTTTTAAAATAGTGTAATTGTTTTGATTAGTTTCCGATTGTAAAAAAAGACTTATTTAATATTTTGCACTCATAGAAGTAGCTAGTTTTATCTTTGATTACTATTGTGTGGTGCTTTACATTGTTAAGAAAGGATGCAAAATCGTTTATTACACCAATCGCCAATATGTGTACATCTGGTACATGATAAGCTAAAAGTTCGGGAAAAGCATGGCATCGCTAGAAAATACATCGACCACTTACAGAAAATACCTTGCCAAGTCACTTTTTAAAAATTGTCTGCATTTGCACTTTTAGAATTTCGCATCCTGCATTTTTGCGTCTGATCTTCCTAGATTAATTGATAATTCCATTTTTGCACGATCACGAGAAACGTCGTGTATATCATCCAGTCCAGGGTATGTTTACGGAACACATCTCTAGCGCTCAACAGCAATGCCACCTTGTTTGGCAAAACCCCTCTTGTCGTGAAGAGCTCTCCTTTGGTTGTTTGACTCAAAGCCTGTTATGAACCACTGCCAATGATTAGTACATCCCTTACTTTAATATTTTCCATTAAATGTTTCCTAAGAATAAGCCTGGATGTGTGTTGGATTTAAAATACACTGGCAGTAATCGATGGAAACTTGTTCGTTTTAGAGATAAAAATTGCTTTATTTGTTACGAAAACTCTTTATGTTTTGTTGTTTTTCTTGAATCCTCTTGAATCCTTACGTCACGCTAACTATGGTTGAATACAAAAAGCTGAGGCCGTGTAAAATGTTTTTTTTTAAATTTTCATAGTTCTGGAGGTTGGGCATGTGCGATGATTATACGTGGTGATTGAACCTGTTGTGAGAGTATGGCTAAAGTTGGCAACGGGCAACATTTGTTGCGAAGTTTATGTTAAAGCAATAAAGAGCGACCGGTAGAACAACTTTGAGAAGAAACATATCCGTTGTATATATTTCAAGCCATGATAACCGTTAGAGTTTCCAACTACACCTGAGCGAGCATCGAAACGAAACCTCTAAACCCAACCGGTGAATTAGAAAAAACGAGTTTCTTGGGGGCAACCTGCTGTTATAATAATCTGGTCCCTGAACATTTTGAAAGTAAATCAAGTTTTTGAATTTTCAAGCAGCTGCAAATCACCTAACAGTCAATTTTACGAGGGGCGTTCGCCCTTTACTTTATTCGCCCTAAGTTTATATTCGTTTGTTATTCGTTATGGTCTACAAGAATACGCGAAATGCTGTGGAGTTTTTTGTCCTTCCAGGGTTTGATTTAGAATGCTAGGGTAAGTAGAAGAGGGAGGCGGCTGACCCGAGATGAGGCGGCTGAGCCCCCCTCGTTTTTTCTGGGTAACTCGAAAATATTATGGCTAATTTCTGCCAGGATCATATCTTTGCTGGAGCCGTAGCTCTAAGCTAAATGATAATTTTTGAAGGGTTTCCACCTAAAAATGCTTACCGAAAGAGATTCAGGCAAAGGGCCACTTTAAAGGGACTTATGGCAATGAATCACAATTTAAGGAGCATGTAAATTTGGGTTTTGTTAGCATTATGAATAGCGTACTTTTAATGAGAAAGTGAGTTGCAGTTTTAATCTTGATTTCATATTAGCAATCAGATACCTTTATTCCTTAATCTGATTCATCAAAACTTTATTGAAAAGCTTATCTTCTTCCAATACCTGAAATGATTGTTCCTACTTTTTGCATTTACAGCTTACTGACATTTTTTAAATCGTTAAAACTACATTTCTGTAGAATATCTTTCGCAAAGCTCGGATTTAGATCATATGTTGGTTGAATAATTCTGTCATAAGCAACTGCAGATTGAGTTGATGAATTGAAAGCGATTTTTGTGAAATTCGTTGAAAGTCACGTTGAATGCTTTTGCAACAGTTCTTGATGCTCGTTCTTGGACTCAACTACTTTACTTTTGATTTTGTTTCTAATAACAAATTGCTGCAAACAGGCATGTATGCATAAGCTGAGAACAGCTGCGATGTAAGTAACGAGCCCCGGCGCCAGTTGGGGCCTCAATGTGGTGGTTTTGCTGTAATATTTTTCTTGTAGAGAGAGTCGCCAATGTCCTAAAAATTTGAAAATTGAACGATACTTACCTGAAGGGGAAGTTGAAGTTCGATTGAGATTCTACGAGTGATTGGTCAGTAGCATAGAAGTCACCCACCCTATCGTCTATACATAATATAATGTACAAATTTATTCTTCCCTTATCCCATATAACCTATTGTTAAGTGGACATTCGTTTAGTGGAGTTCTTTAAAGACTGGCACTTGGTGGCTCGTGTGCTATCTCATGTGACTTCTATGCTACGTGGACCAATCACGAAGTAGAATGTTATGGCCTTTCTGCTCCCGTTATTTAGTAGTACATTGTACAGCCTACAACTATATGGAATATTAAGGGTTTCTTGCAGGAAGAGAAAAGAAAGCAACTTCAGTTAGTCACTACAAAATATGAAAATGTATATGCATTAACTTGACAAGTTGAGCAATAGAGCACGAAATGTACTGGTTCATATCTAGAATACATCTACAATAGTATTTTGTTAGCGCACTGGTCTCTCTTGTTCAAAATTTCTCATTTCAGCCAGTTTGACCATCTCTACATACTGCAGGTGATTGCCAACAAGCTTTTCATTCTTCGTGAGAATGGTATTAAGATGTGAAGCGGATCTGTTTCTTGGCAACATTTTGTTATTCTGGTTGCTAGGAGTCTTGCAGCAAGGCTCAGATGGCGACAGCTCTTTCCAATTTTCTACGCAGAAACTTCAAAAGCACCAAAATCAAATGGCTTCACCTGGATTTTGCTCCATTTCTTTATCATCAAAGGATCTATGTTTGCAAATGTTAGTTTTATCTATTAACTACGATGATCATTGTCTAAAATTTGTATTTAACAATGGTCAATTTTAACTGGCACTTTGAGCGTTGTCACTGTTCATTAATAGCTTGACATACGCTCAGTTTGACAAATATGGTTTTTCAACAAACTCTCGTTTTTCTAAAAGGTTTATTGTTTAGTTCCATTTTCCTTTCCCTCCTTCAAATGCTCTCTCTAACCTCTATCTTATTTGATGTCAATTATCATCGAAAATTTCTTAACCAATGCAGGAGTATGAAGGTCTTTATTCAGACATCAGGCTCGGGAATCACACACATGGGAAAAGATGCAACCATTGGATATGCTGGGCATGCAACGGGATACAGTTCCTGGGCTTTTGGTGGGGGCGGGGAACCAATGCAACTGCTATCATCAGGGGACCTGCATGCAGCAGTTAGATCGATGCTTGAGAATGACATGCTGGAAATGCAGCCGGAATCCTGTCTATCATCGACACTTAAACGATGCTTTTGCACATTTCGTGGATTCAGATGGTTTGCAGGGTCTTTGGGTAACATGATAACTACCTTCTCATTTTCTTTTGGAGGCCTATAGTATATCGCGTATCTGTGTTCGTTTCTGCTGGCAATCGTGCTTGCAGATTTTGATGAATCGTCATTCAAGAAGTCTGACATTGTAGGTAGTCGTACACTTGGTAACCTTTGCTGGCAGGCTCCGTGATTATTGCATTTATTGACATGCAATGGTAGGGGGTTTTGATTCCTTGTTGAAACCTGATGGTGAACTTGCTCTTGTCGCTCTTTTAAGCGCCGTGAATAATTCCTCGCTCTTACAAAGAAGCTGTTTTGATCATGGTTTCGTTTGTGCAATGTCATCTTCTTGCCTATTACGCAAAGGTGCACGCATGGTAGCCCCTTTGCACTATTCAGGTACCTCCAATCATTAAGTCTGTGGTAAAAACTCGACGTATCGCATGTTGCAGCTCTGCAAATATCCATCTTTAAAAGCGACCTATGGGCCGAGTTTGTTCTGCAACACTCTTGCACTCTCTCATTCCAAGATTTTCCTTCGCAAAGAGTGGATGTCAATGAAATCTGGCGAAGTCGTGCAACCAGATCATCCCCGAAAGATTTTCCAGGATACCTACAATGGCCTGGTCTTTGCAAAGCTCCGCATTTATGCCCTCTGTCCATATCAGATTGTTGCAAGAGCAAAAAAAGTGTGTCTGCTCTTCAGACTCCCAAAGTATACTTGCACTGAGTCGCGGCCTCAATGAGGGCAAATGCTTTGTCGACGCTAGTATACTTGGAGATTAAAGCAAGCAAATCCCGACTACGTCAAAGATTTGGTTCACGTACTAAGCAACGGTGAAACTTCTTTTGCACTAGAAAACCTATGCAGCTGCCTTCAAGATTTACTTACAGACGTAAGAAGTAATCTGTAGATTCAGAAACTAAGTGTCGTTCTTCTGGAAAATTGGGAAATGCGCTATTTCAAAGGGTTAAATGTGAGCAGAAAAGGACTTGCATTGATAACGAATTACAGAGTCGCGCATCAGAAAATTCAAGAACTGGCAGTATTAGAAAACGTTTACATTCCAAACGAAGTTAGCGAAATATTTTTCACATCTATGGATATGTATGATGTAACTTCATGTCACCGACTTGTAGCTCTCATCATAAGGTTTTATAATGATATAAATGACTCTTTGTTGTTACATTTTTGAGCAAGGTATGGAAATAAAGAAAAAAAAATGCATTCGTTTTTCTTTCTGCAGCACTGAGCAAAACGCTAATACTTTTATCCACTGATAGTAATTCTTATATTTAATCAGTAGAATGCTTCATCAAACTCAGTGTTAGTAAAATAACTATTTTATTAACATATCACTTTCTATCAATTTGTTAATTTTCAAGTGAATTTTGAGCATGTCTCTCTTCTTTTTTCCACTCACTTTTATCACTTTTTCTTTTACCCTTTTCTATTTAAAGTTTTTTGCCTCATTCTCTCTTTCATTCATACATGGAAGTGTTTGGAAAAGCAAGGTTTGATCTAAATTGTTACTTGAAAACTGCCAGGCGTTAGAGCAACTGTGAATAGCAAGAGTGAGTGTAAAGATCAAGACACAACTTATTGTAATCATTGGGTAGAAGCTGGACAATGACAGAAAACATCTGACTGAGGTCTGCATAATCAAGACAAAATGCTATAATAGATAATTGGAAAAGAAGAACAAATGAAGATGTTTGAGACAATGCAATAGCAACATTAGAAGGTGCAAGACCAGAAAAATTAATGCATACTGCAATGAGATAGGAGATACGTCACAGGTGTGTTTGAAAAATAGCAAGTAAAAAAAAATTGGCAAATAGATAGTAAGGAATAGGGTCACCAATGACATACATGGCAATGGTCAAATGATGGGATGGAAGGACTGAAAAGCATCCAAAAAGAACACTGACAATAAGGTTTCATAAGTCTGTATTTTATAACAATGTGCAGAATAAAAATTTCCTTCAAGAATGCATTTGAAATGCTTAAAATATCCTAATCTTAATTTTAACCTCTCTGTTCAATATGGTCTAACAATGAAATGTGCACTTACAAACTTCATGGGACTTGTCTCATTTTAGAATATGAGATGCCAGGAAGGACAAAGTTATTCACTTTAACTATCTTTTGATTCTTTGTCTAACACAAAGACCAAAATAAGGGTTTTCTTGGAGACATACCTCATAATGAAGACTACAACCATCATCTTTATTAGGACTAACAGAATATTTCGAATACATTTTTCTATGTGACATTATTGAATACAGTTTCAAGTAATATATGCAATATACAGTAGACTTCAGTTATTGTCACACCCAATGTTGCTTGAAAAATTTAAACTGAAAACAGAGTGCAACTGTAAGTGGAGTTAAAATGAATATTTATGCATATTTTGGTCTAAATTTGTTATGTTAATGTAATGGTAGTGTGACTTCAAGTGGAGTGACTATAAGAGAGCCAACTGTATAGATTTTGCTTAAGATCACTGGTTCATTAAGAGTTTATATACGAAGTGTTCAAAATTCAAACAACATACGCAATTGACATCTCCAGAATCTACTGTCTAAATGGCTTTTTTAGATGGTGATAATTAGGTAAGATTTTTGTTAAAAAGTCTAGTTGCAATGTTTGCGGGGCTGGTATCTCAGAGGCCTTTCTTCGGTTAGCATTTTGTCCATAAATCACAGTATTGTTCGAAAGCTTCTCCTTAGTGTCCATTCGGCACATATTTCCAATAACGCAGCCATCTCCTAGCTCTACTAACGGGCCGACTTTGCATTTCGCTTCAAGGACGTTGTTATTTCCAACTGCAAGAGCTTCACTGATACATCCAATCTCAAAGACATTGTAGTTTCCGATCACCATTGTTTTTCCTGGGGTGGAGTTCCAAATTAAGGTTTGTTCCTCAATAAGATTACCTTCTCCGATAATTATAGAACCATGCTCAGCAATTATACGCGCTTTAGGGTGTACAACTGTCCTTGCAGCTATCGTTACTTCGCCTTTTATCTCTGCTTCTTGGCAAACCACTGCACCTGGTGTAATTCTAATTTTGCTGCTAGCTTTCGACGCCATTTTCTTTGCGAAGTTGATAACAGATGAAGTGAATTGTCCACAGGGGACTTTTGCTGCTCCTTCCTGGGTTACAGTTTCCTTTGTAGCATGCAAAGGAAGGATTCAAGATAAATGCAAAATCGCCACTTATGAATTAAATTTGGGACTGATTAGTGTAAATTACTATAATTTAGCATGCATTGAGGCTATATCTGTAATGGTAGGTAATCAAGTCAAAGGAGAAAGTTATACTGGTAAACATGGATCAGCCTTAGCCTAAGAGCGGCGAACAACTTTTGTTTATGGTAACAGACTAATGATTTGGTGACAATGCCGCAGACGAATGGTGCAAAAAATCAAGATGGAAAAGAAAGGATTCTTGCAAATCGTTACAATGTTTGCAGGAAACTTGGAAGTGGAAATTTCGGAACTGTTTTCGTAGTGGAGGATTTGAAGGGTGACGAGAAATGGTGTGTTTTAGCAATCTCAGCTGCAGGCCTTTAGATTTCTTTTGTTTAGATGTTTAAATATTTAATGTTACTTCATAAACGTGAAAGCTCAGATCTGACATGCTTGTTGAGACACAAAGCCACGTGTATCCCTTTCTTTAAAAGCGATTAATTTGTCAAGTAGATTTAAAGTTGTACAGGTTTTGGACAAAATAAAAGCATTTTGGGCAAGAAGAGTTTTCCTGATTTTATAGCAAATATAATCACCATGTTTGTCGAATGGGGCTGAAAATCTTCTTCGAAAGCATTCCAAAAACACAGAAATGGGTACAAAACCAGTTTGTAAAGTATGGCTGATTTGGACAATGTCTGCACCAGCAGCCTGGCACATAAGTTCTAGGTTTGCAAAAGTGGACCAAAAATACCAGGTGTGCCAGCACTATCAGCTTTTCCAGCATAAATTAAGTCAATTCAGTTTTTAGATGCACCATTATCAGCTCTATCATGTTGCCAGGCTCTGCATACTGGAAAAAAAGGCCAAATAACCCACTTTTTTATGATTTCCTCAAAGAATACAAACAAAAGATTTTGTGATGCACCATAAAATATCAACCTGAATTTAAGCGAACTCATTTAGTCCAGTTTATATTATTTGATTTTGATGCAAGAAAGTTAATTATATGTTAAACTGGTCCCTGTCTCAAGTGAGAATCTCAAAAAATATCCAACTGGAGTGGGAAGGCGTATGCCACTGGAGAAGTTCTTTACCTTAGGATTGGGTGCTTCTTGTTAAAGATTATTTACAACTTCACATAGTCTTGCAAAATCTCAATAGACAATTCTTGTGTTGCAAATCCCACTGTATGAGATATCCAGAATGTGAAAGATATCACATGAATTAAAGCTTTTTAGAAGCAAAAAGGGCAAATTTTTAAAAACTTTGTGTTCAAAAAAATTCACATTTATTTTTAAGTGGTCTATACACCAAGGTAGGACAACAAATGACTTACAGATTTTATATTCTGAAAAACCTATTGCAGATAGGGTTTTAAGCAAGTTCTAGGGCAAATATTGCATGGAAGCAATCATAGTGGAAACCTTTCCTGTGTTCACTACTTACCATATACTTGAAACATATGTCTTATGTGCCATAGAAAAAATATTTCTAAAGTGATAACTTCATAAAGAATTTTTTTGAGCTTTTCATTTGGAGTGCAAAGATTAAAGAGTTAAATAATACCTCTTAAATGTGCAAAATCAGATGAAAGTGGAAATGTGCAGAGGCTCTATCCCCCTTTAAAATTTTGCTAAATAACCCATTATCTATTTTAAAACTAATAAAGTTGTTTCAATTGCTATATATTTTAGTCAATTTAGCTATGTTTGCAAAGTAAAATAATGTAAAAATAGTTAGATTATTGTCATCAAACTTTAGAACTCCATTAGTAAGGTGCACTCATAGTTTTCCAGAAATTCTGCTACATATTCAGTATATTTCGTTTTTTATCACAAAGTTTTATCACAAATTCAAGCAGTAGTTATATTTGTGCATTGCTTTTCACAGGAGATTTGCCTTGAGTCAAAGTGATAACTATTTTTATCATCTTTTTATAATGAAGTTATTGCTACTTTTTCACAAGGAAAGTTCTTAAAGAGATACCGATTGGCGACCTGCAGCCAGATGAAACTGTAGATGCTGTGCGAGAAGCCAGGCTTTTATCAAAGGTAATTTTAAGTTGTTTTGATTTGCGGAGGTATAATTGCTCAGCAATGCCATGTTAATGAAAAGTTATTTTGCTGTCCTAAGGAATAAGTATATATTTTTTTGCACTCCATTATGGATATCCATAAAAATATATATTTTTATATTTTCTTTTATTTATTTTAGACTGTTCAGTGCCAAATGAATCAATTTCATTCAAAACATACATATAATCTTGTCAGAAAGGCTAGACAGATTAGTTTCTCTTTCATGACAAATTTTTGCCGTGTAGATTGTTTGAGACATTTTAAGCTGGTTATACATGAAGTGTTTCTGATATATTTAAAAGCATTAAGAGTTGCATTCTCTTTTAAAAACAGCTGATGTTAAACATGGCTCAATAAAACTTTTCCACTGAACTTGCTTCTTCTCTATAGCTTGACCATCCTGGCATTGTGAAGTTTTATGACAGTTTCATCGATGGAACCCATTTTTGTATTGTCACCGAATTTTGTGAGGTATGTTTCCAACCTTCATGAGTATTTATATAGAATGACAAGTCAGCTTGACAAAAGCTTTGGATCTATTAAATGCCACGTATTGATGCCTACTCACTACCTTAGAAAGAACCTTGCTGTTTGGGGGTTGTTAAGCAGTTTTGATGCATTTTTGCCAATTTGGTTTTCTTTAAAGGATGAAACAGACCAATAACTAGATGGAAGGTTTCTAACACACTTCCACTTTTTTGCAAGGAATTATATGACATGATACATAATTCCGAAAGATAAATTATTCCAAAATGTACCAATAAGTTATAAAGCAAAAGAGTTATTGCTTCAAAAGGTATTAATGCTTTGAAATATTTGAAATGAAAAATATATAATAAAGAACATAATTTCGGAGAGAGCTTGGCAAACTATAGCAACACATAATCTTAGACTGTTTTGATGTTGGGCAGAACTAAGCAAATCTATCAAAAAGGAAAGCTACTAAATAGGGACAGACAAAATGAGTTCATGAAAAATGCATTTAATCAGTGACATGACATGACATTCATATGATGAATGATAAGTCGTTTCTAAAAATGATAATTAAAGTGTTCAATTAGAAAAAAAGTGGATTGAAAACAGATTCATAGCACCCTTGAATCATGGCTCTGTCTTAATCTAAGTCCCTTTAAGAACCAAAACTGGTTTTCTGAATGCATGTTTCATTGCAATTACAATCCTGCTTTCAATATGAAGATTTTCCTTAATAGTAGTATTTTTCACTTTTTCAGGATGGTGACTTAGATATTAAGATTAATGAGAGAAGGAAAATGGCTAAGCTTTTTGACGAATCTCGCATTGTTACATGGTTTATACAATTGCTGCTTGCAGTACAATACATGCATGAAAGGTGAGCTAACTGACAACTACAAGAAAGGAGATAGCTACAATAAAATAGGAAGGTTTACAACTCTGATTAATTTGCGATAACATTTTTGAAAATTATACCCATTAATCCTTAGACCAATACCCAGCTTTTTTTGTTAAATTATTTGCTTACATTATTGTAAATATTTATGAAGTATCTAAAGCTTTTTTTCTGAATGGTTTGTTTCAGGCGAATTCTTCACAGAGATTTAAAAACCAGGTAATCCTTTAAAATGTGTTTTTATTTTCGTTGTTATTTTGGAGCTAAAGAGATGTTTGAATTTTCCCCATATTTAGTACATTTGTTCAGTTCTTGAGATAATAAGCCTTGTATTTTTATCTTATACAGGAACATCTTTCTTCGCAATAACATGATAAAACTTGGTAAGTTGTGTCTTTATTTATTTAAATGAAATTGCGAAGAATCAGGCTCTACCCTCCATTACTATCTGTTTAGTCCTTGGCATCTGCAAAAGTATCCTCCAAAAGAACGATAGCAACTATGAATTCAATATTTGAATTAAACAGACTTAGTTAATCGTAGTACTGTGTAACACGATTCGGTGGTCATAGCAAATCCGGATAGACAAGATGTTTTGATGGATGTCATATTATCAGGCGGGCGTTCACTGACCATAGGCGATCTTTGCTTCATATACAATCAAAAAACTCCTTGACAGCTATGACAAGATCTTGATCGGAGTACCCTGTCCGGATTCACTGGTTGCACCCAAAATTCTAACTATCTACCTATCATACGTTTTGGAGTATAGAACAGGAGGCTTACAGCTCAGCCTATGCTCTGCCTATACAACTTCTAGCACTATATGATAGACTGGTAAAACAATAATTTTTATTACCTACCTATGATTGATGCGTTCTTCCATTCTAAATGAGCTCTCGCCAATGACAACAAACCTTTCAAAGTCCATATTTTGTTGTTTTAGATAAACATTGCAACCCTGTTCTCGCTTGACATCTAACCGCTGCATTTTGTAATCTTTCTCCAGATATTTTCCACCTAAGTTGAAATATGAAGGAGGTGTACAGAAGTCTTGAGAGCAAACACTTAAACTCCATTCACTGTATCTCATTTGACGAAAATGACGTCGAGTTCTTTTAACAGTGGTCTTGTACTTATTATCTATTTTTAAGCCGTTTAGTTTTGTGTTTGTGTGTAATTGCTCCCCTCAACATGTGTCTGCAATGACGTTCAGAATAGCTAACGCGGCTGCTTAAAAGATTTGGTGCGACCTGCGCTGCAGATTAAGATGTTTGAAGCTGCTCTTTCTCTTTCGTCTTGACGCTTGTCATATACAGTATTTCTTTACTGGTAAAGCTGCCTAACTGGCTGGATTAAGGTTATGTCGATAATCATTGCTATGTATATGATTGATTGCTGTACAACAACTATGGTTCATGGCGATGTTTATGCTTGTGTTTGAGTACCATGTTAGCGCTACGAGCATCTGTTTTTATATTTAAGAATCTTTTAGAGCCGTTTACAGCTTTATTATTTTTTAAGAAATTGTATCACTGATACTGAAAACGTGCTCACAGCCACAGGAAATGCATGTGTTACCTACTGGCACAAATAAGGAGATGATTTTTGTAAACTTAATGTATTCTGGTAGAATATATTATGTAGATTTGATATGCGTACCCCTATGACGTATATTTTTATAGAGCGCATCTTTTCTTGCTCATTAAGTATTGCTTGGTATTTATTTTCAAATTAACTTTTTTGTTGCATGATATTGAAATAGAAATTATTGTTTATTCCAAGATAAATCTCGCGGGACCCTGGAAAGCTGTTAAAAATATAGGAGACCTACCTATTTCATTTGAATACCCGTTCTATTGTTTATTATTGTGCAAAATTTAATTGACGAGGTAAAATGTCCTCGACCCTTCTAAGACAGCAGAAATATCGGAACTTGATAGCTCTCCCTGTGTAAAATGTAATGTTGAAAAAGTTTGTAGATGAAACAAAGGTATGCTTCGAGAAATTTTGATAGGAAGTACAGCTGGTCCCCCGGAATTTAGTCGTGAATATGTAATTAGATCTAGCTTAAACAACTATGCTGATTTGTCAGGTTTGGGTCTAACGAACTGAAATGATTATAAATTATTTTATTTATTTTTCGTAATCACGAGAAAGATTGAGCCGGAGGAGTGTGAATTCCCACAAAAAGGTTCGAAATTGTTATTAAAAATATATCAGCTGATTGAACTTTATGGGAGAAGACAAATTGCCAATGAATTCTTTGTAGAATTAAGAATTAAAAGTAAATCCATTAATTAATTTTCAGCTCTGGGTCTTTCTAGCGTTTTTTGTGTTCATTTGTGTCCTCAACTTATTTGATAGAGGCAATGTGATTCAACTTACGTAGCAAAATACTCAATTTTTCTCGAAACCTGCAACCGATCATTATCCCAACTGGATTTCAATCTAGATGCCCTAAACCCGGATCCCTTAATCTCTTTTCGACATAGTTAAAACATGTCTTCTTAGACCAAGTTTCCATGGTTACCTCTGCGCGATCCGCTTTGGTTTTCGTAATTGGAAGCTTACTGTGGGAATTCTTAACAGTTTTATTTACTTAAAAACCAGATCTTGTTTACGTCAAGAGAGCTGGTTGCATTGAGACTGATATTGCTAATGATCAAGACTCTTTTTTGACGTCATAGCTACTCGGCATAACAGTATAAAAGTTTTGTATAATGTGACGTCACGTCTGTATGAAATGCGAGTCCTCCACAACCGTTGGGTTGTTTATAGAACATAGTTATATAAGATTTTACGTTATTCTTTTCATGCCGCATCTGGTTTTGTGTCAGTCATGGATTAAGTTTCTGTGATCGCCACAGTCTCTGAATCTTTCATGTTGTACTAGGTTTGACCTAGATTCTCTCTTTCTTTTTCAGGTGATTTCGGTATTTCACGAATACTAATGGGTACAACAGACATAGCAACGACCTTCACTGGTACACCATACTACATGAGCCCCGAAGTTCTTAAACACGAGGGCTATAATTCAAAGTCGGACATATGGTACGTTGTGTGCTTGTTGTTTTCGATGGAAGGTCTTTCCTAAGTGTAACGTTTCTTTGTTTTGAAGCTTTTGTGAGATTGTTTTTCTGCATATTCATATGTTAGATATTAAGTTTTTATTTGGGCCTGGAAAATCTATTTGTTTATTTTTCGACTGGATCATCGCTTTGAGATCCACATTGGTGTCTTCATACCCAATTTTTATCATGCAGTTTATGATATCGATATTTTTCCAGCTTGCAGATGCTAAAATGTTAATTGCTTTTGTTTTTTTTAAAACTAGTTGATTATTGGTGTGAATATTTGTAAAAATTGCTCGTGTGGCCAAAGTTTTGTTATGTTTGCGTCGTTTGCTGTTAATATTTGTCATGTTAAAGCATCCTCACAGTTTTTCTAGATGTATCATCTTCTCGATAATAGTGCTAACCTATGTTCAAATTAAAATAACATGAAAATATTGTTTAATACATAAATTGTGTTTAGTGACAAAAAAATAGAATGTCTGAACTTTGAGCACTTTTTCCAGCTCCGCCCTCAATTTGGTTTAGAGCATAGTGATATCTTCATCAGCCTGCAGAAGTTCTTGCTTCAAATATAACGGATATGGATAAAAAATTATTAATTAACTTTATATGATGGTACCTAAGCACCATAGTGAGCCAATTGTTATTGAAGCTACTGGTCTCGATCGTAAACAAACAAAACAATTTACATGATAAGTTTGGGAATGAAATCATCGGAGGGACTACCCATTTCCCTTTTTTGCCCTAGATTCGTATATTTTTAGTGAAATTTAAATGCCGCCTGCAGTGGATACTAGAATACTAAATGTCTTTTTCTACTGTAAAAGGCTGTAAAGGGAGAAGTTATTTCATGTATTGTTTTTGATGTTGTGTTTCCTTTATGCAAATTTATTTGAAATGTGAAAGGATTCAAGACTTAATCGTGTTATATTATACTAAGTTGAACATCTTCAACAGGTCTCTTGGTGTTATTCTCTACGAACTTTGTTCCCTAAGACGAGCGTTTGACGGACAGGTATGCGAGTTTTCTCTAAAATCTATATTTCAAAGCTTTAAACTCAAAATAAAAAGGCCGTTATTCACAATCAGATTAAGTGACAGCTATATTGTTATGATTTAGAATTATTATGTGGGTCTCTTTTCTGTAAAAATGCAATGTTAGATTGATTCATTGCTGGAATTAATAGGTGATTAAGTTTGCCGTTGATCAAGTGATTCGAAAAAACGAGCTGGTGGTGACTTTGCTTTTTCTGAATCAACATTACGTGGCAGCCAAAAACGTTTGTTATTTTAACTTTCAACGTGTTATTTATTTGTATCCATTTGAGCTGTTTTTTATCACTGCTTCTTTTTATGCACTTTTGAAAAACAGCTTTTTGTTTCTTTTACAGAATTTGATGGGCGTGATGTTCAAGATTGTCCAGAACGACCCACCATCTTTAGCAAAATATTCATCCGAAGAACTTTGTCGCATTTACGCAAGGTTTGCGTTTTATTCGTGTGGTCGTCATTTTTCATGTTATTTACCATTCTTATTCAAATTTTATCACATTTTTGAAATAATTTGTCTTGGTTCCCAATTGCAGCGTAACGTATGTATAACTTACTGATGGAGATAGACTTTTGTAAAGATTATCGAATCTCTCAGTTTATGAAAGATAGCGTAATCAATAACTCACCTTCTGTTTCTATAGCATGCTCAACAAAGATCCAAAGAAGAGACCCTCTGCTTCAGAACTTTTAAAAAGTCAGTTTCTTGTGAGGCATCTCGAGGTGGGTGACTTTCTCTTTTTGATATCTATTGACGTTCAATTGGGAAGAAAGGCGTTTGACGTGAGAAAACAAGTGTAAGCAGCGATTATAGAGAAGACTCAGAGACGCGTTCATTATCAAAGAACACAACTTCCGGTTGTCTCGATATCAATTGACTTATTATAGGAAGTAAATAGGACGAAGGAAGCTGTCAAACATGTTCCATCGTTGTTGCTGTTATTTCATATCGAAAAACCTATTTACAGTTTTTTAGGACTTCTATTTCAAGATATTCCACACAACGTGCCATTCATTACCTATAGGCAGTAACTTCATTAATAAAATATCTTTTCTCGAGAAAAATATTTCCCTGACATCAATTTTCTATTATAGAAACTCAAGACGAAAATGAACGAGAGGGCTCGTAATGAGAAAAGTGCAGACAAAGAGTCGAAGGCAATCGCAGCTTTCTTGTAAGATTTTTTTATAGGATGTTGTTATAGACGTTGTTAGTTTGTACTGGATATTGTTGTTCAGATAAATCCCATGACGTCTACTCTAAACACCAGTATTAAATCATCTGCAAATTAAACTACATGCTAACCTAGTAAAGAAGTAGCTCTTGTTATGCCTTTGATCACTTGGCCATTGTGCTTAGTTGATCGTTATACAAGTAAACACTGCAATGAGCCTAAAAAGGAACTACACTTTTTGGTTTCCTTTTCCATAACAAAAAGTAATATACCAAAGCTGCACGCTGGTGCTTCCGATAGGGCTGGGAACTAGTAACCGTGACGTCATACCGGTAACCTTTCAAGTCTAGTAATAGGCAGAGCCAAGTTGTGTTACCGGTATGACATCACTTCCTGAATAGTGTCAGGCTCTCTCAACGACGCGGTCATGTTTCACTTTCTTCCCAAAAACCACCTGAAGTTGTTATGTTTAGCAGGGCATAAAACCACGAAATATCATCTGCTCAATTTTTTTTTATTTTGAAGAGTGTGTTTTCATGCATTTAAAGAAATAATCTTTTAAGAAGCAATTTTTGGTGGTACAGAAATCAAAAACGAAGTTTGAAAAAAAGAACATAGATCGAAAACTAATAGCTAGAAAACAGATATACCAAATTTGTTAGTGTTTTGCTTCCAATTTTTTTTGGTTTTAAAGTAAAAATCTGATGCACGGATCTTGATCAATGGAGTTGTTTTCAAGTAGAATTTAGGGAACATTTTCTGTTCGAATCAAATGATATGATTATTGGCTGGGCTGATGCTCTTTGTCCCTCTTTAGGTCAGAATCTGCTAAAAAAGGAGACATCGAGGGTGTTAGGGCGAGTAAGCCGCCTCCAAAGAATGCCGGAGAACTCCGACCAATGACGCCAGGGTTAGTTAATAAACAATATGGATATAGTTACGAGTCTACCAGCAACTTGAAGATTGCCTCCATCCAAGTTGCGTCGGGGTGTATTGCTTTGTTACTTTTGCGCCCTTATAAAGCTTGAATGCTGTGGCGTAGTGGATAACACTGTTGCTTCTTGCCACATCGGGTGTATACCTACTGGTTCGAGCCTAGTGCTTAGACCTCGCAACATCAAGAAAAAGAGATGGAAATCAGGTTAAGGGTCAGGAGGGCGTAGGTACCCGGAAACAAGGAAATAATATCCCACTTCTCCTTATTTTAGTATTTTTCTGAAATTAAGTATTTGGCTCAAATGCAATGGTATTTGTAGCGTTAGTATTAGTTTTCCGGTTTTTAAATTAGTAATATATTTTGTATGCGGATTTGAACCATGAAAATGATAACACATCTATTTCTTAAGGTTGGATAATATCTATTATTTTCACAACTCTTCCATAGCTTGATTTTCACTAGATGAACAGCTTTCATAAATGGTAAAATGTTTGTATGTATTTTGATTAGATAATTTTGATTGGTGAAATATTCTAATAATTTTAAAATTCTGTCTGCAGTGAGCGGTTAAAACAGCGCAAGCAAGAAAAGGCCGATGCTGAAGCAAGGAAACTTAGGTGTGAAAATACAATGTACCCTACTTTCTAGATTGCAAATGTGATTGTAAAAATAGCGCTTCTCTTTTTATAAAAAAGCTTTTATAATCACCATAAGACGGGATTTCGGTCTTTCAGTTTCTTTCATAAAGATATATACAGCAAAACTCGACTCCAAGTAGTGACAGAGCTTTGTTACTCTGTAAGAACTAGAAGATTGTCTCAAACTATCCATGAAGGACTTTATATTTCATGACAGCATGTAAGTTTGATGCGCCATATTTTTAAAGAATTGAAGCCTTTTTGACACGAAAATATTCCAAAGAGTTATGTAGAAAAGGTTTGATTTCACACTGATAAACACTTGACTTCAACAGACAGATTTTATAACCGGCAAAAGCTAAAAGCGACAGAAACACGAAGAAAAATTAGAAAATAGAAAAGCGCTTGATGATATAAATCATTTTATTAATAATCTGCTGGTCTTAATGTATAGTTCGCAGGTTTTGTGAACAAATTGAGGATCTTGACTTATATCGTCTTAACTTGTTCATTATTAATGTGGTCTTAACTTTTATGATCTCCTAGGGTATGTTAGATCAATCTTCACGATTTTCGTTTCGAACATTTCATATGTGTCAATACATCAACAAGCCTCATAGATATAATTTATACCGTTAAGAACATTACTTTCAAGATTTTATATGCGATTTACGTAATTACTTAATATGAAGGAGTTTGAATATTATGCTTTGTCTCCAGAATAAGAAATCAATAAATATCTGATTTTTTCTTTATGTAGTCAAGTGACTGCCGCATCCTACCGTGAAAGCAGACAAAGATATTCAGAACTTAAGAATAAGCAGGCAAGTGTTTGTATTTTTGCCCAATGCCAAACCCAAAATTTGCTATCATGTACCATAGCAAATTGCTATTATTTTTTACCAGTATTATTATGGGAGAGTTTCTTTAGTGCCTATAGGTCAGAAATGGTTATGATTAAAATGCACCACAACTTGTTATTTTGTTGAGATTGTTTGTATTGTGAGAAGTTCCCCTCTGCTGTAATGATTCAAAAATATATCCCTCCAAGTCCCTTGCAGGAGAGGTATGTTGGGTATGGTGTGTTTTGAGTATGTTGGGTTAATCATATACCCCCGTCTAGTGCCTCGCAATGAAGCTCGTGTTTTTTTCTATCCTCGTAGACACACTCGATTTTACCACCGTCTCTGATGTACCCGAAGACGAAGAACTAGCAAACACCTATTATCTGTTTAGCTGTTTAGCCGCTTGTCTTGTCTTGTCTTGTCTTGTTTTGAAGCTGTGATTTTAATTTTTGCCCGTTCATTTTTTCAACAGACCACAGTGAATGCTGCGATTGAGTGGACAGAGCAAAAAGGGACGTTTTCGGAACCAAGAACTGAGCTCTATTCGACTGACGATATTTTTTCTCCATCAAATCACTCTCTAGACGAGGATGATTCAGGCAGGGGTATGATGGTTTCTTTTCACCTCAGCGTTCTAGAGACAGATGTTTGTCGTGTCTTGTGCATCCCAAGATATGGTTTAATATTTTGATTTTGTGAAAGCTAAGCTTTATTGATATAGCTATTAGTCAAAGTTGAAATGAAATTTTCAGTGGGCACTGGCAGATAACTGTGCTGCCATCAACTTTTTCATTGATAACACCAAGGGATTGTTTCACTTATCTGTCCAAGGCTGTTCAAATGGAGTGGAAAGTCTCAGTGCTACAGCTAGAGAATAATATTAAAATCCGTCATGAGACTTAGTCCAGTGGATGTTTCAGCGCCATAGTGAAGGCAGTGGAGGATCGCCGGACGGATCCCCTCTCCCTAAACTTGTTCTTAGAGTGATTTCCTGAGAAGAATTCAGAAAGTGCTATATAATTCCCCCTTTTTTCTTAATTATTGCTTTTCAGTTTGGTTAAGGTCATTGAAAGTGGTAAATAGGGTGCCTTCTTTATATCAAAAAGCAGCACAAACACACCTAATACAAAGCTCTCATTTTTGAACGTCGTGGCAACATCATTGCAGCTAGACCGAGCTTGATGAAACAGAAAGCAGCAATGATATCTAAAGCTTTTTTGTCAATATCACTGGACCATTCTTGATGGACTAGTATCCTCTTAAACTATAAAATATCCATGTACCAGTGAGGATAAAGGCTCCTATTGCCGCTTTAAGAAAAATGGCCTTTATTTTGTTTTTAGGATAAGTCACTTTTGAATAAGGATTTGCTTTTTGTACCAGCTGCTGTGTTTGGTATCTAGGTCAAACCTAATAAGTGGGATTCATTGTTTGGGAAAACAATTTACAACGGTTTGTCGTTGGATGTAGAATTTAATCGTAAAAATAACGTCTCTTAGTCGACAAAACTATTCTCATATTGTGATATGTGACAATTATTATGTTACGAGTTTGAAGTTAGAGGATTCAACACATTCTTGAAGCTCTGATTGGTCTTATACAGAGGTGCATTTCGTCAAAACAAACGACTTTTAGGATTTAAGGAAATGGTTTTTATGATAAGATTTCTCATGTATAATATTCCTCTGAAAAAGGGTTTCGAATCATGAATCCCAGAAGTAATTCAACAAAGGTAGGGATTATGAAGATCAGCTTTTTGTCAAGAGTATTAGCATGTAGAGCTGATTTGAGATAGTGAGGTAGTTTTCTAATTTTGCTTCTATCCCCCATTTTGATTATAGAGAGTGTATTGCGACTACTGAGGCCAAGGATTCGGAACGGAAAGGAATCTGAAAGAAGTCCCCCTGCTATAATGATTCAAAAATATATCCTTCCAAGTCCTTTGCAGGAGAGGTATGTTGGGTATGGTGTGTTTTGAGTATGTTGGGTTAATCATATACCCCCGTCGAGTGCCTCGCAATGAAGCTCGTGTTTTTTCTATCCTCGTAGACACACTCGATTTTACCACCGTCTCTGATGTACCCGAAGACGAAGAACTAGCAAACACCTATTATTCGCTAGTTGATGACTTTGAAGACGACGGCAGTTCACTGTCGGAATCCGATTCTGATGATGAATATGATGATCTTATGGAGCGAATGAACGACGCTTTGGAACTCAAAGATACTCTTAACGAAACTTCCCCTGAAAAGGACGACTTGGGTGAAAGTTTGGGCGATTCAAGTATAATGAGAAGCAAGAAAATCGAATCTTTACGCAGGTAATCTTGAATATCTTGATATTCGTATTTTCATTGGTAAAAAAAATTGCCTATTAGTCGAGGATGTGTAGTTCTTTGGGATCTGTTCTACAGAAAACAATGCGGTGCAAAATGTGATGGGTTTATGGCGTTAGTGGAGGAGAGCAGAAGATAGTATTTGTCATTTATCTGAAGTTTTTAATCGTTCGCTACATAAACATATCTCTGCTTTTACAAAATATGCTACTTTTTTTATAGAAAAATGGTCATTTCTCCTTTCATATCGTCACATTTTAGGCAACCTCTAGTAAGATTTCCACCTTGTACTTGGCCTTAAAATCCTGCTTTATGTGATCATTGTTGCCAGCTGTGGGATCTCTGCCTTTTTTCTTTTTTCGCGTTCTGTGCAGAAGTTGCTTCAGTTTATCACTGATAAGATTCGTTAGCATTTAAATTATCTTTATTGACATTTCTCTTCTGACAAAAATTACTTTTCGTGTCAATTTTGTAGTGAATGCATACGCCTCCTTGGAAAAGAGGGATTCCTCAGGTCGTACGATTATTTAAACAAAGTCAGATTTGAGTCGGAGGAGTCGCTGCTCAGCGAAGAATCAATCATGGACGGACTGCGCAATCTTGTAGATAAACCACGTGACTGTTTTCTTGTCGACCAACTATTGTTCTTAGAGAAACAGGAAGAAATATTAAGACAGTCGAGATAACAGTGTAAAAATTGCAAGTAGTCACCGTAGGTTTTTAGAAGGATGACGTTAGACTTTATCTAATGGTCTTATTTCATGCATGCCCTGTTCCGTAGAAATTGCTGCTTTTTTTCGATAGGCTTTTATGATACTCGCAGAGCTTTCATATTTATTGTGCCTTTTTTTGAACTTGCCATGAAGGAAGCTGTAGATGTGCTGGAGGGTACTGACATTACCAGAAACGTCGCAATTTTGCGATGAATTTGTTTAGAGTATACTTTTCAATGGACTGCAATGGAATTGAGCTATTCATTACGTGGTATTGAGTAATAGAAATGTGGAGATGAGACTATTGGTGAAGTGTTTATACTAGCTTTTAGTTAATTAAAACTCCTCCTTGCTGAAAGTTTGCATTCTTTCCTTAAGTAATTCACCATTTCACAAAGTTAAATGTCCCCGCGTATCAAACCTTTTGCGATATAGATAGCGTTTACGGAATTCCCTTAACTTTGCTCTAGCTGCTGACTTGGCCGGATAAAGGTGGATAGATAAATGTGGGTGCTACTAGTGCTACAGCACTAGGCCCATTTCTGAAGTAGGCCCAGATGAAGAAAGTTGAATAGGTCCAGTAATAGACCATTTTAATGCTGTATCATCAGGTCCAGTTTGGGCTTAATTCGTCACTGGGTGCTAACCTTTTGCAGTTTTGAATGGAGATCAATATTAGGGCTATAGGAACAAGACTAGAATTTAAATGATTCCCAAAGATAACACAAGCTTATTTCTATCAAAAGAGCCATAGCCCTCTTCTATACTTTGATATATTCTTTGCAGCCCATTGGAATTATCTCCAACTGTTCAGTTATTTTTATCCACTTATTGCTGTATTTACTAGCGAAGGCGAATCTTCACATATCCTTCAAACAAGGCTGATACTTTGAAGGAAGTGAAACTTACATTTAAGTGATGCTGTTCCGTTTTGAATTCCACTGCTTGCCGAAGTAGATGCGAACCAGTTATGAGAAGGCGATAATAAACTGCATTTAAGATAATTGAATAAATCCCTCTTTCAAAAGCTATTTAACTGTTAATTAATTGTTAATTAACTGTTTAACTAGATAAAGATAACAGTCTATAGTAAATTTTTCTTCAGTCCCAAACACATTAAATGTGAATTTTAGTTTTCTTAATAGTGTGTAAGTTGTATTTGATTGGTAGACTTTTTAAGTTTGCATCACCCTTTTATTAGCTGCAATACTTTTACCTCTTTTGCTTTCATGTAATATATGTTTATTATCATTGATATAAAGTATGCTTATTAACAGTGTGAATATGTAACCATGCAACTAATACCGACCCAATCAGACTTTTGGTAACGTTTTTGTATTACCAAATTTTCATTGTAACATTTGTGCTTTCTTTATTGGTTGTTTGTACTCAGTCTCCTTTTGGTACTTTTCCCTGATATTTCAACTTGATTGTGATGCCTGTGACGCAACGAAAGCCCTATGAGGTATTCTGTACAAAGGGTGACGAAGCTATGATATTGACTGTAGAGACATAATGAAAATGCTGCATGATTTCATAAAGTTAGGAGAAAAGCAGATCCAGTTAGGTTTCCACTCGTTTTTCAGTCAAAGGAGCATACACGATAGTTTGTCAGAAACTGTGAATAATAGGTGTAATGCCTACTTTTTCCTCAATTATACCTGGCGTTGCCAAACGTATCTAGGACGACTCGCATCTCTTTTAGCATAGTCCAGAAGAAAAAACGGTTCCTCGGCTGTGAGCCTGAGGAAGGTTCTCCAACGATGCAGTAATTTTGAGGAAGGTCATTCCCTGGATACAAGAGCATCAGTAAAAGGAAATGGTCGAACAGTGGTCTTTCCACTCTTTCGATGACCCACTCTATCACTGAGGCTCTGGCACCCAGGGTAGGAAGGCCAATACTTTACTTGACAAGGGTATATGAAGCGAGAGAAATTTACCTTTGTGCTTAAGGTTTTTATTTTTTTCTAACAAAGTTTAAGACCAAACCATAGATGGTTTTACTTAAATTTTTTCCCAAAAAAGAATTCCATAAGATACAAAGAAAATTTTGAGGAAGGCAAGTAGGGCTAAATTTCATCCGGAGGGAGGTTTAGCCCTTCTCTAAACTCCGATTTAGTATGCTGCAATAAGAAAATCGAGTAAAAAGTATATGACATGAGTTACATACGTATTTTTTGTTTTCATATTTGATTCATGCTAGCACGCTTGTTTTCTCATCATATTAAGCTTTTGCTGAATTTTGCAAAGGTTCTTTTTTCTTAGGATTTTATTTTGTCAAAGGAAAATGACATCATCGGTCATTTTGTCAGTGGCCGATGACAAAATGAGTGGTCAAACTGCGTTCTCTAAAAGCGTCAGATTTTGCCTGCCACAGTCGACCAGCCTGCTATCTGGATAGCAGCCCACCAGGCTGCTGCTTTGATACAACGTTACATTAAAATTTAAGTAGGCACTGTGTAGCCAGTGTGCATAACAAGCGCTACAAGACCAGATCGTGCTCTACTTCCTTGATTTGTTTGGTTTCAAAAACTGGTTATTCTTAGAACCAACTCTGGGTCTTTCATTTTTCAGATATAACAAACAACTTGTAAGATGCAAACTCATATTTGCGTGACGTCTTTTTGTATTACCCCTGAAACGATTTACTTTCAATGCTAAACCTGTTCACATACCCCATCATACATAATAAGCCCAAGATCCCCTTGCTTTCCTCCTTACAGCATCTATGGCTTGATTAAGGCATCATTGTCTTAAAATACAGCATCTCTTCTAAGCTAGTGTTTTTACGATCGTCAAAATGTTTTCATCAAATTATGGTATTCTTCGATCTTTTTCAAGATTGTACTTTTAACACTAGGTAGAGTTTGCCACAGTTTTGTCATAGATTCTAGGAATAAACACGAAGTTTCCCCGGTAATATAGATAAACTTTCATGATTAGTACGTATCACAATTTGTAGGTATCTTTTCATCATTTGCAAGGGAAATGATGATTAGGCCTAGATAATCCCCGTTTGTCCCGGTTTTTGTTGAGATGGAGGCTTGAGTTGGCGAGCATGAGCCGCAGTGTGACGTATTTCCTCTTTAGTTGCCCAACCCTCGTTGTGAAGAGACTCGGGCCTGGAAGACTGTTTTGGTGTCAGGATGATGGACATGGATGGGTGTTGTGTCAAATTCATTTGTAATTCTGTTTGCTATTAATTTACCTGGAGAATTCATGATATTTCAACATGAAAGTTACCTAATGAAGTCAGCAGTTCTACTTCTAAATAGCTTTCCTTCGTGAAATGTTGCACATCAAAGCAAGAGGTGTTTTCTGTGGCTGAATAGGAATTCATAAAGACCTATTTCCGATTACCAGCTATTCCTGATAGCAGTGAATTATTTATTCTCATCCGCAACACTGGAAATCTGAGATTTCATTCCTTTCGAAAGGGTTAAATGTGATACATGACTGGAAATAGTTCATGGTAAAACTGCCTGGCTATTGGAGTTAGAAAGGGAAGTTGGTCAGGGCCTAACATATTTACTTTTAGCCGCCAGTCATGACTGTGGAAGATGAACACGAGGAACTTGTTGCAGAGCTTGCAAGATTAGAAAAGCTTTCTGCAGAAGAACGTTTGAAGGCAGCGAGGAAGCGCAGGCTATCTCAATTAGAAAGATGGAAGAAAGTAAAACAAACAGAGGATTTGTTTCCACCTATCCAGAAGGCAAATAAGGGTAGGCCTGTCAAGTTTGAGGACAGTACTACACTGATTGAAGCATCCGCCAGAAATGACGCTGAGGAAGGTATGTATTCCTGTGCTTTCTTAACATGTTCGCATATTAAAAGCACGAATTATTCATTCTTCACGAATTTTGCTGGTTACCCATAAAGTTTTCGAAGGTCAGCCTAGTTCCTAAAATGTTTCACGCTACGGAGTTGCTACGTTCTTGTCACCCCAGACATTCGTACCTTTGATGTAACTGCGAATATTTTGGAAACAAAACAAAACTCGTGAATGACATTCCTTCCCAGTAATAGCTAATTTTACATTGATTTGCTTATGTAGATTCGTGAATGTAATCTGGTTTAAAACTCTGTTTTTAAAGAGCTGGTATGCATAAAGTTGTTAAAATTTTATGGCCAGACTGCGGCTTCCGTTTGAAGAAAGTGTGATCCGCGCTTTTGTAAAGAAAATGTGCAAATTATAAGAAAATTACAGTAATCTATTATCCTAAAGCGGTCGTTAATTTAATTGAAGAACCAGAAATCCTTTTACCACAGTGCTAAAAGTGACATTCTTATTTCTATGCTTGTTTTCTTGCAAATTCCAGTAAAAGCAAAAAAACTGTTTGAATCTTCTCTACTGAAGGTAGACGAGTAAAACTGGTAGATGTAGAAGAAAAGTTGTCTCAGTTTCAAAAGGCACAACTCCTTATTTAAAATTGATTTTTTCTGGAGAAATTTGCCATAGCTTTGTTTGAAAATGCTTGGTATGCCATACTTGATGATAAGATTTAAAGTTTCTTGCTTCGTCTATTTGTTTTAGATAAAAAAGGGTATTAGATAGCTTTATTTCTTAATGCTGAAAACATGGCCCATAATCTGCAATTTATATAATTTTGTTTTTACTCTCTGATTCATGTGTTCATTGTTATAGGAGGGTTTCATCAGGTTGTGGCTAAACCAAATTTCTTTATAATTTGTAATTGAAATAGCATTATCAGCTTCAATCTCACCACAAATTGCTTTAATCTCATGATTTTATGGTTCTTGGCCAAAAATTCTTCCAAGTAAAACCCTTATCCTTTATACTGGTTCTTCTGTCAATGTTTTCTGAAAAGGCACTGGTGCTAGGAGAAATTTGTATAAATAATTCATTTAATTTATCTAGCAGGCTATCTTTTGTCCAATAAATCATCCCTTTCCACAACCATCTAACAAATTGGCCTGTATATCCACTTTTATGTACGGTAAATCCTCAAATTAGCCCCCTGGGGGCTTATTTATTTTTGCTATTTTTGGATGGGGGCCTATTCGAGGGGGCTTATAAAATTATTGTAGACATCGAGAAGACATTATTAAAAGACCTCATTTATTTTAGTAGGAATTTCTTTATGAGCATTCAATTAATTACTACCAAAAGTATGAATTTGTTGTGGTAATTCAATAAAAGGCCATAAGCAACCTCAAATGGCAAAAATCATCAAATGAGGGGTCCAATTTGAGAATTTACGTTGGCACTAATGACACTTTTCCTCTGAAAATTTGTTTTGTTGTTCTGTATCAAACAAAAAACCATTGTCATCAAACAATAAACATTGAGAAAAATTGTTTAAAAATCCAGATTAAAGTTTAAAAATCCAACAAGTTCATTTGGCAACTACTAACCAGAAGTCTGTTTGATTGCATTGCCTTTCTTGACCAGTCTACAAAGATTGGCAGATGTAGGAACTCAGGAACATACTTAAGTTTGATATTTTACACCAAACTCAAGACAGCACTGTTATTGAAAAACTTTTGTTAGGTTACAATTTGATTGGTAAAAGGAGGTTAGTATGCTGAAAATATGCCCAATATGGCTATGCAAGTGAGAGATCTTTTCAATAGCTGCTATACTCTATTACCAAACCAAATTAACCTTGAAGATTATACTTAATCTGTCTTAATGAACATTACTGTTTACCAGTTTGTCATCAAGTGCTTGTTGCTTGAATTGTTGCTTTAATTGTTGCTTAAGTAGAAACTTAAAACTACCCTGTTCTATACACCAAATAGGCTTATGTTCTCTTTTGACTAAGTTGAAAAAAATGAAAGAATGGTCTGCTATATAAATCAATTTCTATCATTCCATTGCAGTAGAAAGACTGATCAAGCAAGGAATCAGCCCAGATTTACAAAATCTGGATGGTTTAAGTGCTTTACATCAGGTAACTGCCAATTAATTTCTGTATTTTTCAAGGTTAATATTCAGCCAAGTTCTTTGTTGGTTCATAGTTTACCCTTTTGTGTTCATTTATAGATTTATTTTAAGTGTCTTATCACACATGCTTCCAGTGGTTGATTATACATGATATGGTACCACAAATCTTGAACTGAAGTTCAGGGAAATCTCTTCCCATGAAGAAAAATTTTAAAGTTTGGCCAATATAGTTACTTTATCTTTATGAATTATAGAAGTCTTAATAGAGTCTATCAATTGTTTCTGTTCTTGGTAATCATTTTTAAGTTTGAAAGTACTAAAGAACTTTTTATTTAGAATGACATATATGTTTTATGGATTCTAGGCAGTGATTGAAGATTGTGAAGAGGTAGTGCATGTCCTTGTGGCAGGTGGTGCCAATTTAAATGTTAAAGATGCTGATTTTTGGACACCATTGCATGCTGCAGTTGCTTGTGGAAATTATGATTTAGTGAAAATCCTTGGTGACAATGGAGCTGACCTGGTTGCAATTAATGCTGATGGGAACATGCCTATTGATCTTGTGGATGAAAATGAAGATATTGAAGTATATCTTGACAATGCTATGACAGAAAAAGGTATCTTTTCTCCCATGTTTTGATTTTCATATCATTTAAAGTCAAGCAGTCTGCCTGTGGGTGCTGTTTCAGAACTTTGTGGAATAAGACAATTTTGTTGTTTGTTTCTTTTAATAGTCCAGTCGCTTAACTCAAGTTCGTGATCAGATTGTGACAGACTAGAACAAAGCACCAAACTTTTCATGGTGATACCTGGGGGCATGGGGAACACTCCCCATTTAGCGATGTTGCTTCCTTTCAGCTGAGAATAATTTTACTCAGTGAAGTTCAGTTTATCTCCTTGATTTTCTACAGCAACAGATGGGGCTGACTTGCAGATGCTTTCCCCAAATTTTTTTTCTATGCAACTGCATTAAATTTTGAAAACTTATTTTCATAGCTGAATTATATCAAATCATTTTCAAAGCTAAGAAGGTTTCCTAAGAATTTTAGTAATCATCTGCTAAATCAAAATGTTTAGGCTATATTGTTATAAAAACCACTTTAATCATTACAACAAAAATCACATGTCAACATAAGTTCATTTTTTCTTTTGCTTGCCAAGAAAATTGTGACAGTATTGTCCTCTTTTCTGAAAACCCCTTGCAACTCGAAGTTTTACCTGGTCATTACTCATTGGCATACTATTTTTCAAATTTGCCCAGAGTGTGCAATTTTCTTGTCATCATTTGACAAGAATTCATCCTTCCTTTACCATGCTTTACTTCATAATCAACTGTCAAGCGCAAGCAAAAAATTAGATTATTCAGGAGACGAATCTTCAAAACAATCCTGCTAGCATTTTCTTATCTTTCTTAATGCTATGGCTTGAGTAAAAGAAATAGGTTTTTCCCTACATGTGTTTACAGCTAACGCCAAAGTTTTGTTTAGTTAACTACTGAATGGAAGGTTTGGTGCTTTGTTTCAGTCTGTCACAATTTTCATCTTAAGCGACTGGACTATAAAAGGTATTGAGTTCATCACATTTTTTCATCAATTGTATTATTTTTATTCAACTAGTTTGTGAATTGGTTACAAAGCTTGTATGATAAAATGTGATGAGGTACCACAGAGAGTGCTGTAAAATGTAGTGTTTACAGCAAGAATTTTTGCATACAATTACTGATCAGCAATCAAACACTTAAATGTTTTGAATTAAATAGTGAAATAGTATTCATGCAATGCAGAGCTTCAAAATTTTTATATGATGTAAGAAAATTAGGAGCTTGGACTAGATGTGACATGTCTCATGGAAAATGGGTGTTCTGTTAGGCTACACAGAAGAGCAACTTGAAAACATTCGCAATGCAGTTGCAGAGGAAATGCTACTTGATTTACGAGAAAGTGTTCAAAAAGGAAGAGATCTTGATTTAAAAGATGAAACTGGAGCTACTGCAGTAAGTTTTTTGAGCCGATATGATCAAATAACAAATTCAGTGCTGAATCAGATTTGTAAGGTGCTGTGTCGCCACAATATGCATTGTTATGAGTACTGTCACACAGGAAAGAAAAAGTCCTGCTAGGATCTATAATAAGCTCATTTAGCACTTCCTATTGTTATTTTATCATTATTTAATATGTATTTTTTGTTTGGGACACTATCGTTTTGCTTTTAGTTGAATTTCTGCCAAAAACTCAAAAACTGATTATTGATTTTATGTTTTAGAAGTTATGTTCCTGTATGTCATAACAAAAGAGCAAGACATGTTCTTTAGGTTAATTGTGTTTGCCTTGAGTTAATTTAATAGGGTTTACATTTTTTATCTGATTTTGAGAAAGTTTACTATTCTCTGTCTGAGATGAATATCCACACTCAGTAACTTTACAAAATGATAAATTAATTTGTGTTAAAAGAATGCTCAATGTTTATTTTTTTGCCCAAATGATATCATATTTTTGTTATATTTATATTTTTGTTGATATTAGTTAGTTTTTATTTCTAGTTGCTTGTTTTGTTTAATAAAATTGTATAATTTATTATCAAACCATTTTTAGAGTGTTTGTGTAATTTGCTGATGTACTATGATATAAGATATTCCAGTAAATTTGAAATATTAATCTCTGGCTTGTTAAAACATGCCTTTTTATCAAAACAGGATTGATTTTATTATCTTTAGCTGCATCTTTTAAGTACACATAATAAATTATTTTGTTTCAGATGCACGTAGCCGCAGCCAATGGCTACATAGATGTAATAGAGTTTCTGCTAGATAATGGTGCAAAATTAGATGTTACCGACAAAGATGGTTGGCAGCCAGTACATGCTGCTGCTTGCTGGGGTCATGTTAGTATTTCTGTTCACATGACTTTGTACAAGTCTTTCTTATTTGTAATTGAGTGTACAGCTGAAAATAGGAATTGTCAAAACATTAAGAAGACAATTATACCATATTGGTAATATTCAACATGTTTCATGTTGTATATAAGCAAATTTAGTAGATTTCCAATTATGTTCAATTAAAAGTAACACATATAAAAAGCATTAATGCTCATTATTCCATTATTTTTTTGGATTATTCATATTTCTATGTTGTAGCTTTTCAATACATTGCTATTCGAAAATAATATTATTTTATTGGAATTAACAATATTAATATGTACATATGAAATCAGAGATTTGCAATGTTGAAATACCAACATATTCTGCACAAAACAGTCATAGCATTACAGGATTCAAAGATGATATAAAAATCTATCAAAGTGGAAATGTGTCAATTCTCAATTAAGCTTTTTAGGTTGAGATTTTTTTGTTACAAGACATCATGTGCAAACTTAATTGAATATGAAGTCATTTTTAAATGATCAGAATTTATTTCTGTTAATTCTCTATGGTTCTGATTTTAATTCTTGGATATTACTTAAGTACTTTGAAATACTAGCAAATACTATCAATTTAAAGTAGAAACACAAGCATTTAACTTGATTTATTTGAAATTTAAGCTATTATGCATTGAGAAACACATTTTTTCCAAAACACTGTAGCTATTGAAATTTTACTTGTCCAGGATGCTGTAATCGAAATATTATTCAGTCATGGTGCAGATCTTGATGCGAAAAATAATGACAATGAAACTCCGTTTGGTAAGTCATTTTTGGTTGTTTTTTTGCACATTTCTAAGTAATTTTTTGATATCCAATTTTCAAGATTTTCCATTAGATGTTTGCAGAAGTTTTTTCATAGGTACAATTTCTAACTAATTTTTTTTAATTTGACATGAATTTTTTTCATTTCGTATATTTATTTTGTCATAACCTTATGTTTCAAATGTAAAAGCACCCATGTTCAGTTTCCAATTAGCAAATTCTCTTAGTATATTTAAAGAAGAATTCAAGTTTGCCCTTGATTTGCTGGAAGGGAAACTTTTATCCACCATTCAATGTTGATTTTGACAGTGTTGTCATAGAGCTGGCATATTTTTCTTATGTGAGAAAATGGAAGAACCGCAGGATAGGCTGTCCGCCGGATTCTGTGAATCTTGCAATGAGTGTTGTTACGAAAGATATACAGGAACAAAGCAATACGACGACGAGAATCCAATGTCATGAGATAAAATTTTCAAAATTAATTAAGTTTAAGGAATAAACTTATATTTTGCCCCGGCAAACAGGGCTTCATCAGAGTAAAAAATATCTTATTTAAATATTTTTAATATTTAGTTTAATTTAATATAATAGTAAAAATATTTTTCATAGACTTGACAGAAGACATAGAGCTCATTGAAATTATGGAGGAGCTGAAAAATTCAGGGCGTAAGATTCAGAAGTCTGTAAAGCGAACTCAGAGTAGCAGCTCAAGAACGTAAGTGTGTTTTGTTCTAAGTTTGTTGTTATGTTATGTTATGTTATGTTATGTTATGTTATGTTATGTTATGTTATGTTATGTTATGTTATGTTATGTTATGTTATGTTATGTTATGTTATGTTATGTTATGTTATGTTATGTTATGTTATGTTATGTTATGTTATGTTATGTTATGTTATGTTGTTATGTTATGTTATGTTGTGCTGTGTTGTGTTGTGTTGTGTTGTGTTGTGTTGTGTTGTGTTGTGTTATGTTATGTTATGTTATGTTATGTATGTTATTGATGTTTTGATCCACATTTATCCGCCTCATGCGATAACGTATTTTTGGCTTCTGTATCTTAACCGGAAACCATTGAAAATTTAACATATTCTTTTAGTTAACAATAATTTTACTCCTTAATTTTAGTTAACAATAATCTGTTACTCCTTAGACTTTGTGTACGAAGATTGAGCTTGGTAGACAAACACCTTACATCAAAAAATGATGCAAAAAGTGAAGGAAGATTTTTCCAAAAGCCGGAAGTAATGAATGTAATGATAAATGCGGTGAGTATTGATTGGTGACTTGTTCTTTATTTAATAAAAACAGATCATCGATTAAAGCTTTGGTTAGCTTTTGATTCTCCAGGTTTAGTGTCTTGAATTTTATTTTAACTATGACATTGAGAGAGCTTCATAAATTTCTCATATTTTCTTCATTGTGAAATCACACCCCATGCACAGTAAAGTAAAGAATTAAACCGAATGATTTTGCTTATTTTGCGGAGAGATATTTTGTGCAGCCATTTACGTTCCAAATATTAAAAGTGGAGAGATGTTTGATGGCTTTTCTTTTACATCGACGATGGTTATTTTTATAATGTAATTTGTTTTTAGGAACATAAATTGTATATGCATTGAAAAACATTTCCGATCCCTATAATGACTTGGCCGTTTAAAGCATTCCGTTGCATGTATCGGTTGACCACATGTTCCTTCCTTGTTATCTTTTGAAACCTCATTTTAAATAAAGTTGTAACACCTTTCCCATCGCTGGCCTACCTCGCGCCACCTCAGTATCTCACAGCCAGATGTGATAATGATTTGCATTCATACCTTGCCAAAAAAACACAGTAACCTTTTGAAATAAAAGATGTTTCGATACAGCTACACAGACAGCAGTTCTCAGCTGATAACTACCTTCAAGTAAAACAGCTTTATATGTTTTTGACTGTAGCGCAGCCACGTATCTGCAGGAGGGGGCACGGGGGCTGTGCCCCCCAAATGAAAATTTTGACAACAGCTTGTCCCCTCTGGCTACAGTTTTTTCAAATATGATATTTTGAAAATTTGGCATATTTATAATTCCATGACCTTGATTTGTCGAAATATATCTGTTTGTTATATATCTGTTTTCTTGTTTTAAAGCCCCGAGGTATGGTTTTTGCTCGAGTTTGCCCCCCCCCCTAGCCGACACCTACAGCTACGTGGTTGCTGTAGCATTTTTAAAACTTACCAGTGTAACAGTGATATTCAATTTGAAGAATTGTTTTATTACCTAGAAGGTAGAGTTGCCTTTATGCTTTCCAAACTTGTATCTTTTTGGATTTCATCGGGTTTTGTATGAAATTTTGCTAAATTGCGTCATAATTCTAGGGCGAGGCAGAAGATGACGATGAACAAAAACGAAACAGTATTAAACTGAATTCTGCTGAAACTCCGGAACCTCCTGAACGACAAAATACTCCATCTAATTCTGCAAAAGCAGGTTTATTTGCAGCCCCACTTCGGCCTCCATCGGTCTCTCGCCAATCTGTGGAATATTCAAGCAACGAGCAGGCATCACCTGCTTTCATTCAAGTGAACGAAGAGAAGAGAAACAACGGAATCAAGGGGGATGCCCCTGTTGACGAGAGTAAAGTCAGTATAACGATAACAGAGAGCAAAAAAGACAACGCAACAGTGCCACATCTTGTGTCGTATAGAAAGATTGCAAGCCCGACAGCAGGTTTTATTTTAGTTTATTTTCTACTTGTTATATTTAATAGCAATTAACAATGGATTCCACCTGAGCAAGATTGTGAATTGTAATAAAAAATTCAGAAAACGCTTCAACCTTTCCTCCTGATGAAGTTTTCTCTCTTTACATATCTCAACATTTTCCTTGTGTCTTTTGAATAAATGCTCTTTTGAGTAAATCACCGGTAGTTTGGTCTGTACGCTTTGTCAGGAAAAATTAAAAGTTGAAGCACAACAGTAAATTCTTATCACTATATAAACTCTTCTCAAGGTATGCATAGGCCTTCCTCAAACTACTTCATTGTTGGATAACCTCCTCCTAGGGCTCCAACCGTCAGGAATGTATGTTGATTTCGACACATCTTGCTTCTGTCTTTGTGATCATTTCTAATTGCTTCAGAACATAACAGCATTGCTTAACACGCTTCCAACTTTCCTAATGCCTGTAGCACCAAGTGTTTGCAGTAGATCAAAACGAGACAGACCTATAACATGTCTTCAAACGGGATTGGTCTTTGTGACTGTGTACGTTTCTCTTCAGTCTTCACCTGCCTGTTGTATATAGCCTTTGCAATGTACCCAGACAACTACAGGCTGACTGCACTTTTAAAAGTAGGCCTATTTAGGTACAAAACATCGTCTATTATACTTTTGAAAAGGAGCATAGACGTTTAAGATCATTTAGTCCTTCTTGCTATTTTGCTTTCTGGCTTCACAGAGTTCTTAGTTTGAATGGACATTGTTTTTCGAACTAATTTCGGCGAAAATCTTTAGACGCCGGGTGCTTTGATTTTTTATCCACACCCTTTAGTTTTTTATCTTTGTGTTGTTTTGTATAATACCTGCATTTATTATTTTTCTGTCAATACTTATATGAAAATTTTATTCTGTAGCACCCTTGGAAAATCATTTATTTTTTCAAAGGCTTCCTTTTAACAAGGCTTGTATGACTGACGGGAATAATGATAAAAGAATTTAAATGTTTTCATAATACTTCTTTATTACTTCTTTAAATTCAAATCTTTCCTATGAATTCACAACTCTCTCGTTTTAGACGCTCCGGTGGCGCAACCAGAAGTAGACTCGCCTATGCAGAAGGATGCCGGCGGTGCACAAAGTTTAGACAAAACAGCTGAAGCGAACTCAAAGATTAGTAGCGAAACTCGAAATGACAAAAACAGTGCCGAAGCGCCCAACGGCAAATTGGCCGTGCGGAACGACGGTACCGTTCATAAGAAGTGTTGTAGTATACTATAATTTTGATTTAAGCATTAAAAATAAGATAAACATCCATTATTTACCTATAAGGAGCATTGCATCTACCAACACCCTAGATAATTTTATCCATAACTGCCGCCTGTTTTGCAGCAAGTCGTCAAGTTTATTTCGTCAAGTTTCATGATACGTGTTTGTTTTTTCGATATTTGTTTTTTGTCAGGTAGTTTCAGAATAGTATACATCGATCCGTTTGCAGTTGAAATTGAGCATTTGGCCTTAAGTAAATCTTTCAGTTTTATCGCATTTTAAGCGCCCTTTCTTAGAAATTATGTCATTAACTGGAACGTCCCATTTCCTGTGTTGGTCACCTTTGGCCATTATCACTTACAGCCATATTTATGGCCTTGTATGACAGCATGCCAATGGAAGGTTCTCGCCGCAGTTTTGTCAATAAAATCATCAGCCTTAAGGCAGTTTTGTTGTGGTGTCTGCCGTCAGTAGGCCGCGGTAATTAATGTTATTAAATACCTAGAAAATATTTTTCTACCTGGCTGTCTCGCTTAGCGATATCGAACAATCGTATTTTAGTAGTTGATATCTCAATGAAAAATCCAATTTTGTTTGTAAGTTAGGCAAATGATTTCTAATTGATTAACGCAAGACGATTTGTATCATCAGTGCAAATCCCATTTTTCGGTATCTGTGACCAAAACTCCCATAGGCCTATTTTTTAGGCCTTGCTTTAAGATCTTGCTTTATTCCCTATTCATACTCATCAAATTTTTTTGGTGTTTAAAATATAAGTTTAGAATCCTCAATTAAAGCCACCAGGTGTTAGCGGTAAATGAAAACCATTTGGTAATTTGAATTTAATGTATATTTCTGTATATTGATTAGGATACTATCTGCCGCCATTTTGAAATGTTTTTTCACCCTGCGTCGGTTATCCACACAATTTAATTTATCAAATAACAGCCACTGTGGGGCCTTTAGAGCCTTGTTACCATATTTTTATTTGCCTTAATGCTACGTTTGTCAGTTATGCTTTTATATCCTGGTTTTTTAATTGAGATTGAAGATGCAACATGATTTTCTGTGATAATTTTGCATGCGCAACGTTTCAGGGGGACGATAAAATCGTTTCATCGTAAAAAAATGTTTTCAGGGACTCTTTTTGTCTTTAGGCGTAATTGGCATGTTTCTGATGTGTGTATTGGTATGATTTGTTTAAAATTAATCTAAACATTATACTTGGCGGAGTAAATTCTTACAGATGTCTGAATGTAGTTCGATCTTTTGCTGGTAGAAGATATTTTATAGAATACAGACTTGTAGCATTTCATAGTTATGATGCCTCTACATTTCTTGGTTGCCATTCCTCTGCTTTGGTTGTGATCATGACTAATGAAAACTTTAAAATCAGCAATATGAAAGTTTTCAACGAAACAGCAAAACAGCGAAACAAATGACAGAAATAAACGACAAAATCTAAAATTTTGAATTTGTTGGTTCTGAATATCGAATGTCTTGATTCAATAGAAAGTTGATTAGGAGTCAGAAAAGTGAGGGCACAGCAAGAATGAAACGTCTGCTATTAACTAAATGAACGGAAATTTTGTATACTCCAGTCGTGAAGGCCTTTCTATGCTTGATGTTCGTCGCAATCATAAATGTTCAAAGAAAAATTAGAATTTTACAACAACGTAGAATCCGAGAAAAGAAATATGGGACTTCGAAAGAAAATCAAAAACTGCAATGGAAGTGCATCAACAGCTTTATATATTATCAGTAATATCTTTTTTTTCACTAAGGTGAGCCCAAAACAGGATCTCTATGTCAATCAAGTACTGTATTTCAGTGGCTTTTAAAACGCTTATTCATTTACAAAAGAAAGGGGACGTTTTTTGAGAGCCACGAGGCTCAGAATCTGAAGGTAGGGGTTCCTTGTCTCATAGCTATACAGTCTACTCCTTTTGTTGGGGGTTCACCATCCTTAATTCAAAGGAATTGTCTACCGCACCCCCCCCCAGTTGCCAACCGACCGACACCTTTGTTACAAGATGTTGTGGTTGTTGTTGATGTTGACAGTTGTTTGAGGTTTTCAAAATGGAGGCTTTGCTAAGCTGAAATTGTTTCAGATGGAGAAATTAGAAGTTTCATTTTAGAGACTAAGAGCAGACTGTTGAAACGAAAGGTATTTAGTAAGCTTCTTAACACTTTTCGTTTATGAGCAGCTTATAAATGTAGCTGGAGTAAATCATATTGTCACGGTATTACCAAGCGAAGAAAGCCACAAAAGTTGCTTTGGAGAGGCTTTACCTATTCTCAGCTCTTTTCAGTGAAGCCCAATGGATTGTAGCAACCATTGGGCAATGGATTGTAGCAACCAAATTTCTACCAATTTTATAGCCAAGTTGTGGTGTACAATCGTCATTCAATTGTGAAGCGAACAAATGTAAATATGACTAGGCCTATTTATTCCTTATAGATTAGTGGCAGTATGAATTTTTTGTATGTCTGTCTACTGGCTATCTTGTGATACTTGCTTGAGCTTTCATGAGCAAACAACAAAAATATTTTTTGCTCATTACTATTCTGGATGTAAAGAAAGATGAAAAATGAGTGAAAAACCCAAGTAGGCCTATATGAGTGCCAGATGTGTATGAGCAAATCTACAGGAGGTTGAGCACTTGGCTATTTGAAGAAAAAAATACTAATGCACTTTTGCTGCTGACCCAGGTCGTAAGGACAGGAACTGTATTTTTTGCAAATTTCTCTTTATTCAGAAACTTCCCTTCATCACCTGCACATTTTCACAATTTTGTCTTAAAAATTTCAACATACTGTTTTTTGTCATCAATGTTGAGATTTCAGGCATAAGCTACTTGGAAATATTGATTGATGATATCAAACTTTGAACAGTGAAGTTCTAAGTTGTCTCAACTAAGTATCATTTTATTATATATAGACTGGTTTGTTTTTACAGTTAAGGGTATATTTTTGATATTCACATGTGATCCATTAGTTCTTAAGGTTTCAATAGGATCCAGGAGCATTGTGTAATATATTCTGATTATAAATGTTAACACTCAGGTCATGGTAAAAAGATGCGTGTATTTCATTTTAAGCTTCTATTGCCGTAAACAATTTAACTAAAGGTGTGAAAGTCCATTATCCTTTAATACAATAACACAACATTTGACAACTGTGAGTAGTGGCAGAAGATTAAATCCAATCAATCATTAATAGTTATCAAAATTCCACATGTCCCTTTGTCATAATTTTTGTCATGTTTGTCCTCTATACAAAACTAAAACCACAACATCTTTGCTGAGGTATTCAAAGTTTGAAACTATATTCCAAACTATGTTTGTACCTCACCTCATTTTATAATAAATTTTTGTACACTGCTTCATAGATTCTTACCAAGAATAGTGGAAAAACAGAAAGTAATTTAATGATAATCAAATTTGCCCAAGTATTTGACTGTACAATTTTTTATTTCAAAATTTAAAGGTCTTGATGTTATGGACTAAGGTTAGTTGTGTAATAGAATTGATATTTACATTTTAGGCTTAATTTGTTAAGAATTTGAAAAATTGTGCATCCAAAATTTAGTTAGTATAAAAATTCATATTAACATTAAATGATGTTTATTTACGTACCTGAACATTTCAGTTATACTATGAAATATCATTCATGAAGATGCAAATGGAAAGTGTGAATTCTTGTGTCCCACACATTTATAAACATTATCTTATATTTGGATTTGCTTTTTAACTTCAATCTTTCTTGGTTTAGTTTGAATCAGCTCAATGCTTATTTGCATACCTCCCTGCTGAAAATTTTCAGATGACATTTGATTAAAGTTGAACAAATCAAGATCACAATATGAATTTAGAAGATCCAACAGCTGATGAGATGCCTGTAAGAGATGTGCCAGTACCAAGAGGTATCTTTTATATTTTGCTTATCCTGATATTGTGAAGGTACACCAGATTATGTTATTACAGTGAAGATAATTACTTCCAACTCAAATAGTGTATTAGTCTCTAAAGGTTTATATTGGCTCAACCTCTGTTAGATGCCTGATTTTAGAAGCCATAGAAAAATTTAAGTGATAGATTTAGACTGAGAGCCTAAATTACAATTTTCCCATAGACATCCACTCTATATTAATGCAATGCAATGTCAAGGCATTTTTGGTAAGGCAGTTTGTTTAAAATTTTTGAAAGTTATATCAAACTCTATCACTTAACACACTGTAGGAGCAAGCAGTTTAAAACCTGCTACCCAAATGTTGCTTGGCAGACAGCTGCTATTCACTTTCAATAAGTTGTTAGAGTTATCCAATGCAAAACTATAGATTAATTACTGACTTTTTCTTTGCAGCACCAACAAAAAACATAAGTGAAGCAAAAGAAAGACAACTTGTTGCAGCTCTCAGCAGACAGGACCTAGAAGACAGATATCTCAGACTTAGAGAAGAACATGTTGTAAGCTGCTTCACTTCACTCACCTTAAGTTAATAATTTCCAATTTTTTTCCCCTGTTGGATTTTTTTGTCATTTTGAGTGATACTGATGCTCGTAGCTGCATTATGTCACTTTTTGTGAAAAAGGAGAACGTCAGTCATCCTGTCTCTTAGCTGCATTAGATGTTGATATAGTCGAAGAAATCTAGAGTGTCAAAAACAGTTCTATTTTTGATAAATAAAAAAGAATCTCTCAAAAGCTTTCTTTAACATTATTTTTTATCCCAAGGAATTGAAGAAATTGACAAGAACACAAGAAGAAAAGATGAAGCAGTCAGTTTTATTTTCAATTTTTATCATTGTTCAAAGTCACTATCTTATTGTAGGAAATTTCAACTGTGATGTATTTGACACAGTAAAAAATTGACATGACAGTAGTTGGGAGTGAAAACTAAACCTATCATAGATGTAAAAGGGTTTGCATGAGATAGTGTTACCTAAATATACTGCAAGAACAGAACATAAAATTCAAGCAAAACATGATATTGAAACAGAGCATAACAAAAACAGAATGTAACTGAAAAAAAATAGCATAAGACCTGAACATCAAAATAAAGTACTCATCATCTTCTAATTTACGAATACAGCTATATATCTACATTGCTTTAAGTTATGCAGTTCGTTTGAACTTGCAGTCGTTATCAATGATCATCTTTATCACATGCTCGCATTCCTGATTGGCCTATTTCGACCCACAACTGGGTACATATTTTTGAACTCAACAAATTTGATCATAATTTTGACATTCAGACTGAAGAATGTGAGAGGATAAGCTTAGGTATGTCTTGAAATTTTTGCACTTTTCAGTCATTCTTCAATTGTGTGCTTCCAAAAAAGTTAGTAAATGGTGTCATATTTTGCAAGATAACGCTAGAAATGCCTTATATCAGTCACAGGTATCTATATTAAATTCTGCGTTGTCATCTTAATCATTCCAATCATGTCTAAAAAATCTTTCCTGTAGTTTCCTTGTTCTTTTGATTCGCTTAATTTCATTTCTCCATGATTTTCTTGTTTTAGGATGGCAACCAAGCTTTTGAGATTGTTCAAAGATAAAAAGAAAATTGATGGACAAGATGGAGGTTAGTAAAATTTTACTAGCAGTGGTTGTCAATATTTTATCATTCCTAAAACAGTACATCGCGCATATCTTCTGAAGCTGTTATTATATTTAATTCTGAAGCTGTAGCATATCAGTGATCTTATAAAATAAAAATAGTTTTTAGAAATATTACATGTTTCAAGCAATACCTTACTCTCAAGAGACAATAATGAGCTCTATTTCAACTATTTTGCTATTTTTACACTGCCCATACAAATAATTCGTCTTGATGATATAAAGCCCATTCCTCCGGGAAATAAAGAAAATGCCACCTGAGATAAATATATAATATTAAACACTCACGGATCTTCTAAAGGAATAATAATCAAGTTTTGTTACTTCATTTTCGACAAAGTTATTGCTAAAACAAATATGGGCTGAATGCTTGAGGCGCCATATTTTCTATTTTTCTGTCAATTTAATTGCTGAATCGTTAGTCAAGCTCATCTCTGTATCAAAGGTTTGCTTGGAGCATCAAAGTTTCTGTCAATAAAACAGAACAATATGGGTTGTTCTGTTTTAAACCCTCTGTAGATGCAAGATATCTGTAGAATCGTTACAGCCCCAAACAGAGCAGTATTATTGAAAATGGAGCTGAATAATGTTTCTGTATGGAGTTGTAGCATTTTCACTTGAAAAATAGGTTTTAGCAAACCTATCGCTCTTGAAGCGTCAAATAAATGATCATCTGAATTTGCTTATTCTGTGCGAGTTTATGAACATAATATGGGTCTTAGAATCAGAAAAAAGAGCGAACAAAGACAAGAGCCCTGTGCAACCTCTATCTCGACTTTCTCTGAAGTAGAATCTAGAATCAGGTAGGGGTGTAGAACTAGGGGGGCTCGGGGGGAGGGGCTAAGACTACCTTATTAATGCCCAAAAGAAGCCAATTTCTACTTTTGCTATTGTTTTTAGTAACTTTACGTGCAAGAACCCCACTTGTTATTTTGATAGCACGAAACCACTGGAATCAGGATGATTTCATAGACTCGACAATACTGTCCTCTGTTTGTAAGATAAGACCCAAGTCAAGTGAGGGGTCTACCGACTAGGTTCTAGGTTTTTTCATTGGGTTTTATGATCCATCGTATCGAATGTTTTTTTGAGATCGATAAAGATCATGTCAGATAACAAACGTTTATCTGTGTCTAAGTTATCAGTGCATTATAGGAGGCAATGGATGTAGATCCAAAAAACAAGGCTGGTTAGATAACAGGAAAAATTCTCACCTATGTATTTAAAACCAGTTTTTCAAACAGCTCGATTGGATACGTAGCAAAGAAATTGGTGGATAAATGAATGTCTTAGATTTTTCTCACGCTTTATAAATTGATTCATTTCTCACACTGGCTTTTCTCGAAGTTCTAAAAAAGTTGCTTCTCTCAGTAGAAGTATTAGTACCAAGGTTATGAAATTATATTGGATTGCCTTTTTTAAGAAATCCCCCTTTTTAAGAAATTTTTTTCTATTTTGATCTTATCCATTCCTGCGCTGGCTGCAAAAATATTTGTTATTTTGATCTTTTCAATTGCTTTGTTTATGTTTGCAACATTGATGTTTACGTTTACGTTTGAAAAGGAAGAAAATGATTCCTTACCATTTTTAGATGTTTTGGTCGAAAAGTCTAACACTGGATTTCTTACCAGTGTATATCGCAAGCCTACTTTTACCGGTCAGTACATACGCTGGAATTCATTTTGCCCAAAACAACGCAAAGTCAACCTTGTCAAAACATTAGTACATAGGGCACTTATGATCTGCTCGAAATCTAAACTGCACGCTGAACTGGAAAAACTCAAAACGATCTTCTTGGACAACGGCTATCCTGAAGACGTCATTTTATCTTATACTAAGGAGAAGATCGCAAGTTTTTCGGCTGTTCAAAAGTTTGGTCCGCAAAAGTGCCCAGTTTATTTGAAACTACCATGGATTGGTAACACTTCCTTGCGATTCGAGAGTCAAATTAGGCAAGCCATAACCAATTGTTTCTTTGCTGTCAATCCTCGGATTGTTTACAGCACTAGGAGAGCCCTTCCATCCATTCAAAAGGATTGCGTCCCTACCAAACAAAAAAGTTCCGTCATTTATGAATTTACGTGCCAGTGTGATTCTGGCTACGTAGGGCGCACAACCCAAAGATTGGGGGATAGGATAAAACAGCATGTTCCTTCCAACATACGAAACAAAACTGCCCCTCAAAGAGAACAGCCTCCTCGATCTTGTAGGTCTAGAAACACTGTTAAAACAAGTGATTCTGCCATTGGTCAACATCTTTTAGACAACCCAGATTGTGCAAAACTCTATAATGACGACATGTTTCGGATAATTGGCAGAGCCCGGTCGTCCTTCCATCTAGCAGTTTTGGAGTCAATCTACATAAAAACGAAAAAGCCGCCATTGTGTAGACAAAAGGAGTTCGTTTTCTCTCTTGGACTCCATTGGTAATTTTTCTTTAGGCTCGCGGCACTGATTGGTCAACTATACCGGTCTTGTGCTTGCGTTTTTCTGATTGGCCTATTTCGATCCACAACTGGGTATATATTTTTCAAACGTGTCTTTTCGGAACCTATTCTGACGTTTTATGCTCTGAGGAGTGTCTGACGAAAAAGCTCTAAGTATGTTGTAAAATGTTTGCTTTTTTCAAAGCCATTTTCAAGCATTGATGTTCTTATTGCTCACTCTGATAGTTAATTTTCCTGACAAGTTTGGACTTGTTGTAGGAGTAATATCTGCATCCAAGGTTTTTCCAACAGTATAAAAGAAAACTGTCTACCATTTTTTGTTTGCCAGACACATTTTGGCAAAGACCTGTGTGCTATCACATTGATAAATGCCATGTTTAATGAATATAGATTGTTAAATACAAGATGCTACAAATAATTTCAACTGGATTTTAGTGTTTTGTTACCACACTGACAATTACAGGAGAAGCTAATCCAAATTCATACGTTCCTCTTTGCATGTTCCAGTTTCAAGGAGAGACGCAGAAACTGCAGAGTTTATTGAAGATCTTCAGGCTCAGATTAGAGAATTAACCAAAACAAACGAAGCTCTAAAGAACAAGGTCAGCTGTACATCTACCACAATTCCTACCTTATTGTTTAACTTTCTAGACCATCAGCAAACACTCAAGTACCTCGTTTAAATATGCTGGCATGCGAAGAAAATCGCTTTTAAGAAAAAAATATTACATTTATGAGTGTAAAATTGAGTAGACCTTAGCTAGAAATTACAAGTAGCATTATAAATCCTTGTGATCGCATTTTTTTTTACTTTTAGATAAGATGTTTTTGAAAAATCCAGGCCACTTCTTAGGGTTATTTTTAGTGGATAATTTTTTAGATATTTTCATGATAATTTTGATTCCATTGGACACTTGATTAAAAAATTCTAACGTTTGTTAACCTTTCCAGCTGACAGTTACAAAGCAACAACTGCAGACTCAAGGCAAGAAGCAGACCCCATATGACAACGTCAAACCAAGAGTTCAAACTGTAAGGGCTTTTTGGTTCTTTCATGGCGTTTAGCATTTTCGTAAACAGTTGTGACCACCATAGTACTTAACGAAAATAATAGTTAGGCTTAAGAAATGCATGTGTTCATAATTTGGGAAGTTTTGCTTCTCTTTTTTGTCAGTGGCTCAAACCAAGGAGACCTCAACTAAATGGATACATTATCATAAATATAATTAGAAACTGCAAATTTCAACGGCAACTCCAATGGTCAGACAGATGGGCTTGACATTGAACTTTATGGTTATTTTTAAAAGACAGAAGATGTTTTTTCCCCTCACTTATTTACGTTCTTGACAGCTTCTACAAGACTTTAGAAATTCTCGAAATCTTTCTTTCAAAGGGGATAATGCAAGCTCGATCGCCTTCACGGCAGCAGAGGATCAAGGAACAGATGCGTGTTCAAGGGCAAATGGAGCAAAAGTAAGTTGAGCTTTGTCTCATTTGGTTTTTTATGTGTGTGATATTGCCACGGTTGATTAAAAATTGTACAGATAAATTATGCTGGTAGTAGGTCGTAAAATCACCCTTAACTGCTTCAAATAAAGCCCTGTGTTATCGAGTTGGACAATTTGGGGTTGTGTTGGGACGGAGAGAGATAAATTACTATCCCCTTCTTCTTCTGTTGGAAATTCGTGCTGTTGACAATATTTATAATTTTAAATCGTCATTAAAGACTCATTTATTTAAATTAGTTTATGATATTATGTAATAGTTTTAAATTATAAAGTGTATATAATATTGTCTTATAGTTATGCACTTTAATCATTAATTATTATTCATTATTTCATAATTCTATTTGCTTAGGGTAAGTTTTTGCTCCAACAGACACTACCGTTAGTATAGATTGCATTTGGTGGATAAAAAATATAGCGAAAAGTAACTGGCCTCTCTACCGCATCAAGCTTTGAAAAGTGTACTTTCCTCTAAGCACTACCCATCACAGATGTTGCTCAATTTTGTTAGAGCTATAACTTTATCAAGGGTTTAAGGTTAAATTGAAGCGGATCAGCCTGACCAGATACTGCACTGCTTTTCAAATATAACATGCAGCCTGTTAAGTTATTATAATAATATGTAGCTTGCAGGATTAGGTCATTTGCTTTGTAAGTAAACTTTGCTTGAATATTTTTTTCCATATGGTAACTTACAGTTTGATATTTCCATATGATATCGTCTATTTTCTTTGAAATTTTATTTTTTTAATAATATTTAATTTTATAGGTTATCTTCGAGAACCCCACAACCTTTGCTTCCACAGCCTAGGTAAGGATCACCAATCTTGCTTCAACTGCTTTCTAACAAAAATTACATGACAGAACTCCATTCCACTGCTAAAAAGTTTAGGCTTTTGGTATATGGAGCTGTCGAAATCTTTTGGTTTTGCTTTGTGTTTCATCGTCTTTACATCAAACATTTAGGCACAAATTGGTTGATTTTACATACACACATTCATACTATGGAATTCACTAGTCCTGTAAAATATCATTTGAATTAAAATTATTAGTCATTTCAATATTTCATTGAGTCGTTAAATTTAAATTCACTACTTCAAAGATATTGAAATCTGAAGTGAAGAAACATATTTGTTGCTAATATTTGCATATTTATCAACCAGATTTTTTGCCATAATTAGCACTTAAGCCCATATTCATTTGGTATTATTTCAGATACGGACACAGCCTGCTTGAAGAGACGCGTATAGAGAAGAGAGAGTTGTAAGTAATTTACTTTCCAAATTCCCGCATTGCAAAACTATACGCCGTGTGGAAACTTCTATAGATTTCTGCTTTTGAACATATTAGGTATTCTGCTACTGAGCAAATATAACATAGTTTTTTAGGACAACAAGTTAAAAAAGATACTTCATATCAACGCTTGAGGCATTACATTGCAATGCATAAGAAGGATGTTTTTTATGTGTCTTGCATTGACGAGAAAGTGATGAAACAAAACAAATTTTATACTGTTTGATTACCAAGTACAGACTATGTTTTTCATTCAAGGCTTGCATTGTGTAATCATAAATGAACTTTTTTAGAAATAAAAATTGCATCTAATATTGCCTTAAAATGTGTGTATGCCATTGGAACATTTCAACAGTTTTGTGTAAAATCCCAATCGTTCCAAGTTATACAAAGTATACAAAGAAAAAAACGTTTGTCAGTAAGTTTGATTGTTTCTCTGTGTGACCAATGGAAATTTATAATTTTATGAAAAATCAGAAGACAAAAAGCGTTTTACTGTTTGTTTGAAAATCAAAAAGTTTTTTTTAATTCAGTATGCACAATCTGTAAAAAATGATTTCTTCAGCAATTGCTTTTTGCTTATGTAAATGCATCCCCTATATTTGTCTGTCAACATTTCTGGGAGTAGTGTTGAAGCGATTGTAATCATGACAAGTAACAAATAAAAGGGAAAAAAGCAAAGTCATTAGATGTTCCAAGTAGTTTTGGCAGGCATTGTATTTGGCAGCTCCTGCTGTTCGTAGTTGTATTGACTTATTTCTGAACCTTGAATACGGGTCATTTGGCACCAAAAAGTTTAACCTTGCCAATGTCATTTCTTTAAAAATGAATTACATTTATATTTAAACCCTATAGTAAATATAATAAAAGTCTTAAGATAAATAAAACATTTTATTTTTAAAATTAAAATTAAGTGGCTTAAATTCCTTTTTAAATGGGGAGAAATTTGACTAGTCAGTGAGGATGATACCACGCACACGCCTATTGATTGGCTAGTATTAATTAAAAGATGGATCAAGCCACTTAAGTACCTATTGCTTTTAATGGCGTCTTTATCTTAACAGGGAAGATTTGGTTGCCTCGCTTAATGAACAAATCCGATCAATTGAAGATGAACGAGAAAAACTAAAAGAAAAGGTTTTTGTGATTGGATTGTTTAAAATTTTGAGTTGATTTAGCAGAGGATTATGACTGCATACTTAATTAGTATACAGGGTGCAGGTTTTTTATCCTTGAAACTGCAAAAATGGTTTTATTTCGTTTTAAGTCGCTTATCATTTAATTAGTATTCAATTAGGCATATACAACACGATAAGAATAGCAGCGTTTTTAGACTACAATCATTTGCAGGTGGTTTTAGCTGTACAGAACCATGGTACAAGTAGATTTTAAAAATTTCCTATCACCATCAAAGTTTTTTACAAACGTTTCGTGGATAGTTCTCTGCTAACTGCTATTTCTATACTTTGAAATCTGTACAGAATTATTACAATGCATTTATAGTTCCTTTAACAAAAAGCTGAGTTTAGCCAAAGTCAAGATTGGCACGTGTGACAATATTCTGAGGATTGGATAAAGCTTTTTCTGCTAAATTTTCTTGACTAAAAGATGATATTAAGTGTTGTAGGCAAACATTCTATTTGTCCAAGAGCTGACTCATCTCTAGAATCAAGGGTTGAACAAATCAAGGGGGAAGTTTCTTCCTTATAAAGTCTCATGTGGGTGTCTCTGAAAATACATGCTAGTTTGTCTGTTTTAGATCACTTTGTTGAACTCTGGGGCAATTTTGCTGCCCCTAAGTTGTACGAATAACTCAAAATGTCCTGAAAAAGGTATTTGTCTGTAAAATGCACCGACGGCTGTTCTAATGGATCCTGCTGTTAACATCTACAAAGTAGAAGTATCTATACTTAGAATATTCAAGAATATAGGAGTGCCAATGTCTTTTGAGTATCCATTTGTTTTTTTTTTCTAGAGTCGAATAAAGCAACTCGAGCATGAAGAAGAGAAGATTAATTTTGAGTCAAAAATAAGCGAAATGAAAAAGTAAGTTGGATAAAGCCCATTTCAGATTGCTAATTTAAGACTGCATTTCTGAAGAAATTATTCTTCCTATAAGATTATGAAGAAATTAAGCACAGAAAGCCTTTGGGATAAGTTTCAGCAAAGATCCTCGCAATCAAACTTTGCAACAAGGTACTGTAGGGATCTGAATATTCCTAGAACAGAGCATGTGAAAAAAAGTTTTAACTACTCTGCTCTTAAAGTCTGGAACGACGTTCCAATTGGTATTAGAGAACTCCCGACTATTTGTCGCTTTAAAAAACAATTAAAGGAGTACTTGGAGAGCTCACAGATTCGTCTATTTAAACACGATCCCCTGGAAGAACAGCATTTTAGATTGAAATTATATCTTTTTTTTAATTGAACAAATGTATTTATACTTGATTGATATTGTATTAGGGTAGCTGAAGGGTTGAATCGTGTAAAAAGAAATATTATTCTTCTCCATTCTACATACATACAATTTGCAGACCAAAAATGACATTAGTGCAAGTATAGTTATTTTGCAACATGTTTGAACAAGGATTATTTGACCATTAAAAACTATGTTTAGAATTTGAATCCTGTTGGTGCTTATAATTGCATTTAAACGCACTTAGTGCTACTTGTATTGAAAATTGTTTTTGACAAATATCGATGACAAATTTTTAACTTCACCCTGACTGTATTTGCCTTGATAATGCCAATGCTGTCTGACTTATTTTAGGGCAAGTATGCAGGAAAACGTCGAATTAATTCGCCTGGAAAGGGAAATTAAGGAAAAATCAAATAAACTTGAAATTATGCAATCGAAGTTCCATAATGTCCAACAGGTACGTGGTGGTTCATGTAGAGTATCGTTTATTTTTTAGATGTGTAAGATGTGCAAATATTTCATAAGCAGTTTTACGTTATCTCTCATAACTTAAGTGAATCATGCTGGTTTTTTTAAAAAGATTACGGTAAATTTTGAGCTTCCGCATTGTAACTTAATTGTTATAAAATGTTTTTTATTCTGTCTTTGCAATTACTTTTTCTATCATATTTACAAATTTTTGTATAGATAATTTACAACTTTTGTGGATTTTGAATGTTTTGGTAAATCGTACCAAACTAGACAATGTTTTTTAAAGTTGAAACAAAAAGCTACCAATTGGACGTTCTTTTGTATGATCGCCATTTTCTTAAAACTTATGTATGCGATCCAGCTGACGTGGTTAGGTTTTCAATTCAATAGTCTCATTTACCACTTCTTGGTAGTTATGGAGTTGATCTTACTTTAATATTTCTTGAACGGTATGTAGTCAATTGAAAATTCGTTCAAGATATTTATTTTGTATTTTGCGTCCGTTCAGATGCTGGAAAAGTTGAAAATGAGCAATGAGAAAGCCCTAGATGAAATGGAGATTCTTACGCTGAAGCTAAAAGAGGTTTGAAGAAATTCTTAGTCTATTTTCAGTTATGGTCTTTGCTAGCTACAGCACTTTGAATTGTTATTCTGTTGATTACGATCAAACCCATTCACTTTTTGTCAAGCTTTGAACGGTCCTACTGTCAACGTCTGTTAGGAAGGTCACTGAAGTATAAGAAACTAAATGTCCGTTGCATTACAATGCCAAAGCTCAGCCGTACTTTCTTTATTTTCTAAGGAAGGTCTCCAAATCTTGAGCAAATTGTCTGGAGGAAGGATAAGCAATTTTCTACACTCTGCAAGGGAAATTCCGTAAACAACCATGTTTTATATTGTTGTACTGATGACGCATCACCAACGACTCGTGCAAAATCTAACGCTGTTTCCGATGGAAGTCATGTTAGATTTCTTGGATAATTCATGTAGTTTCTATCCTACACAATATCTTTTTTGAACAACAGGGCTTTGCCTACAAAAAGAAGTTCCAGAACAAATTTATTTTCCAATCTCGTAAAGCTTTATGTTGTTTAAAGGTATTGGTTTTAAGATAGTCCATTGATAGGAGGCTCGCTGTGCTGATTTCCACGGTACTGAGGCTACGTTGCTTCGATTGCAATGTTCTACTTTTTTTCATCTTTGATTGAAAATGCTCAATCCCTGTGTTCTTCTGTAGAAGATTATGTTTGTTTCCACAGATTATTCATATTCTCTTAAGCCGATAAGTTCATTTTTCTCAACTAGGAGCAAGCGAGGAACTCCACGTTGCAAAACGAGATCCGACATGCTGATTTCTTGAAAAAGACTTTATCCGAGGTTTCAAGTGTCTTAAAGCTTTTTCCTTTATTTGATGAAATTTTGCCTACATGATTTGGCTTGTCAATATTTCATGTAGCAATCTATCAAAATTGCAGCAACGGTTACTTCGATCCTTTGTGATGTGTTATTCGTTATTCATATTTAAATCCTGCGTTCTGACTCGCCGATTAGAGATTAACCATGCCAGAACTGTTGAGACAAAAGGCCTTAACGTGGTGTTTAATTTTTTGTTTCATGATTTACCTAAGCATCGATCTGGGAAAGGTATATGTTTTGTAACAAAGAGCTCAAGCCAAGAAGATACAAGACCATATGCTCCATTGTGTTAAAACATTTCTGTCCTCTTTTACATTCAAATCAGAAATTGTGCTTGGAAAGACTTTCCTCTCTTTAATAAATAGCTCTCGCATTGAAAATGTGTTTGGAACTACATCCACCTGAGTTGCTTTGGCCCTTTAACTAGGTCAGTTTGCTGTCGTTTGCAAGGATTTTAATCGAATATTTGAATTCGAATATTCAAACCATTTTTTATCTCTGACTAAACGCCAACTATTGAAAACACCATAAATGAACATATATTTTCTACATAAATACTTAAATTATTCTCTGCCCCTTTATCAATCATTTAATAAATTCGAGCGACTACTGAAAATTCTAATGCACTTGACTTTGTTTGTATCATAAACATTATTTTGGCTGCAAACATTTTGTCTGAATTTTAGAAAGATGAAACGATTGCAGACTTGAAAGCTGAAAATGATGTTTTAAAAGATGCTCAAGAGAGAATTCTGCAAAGGTACTAATTTATTTATCTCTTGTAAATTTGCTCTTGTACTCGATTTATGTTTGTTTTGCTTCCTGAGAAGTTTTCAAGCGTGGATTGACTTTAATGTGCCTAAGAATATTTCTCTATTTGCATCATCTGATAAAGTTGCTCATGGTTGAAATTTACAAAACAAGGAATCACTTGAATCCCTCGTTTATGATGGAAATTTTTGAGGAAAAAGCAATGCCGTATCAACTAAGAAGCTCGAGCAATTTAAACCTACTAGAAGTGAGAACCACATGCTATGGTACAGACACCGTAAGGTTCATGGGTCAAAGAATATGGGCAAAATTACCTATAGAAGTGAAAACTTCAGTCTCTTTGACTTTTTTTAAAAAACATCTTAAGAAAACAAAATGCAAACATTGCAACTGTAGGATTTGTAAAACTTTTATATATGGTTTAGGTTTTTTGTAATTATTATGTATTTCCTTTGTATACACCTTTTGTAAATAGTTGGCCTTAGTTAGCTTTTATTTTTAGCTATTTCGAACAGCCAACTTTAAATCAAAGTATTAATAATGATAATAATATTTGAGATGTAAACTTGAAAGCAAGATAAACCGTGCGAATCATAGGCCTTGCCGAGCAGCAGAAAGTGTTATGTTTTCTCATTAACATCACCTTATGTGATGTAAAAAATGATTTGATATATCCCTAAGATTATATTTAAACTTTTGATAATTTAACCTGCTTAATCCGACGCCTTTGTTAAGATCGATAAACATCTAGGTTAAAAAATACCAAACATTGATTTAGAAGTTGGATCATCAAGTGATTGTTAATTTTTCTTGACGATATTCACAGACATGGAAAAATTTAATTTCGGGGTTGAGTTTATCTTCTGATAGAAAGATATTGGTGCTTTCAAAATTTTTCTTGCAAAATCCAGCATTTGATCTGAACTTGTTACTATCATTGTTTTTGGCAACGATAATAAACAGACGTTCAAATTAGAACTAAATTGGCACAGGTCTAACTCTCGAGAATTTATTTAGACATATGACATATAACATGTGGATTTACTGCATTCCATATTGTTGTTGCATAGGATTTCACACCTGCATAAATGCAACTATAATGGGCGAGATTTGGTACTAATTCCTGCAAACAGAAAGATTTTTTTTGCTCCATTATCTTAAAATGCTTTTCCTCACATGGACACACTTCCCACCGAGAGTTTTTCCCACTTATAGTCAAATCCAAACCACCCCCTCCCTTCACATCGAGAGTTATTCCCGCCTATGGTCAAATCCCTCATCAGGTCCGGCAAAACGTGTGTGAAAGTGCAGGGACCAAAAATCAAAGTTTTGAAAAGGTTTGAGAAAGGCCGCCATCTCGGTTGGCGGCAAGACAAATTTTGGAAATATGATATCCAAGGGATGGCCAGAAACTGTATCTAAAATGGATTTTGACTGAGGAAAATCCGAGGAAATATTTTCAATCTTTCTTTCATCGTTGTGTCGCATAGTTTCGTCTATTGTAATGTTGAAATTGAAAAGGAAAGGTCTTGCAAAATTTCAGAATAACTTGATGTAACTCGTAATCAAGCTTTTTTAGAAGAGGAACTAAAAGGAGATAGAGGAGAACATAAATAAGTCATAGTTTTAAAGAACATTAACATTGAAATATCAGAAAAAGCACTGTTAACTAAAAATGAAAGATTATGCAACAAAAATGATTTGAAATTCTGGATTTAAAAACTTTCAAACTGGGCTCGTCAAAATGGTTTTATAGAATTTATAATGACGTCTAGATTTTCTCTTTCTTGGTAGGAATGGATTATTGATACAATAAAACAAGCAGCTTTCTCGATGATAATTTCAAAGAACAAATCTGCCGATTTTCATTTCTCATAATCTCAAAAATTTTATGTCCACAGTTTCTTTTCCTTCAACAGCTGATTTCTCTCTTTTAAAACGGTTTTGATAAATTCTTCGTCAACATACAGACCTTGGGAAACATAGACAATAGTTTGGGCCATAAAAAACACAAGACTCCATCATTTTGTGCAGGCACTCGATGATAATTTCAAAGAACAAATCTGCCGATTTCATTTTTCATAATCTCAAAAATTTTATGTCCACAGTTTCTTTTCCTTCAACAGCTGATTTCTCTCTTTTAAAACGGTTTTGATAAATTCTTCGTCAACATACAGACCTTGGGAAACATAGACAATAGTTTGGGCCATAAAAAACACAAGACTCCATCATTTTGTGCAGGCACTCGATGATAATTTCAAAGAACAAATCTGCCGATTTCATTTTTCATAATCTCAAAAATTTTATGTCCACAGTTTCTTTTCCTTCAACAGCTGATTTCTCTCTTTTAAAACGGTTTTGATAAATTCTTCGTCAACATACAGACCTTGGGAAACATAGACAATAGTTTAGGCCATAAAAACACAAGACTCCATCATTTGGTGCAGGCACTAAGTTATTCTGAATCAGATTCCTCAAACTATTACCTAAGCCAAGCTGTTACTCGTTGTACAGCTTGGACAATGACCGACTTCTTCAATCAAATTTCCAATTTCAATTTTTTCAATGTCTTCTATGGTAAAGGCATAGTTACCAAGCTAAAGCTGATGACGGACAAGACTCCATCATTTGGTGCAGGCACTAAGTTATTCTGAATCAGATTTATCGAACTAGTTCCTAAGCCAAGCTGTTACTCGTTGTGCAACCTGGACAATGACCGACTTCTTCAATCAAATTTCTAATTTCAATTTTTTCAATGTCTTCTATGGTAAAGGCATAGTTACCAAGCTAAAGCTGATGACAGACAAGACTCCATCATTTGGTGCAGGCACTAAGTTATTCTGAATCAGATTCCTCAAACTATTACCTAAGCCAAGCTGTTACTCGTTGTACAGCTTGGACAATGACCGACTTCTTCAATCAAATTTCCAATTTCAATTTTTTCAATGTCTTCTATGGTAAAGGCATAGTTACCAAGCTAAAGCTGATGACAGACAAGACTCCATCATTTGGTGCAGGCACTAAGTTATTCTGAATCAGATTTATCGAACTAGTTCCTAAGCCAAGCTGTTACTCGTTGTGCAACCTGGACAATGACCGACTTCTTCAATCAAATTTCTAATTTCAATTTTTTCAATGTCTTCTATGGTAAAGACATAGTTACCAAGTTTTAGCAAAAGGTCATATCTAAGAGATTACTAAGCACAGTTACTAAGATAATGGTATACTAGATTTCTTTCAACTTTTGCCTAAAAAAATTATTTTGCTCTGTCAAAGTGTGAAGGGGCCATGCCCCCTGGCTCCCCCGGTTTCGCTGGCCCTGCTCATCGAGAGTTCTTCCCATTCATGTTCAAACGGCAATTCAAAAATATTCTATAATCGTGCATCTAAACACGGCATATATGAGAGTGTTTTTGCCCAGCGTAAGGTGAAACAGATGGAACAAGACAAGCGTTCTTTTCGCGTTCTGCTAAGTGATTTGATTTTGCATATTGATGTGAAGATAATTGCCTTTGATGCATTTGAGAATCACTCAAGTGGAAACCACCATAATGCTTAAGTGGAGTGGGAAACAGAATACTGGCTTGTAGGCGAAAAGGCGTCAATTTAAAGACGATGTTTAAAGACGATGTGAATTGGATAACCTATACCTAGTTTACGATTAATTAGGAATACTGTTGCTAGTTCATTTTCAAGCCTTTTCAGGTCATAGTCGATTTCATTCTAAAGGGTTTAGTCAAACTAAAATTTTAATTTGTTGAACAAGGTATAAGATTCCTTTTGCATCAGCAAAGTGAAAACAACAAGACACAAGGCAATGATGCATTGTTGTGGGCTAACTCTCAAACATTGAGTTTACTTTCAGGATAAACAGGCCCGGTTAGGTGCAAAGTTTCTTCTTACATTTAAAATCCCATAAAAAGTTGAAATTAAAATCACCAATAATATAAAAATTTTTCCAAAAGATTGTTAAGGTAAAAAAAAGATTGGTGTAGTACAAATCTGATCGGATTTTTATCTAAGCTTAATTGAAAACTTATGTTTTTTTAAATGAAGTCATAGTTGCTTACTTCAAGGATCCGTTTATTGAATAAGATAAACATCGAGTCAAGGGCGTTGTCCCCCTATTATGCTCCTGAAAAAGTGCACACATTTTACGGTTTCTCGTTTGGCTCTTTTTTCTCGCTATAAAAGATCTGCAATTTACGAACTGTTATCTTGTAGCACTTTTGATGCCGAAAGAGAACGTAGATTCAGGCAAAAAGAGAGAGAATACCAAGTAAGTTTTAGGAATTATCCAGGAAATTCGACATTGTTTTTATTTCATAGCCACTGAAGTTGAGGGCAGATGTTGCAACGGTAAGTTGTGACAATGGCCATCACAACATGACCCATTGAAATATAGCGGTGAATCCAGCTGCTTTCTGTCTTACAGAATCCATTAGAGAATTTCATGTTTGTATCGTATCAAAGTTTTAGCTTATTTTTTACTTTGTTGTGATCGTATTTGAGATTAAATATATTGTCAGAGCATGACCTAGAACATTATTTGTTGTTTTTTGTCTGATACCGGTGGACAAATGCGTAATAAATCCTATGTTTACTTTTTCAGCAGGTTATTTATGATTCATTCTGCTATCTCCTACGATCTCATTCATGTTTCCCTTTTTTGCAACTCTGTAGACGATTTTTAGAATCACATAGACAGTTTATAATAGCTGGAATGATGAAATCATTAGACAAGGGTAGGTAGATTACCTTGGGAAGGTTTATCGGTTTGAATTCTATGATGAACAAAACTGTTTTAGGTTAAAATATCACAGCTGGAGGCAGTATCGAAAGCTGATGTCTTGGAAAAGAATGAGCTTCTTGATAAATTATCTCGTGAAAAAGGTAGTTGGTCTTATTCTCTCGCAGTTTAAAATGATAAAAAACCTACATGAAAGCTCTCTTGTAGAAACTGTTATTAACAGTAGATACAATCAGAATTAATATTATGTTTTGAGATACGATCTTTACTTATATGAATTTTTAAGGCCACTCCCTTTTCACAGTCAAAAAACACCTTTTAACCAACAGAAAAAAATTCATATTTTACCCGAAGGAAACGCCTATCTTTTGGTTACATGAAAACAGATTAAAAATCATAGAATTACATCACAAAAATACTTTGCCGAAATACAAACTAGATCTTTTACGTTTATTCCAATTTAGACGAAATACAAACTAGATCCAGCCGATAACTGAGTAAGACGTGCAACCCTAGTTCCCCCCGTGGCGTTTTTCCCGCTATAGGAGTCTTTCCCGCAAAGCAAATGTGCGAAATATTTCATTATGGCTGTGTGCAATATTTTAAGTGTTACACGAAATGTTTTTTTTCCAGATGAAAATGAAAAGGTGCAAAATGAGTTAAAAGAAGTTAGGGTGAATTATTACTCGCAAAAAGAACTCTATGAAGATTTGGCAGATAAAATGAAGTTTTTTTCAAAGGTATCATGTTTAATGTTACCTTTTTGCACACCTGATCAAATTATATTTTAACTAACTCAGTTTGTTTTTTCGTTATAAATGAAACAACGAAGTTGTAGAAAATAGAAGTAAAGCTAATAAATAATTTTTGCTTTTTTTAAATCTGGAAATTTAGATCACTAAGCTACGCGGTAAATGAGCACTTAGCGAAATTCTGCTAATTTGAATCTGGTATGGTTTTTCTGTATTTTATGTTAAAACTAATTTTAGAAATGATATTACGATCTTAAAATATTTCTAATTTTTCAGAGACTTAAGTATTCTGAATCTGAATCAAATTATTTAGTTATTTTGAACAATTTAAAGTTATTTTGTTGTTTCATACTTTCGCCCTTTAAGCTCAGTTTGTGTCTCAAAGTTAAACTATTGCCTGTACACCGGCAATAGACTGCTTGTATGTTTCAGAAAATCCATAAAGTCAATGTTATCTAAAAATCCTGAGTGACCAAACTGATGATCTAAACCTGAATTCATCTTTATTTTAGGAAAGCAATATTGACTTTGATGAAATGCAAGAAGCTTTGATGTTGATCAAGGTATCTTCATATGTTTACATTTGAATTCTCATAGTGTGTTTTTCAAATTTACAAAAAACTCCATATGTAACAAATAGAAATTCTGCTGTGGTCTTTACCTCAATTCATAGTTTGTTTCCTAAATTTTGACGTGTTTTAAACTTGCTGGTAGTGTTCTATGTATACCATATACCTAACTTAAAGTGTTCAGTTTCAATTAACATGTGCTAAAAATTTGCAGCTGTTTCTTATTCGTCAAGGCATTTAGGTGACACATGGAATGAATTAACTATAAGCAAAGCTGTTTGCCTTCAATCTAGATTATAATCTACTACTTATTTCCATAAGTTGACTTGACTGCCTCTTTGATGCCAGCTGTTTTTGTAGGGAGTTTTAAACTGTTCTTTTTTAGCGAGCCAAACGACGACTGTATAATTGCGTTTTAGTTTTTCTCGAACTGTCGAAATGACCTCGGGATTTTTTGCAAGCCCCAAAATGATGTTACAGATCTTAGCAAGTTTTTTGGTTCCTCTTGCTTAAGTATTTCAGATACAATTATCTGCCTAAATTGGAAAAGAAAACAAAAATATTTTGTTCTCGTATGTCAGATTTCTTGAAAACTTTAGATATATGCTTTATGACGCCATAGATCAAGTGGGTGAGGTTGGCCAGCGTATTTTGCTGCTTTCTATCAAAATCTTTTTAACACTGAGAGTAGCCAATGCAAAAAGAATAACAAGTATTTGCTTGCAGACGCGAAAAGAAAAACAGAGTCAAGAGCTCAGTTTCTTAGGACAAGTTGAAGAAGAAATGAGTCAAGGCTAGTCTGCCATTTATTCGCATCTTTTTTGTATCACTTTAACTTGAAATTGATACATTTTGGTTATGATGTAATAGTAATGGTTCATAATTATTCTTAGTTTTCGTGGTTATATATTCATTTTTTGCGTTGGTTTTTTCATTTGTCTTCCTTTCTCTTCATGTGTTTTTTAGTCTTAACTTAACCTTTAAGTGTAAGCTCTTCCAAGGTGAATTTGTACTCAGCATTATAGAATACATCACATTTTTTTTATCAAGCATTACAAAATCATTAAGTAACCCTAAGTTAGAAATAGAATCCTTGCACCGTGAGAATCCAAAGAAATTATGTGAACCACAGAAGTTCAGGCCTAGTGAATATTTTCATTCATCACAAAATTGATGTCTTCATTGCCATTTTTGTTTTATTTATTCTTTAGATTTGCGAAAGCAACTGCTGGAGCTTCAAACGTCGCACGCAGAAACGATAAACGAATTAGATAAAACACGGAACATGCTGAAAATGCAGAGTCAGATCAACAAAGACTATCAAACAGAGGTATCATCTACTTATGTTACTGTTGTTAATCAAACTGGGATTTTGACTTTTAAAATGTGAGCAATGTTTTTGCGGTACAGAATTTGAAAATGGATTGGTGGATAGGATAAAACAGCATGTTCCTTCCAACATAAGAAACAAAACAACTGGGTATATATTTTCCATCGTGTTCTTTCGGAACCTTATTCTGACGTTTTATGCTCTGAGGAGTGTCAGACGAAAAAGCTTTTAGTATGTCGTAAAATGTTTGCTTTTTTCAAAGCCATTTTGACTTTTGTTCGTATGTCAGAAAACATCATAATTGGAGATTGAGTTCCAAAAGAAAAACCTACTGTATACTTGAAGTAGGCTAGTCTAGCCCTCAACGTTCGTGGATGTTATTTACCAATTTAAGCAGTAGTATTGACCTAGAGTGTAAAACCTTGAGATGTTTTTATATTGAAATATATCGATTAATGTCTGGCGTGATGTAAAGTTGTCATATTTTTACTCTTTAAATACAATAAGAAGTTAACTTCGGCAAGCATGATATTCGCCGTCGTGATTGAATCAGCTACTTAGTTGTGTTGAACTGTTGTAGGTTGGAACAGCAACACGAAAGATGGATGACCTGAAAAGGGATTGTGACGCTAGAGTGAAAGAATATGCGGAAATGCTCGATATTAGAGCTGAGAGAATCAAGGTAAACTGTGTTGTTAGTAGTTACTATCCACTTTGTTGTCATCGCGTGAATTTTGGCGGCACCTCTTCTTTGAATTAGGTATTTATAACGGAAAGGATGCATGTTATAATTGTCTCTTTTGTTTAATATACCATGACTGTAATTGTACCAGATGTTTTTTGAAGAAAACTTCGCGTGAATAATATTCGGTTGTAATCAAAATTGCTGAAAGAAATTGTTTCTATCATGCTTACTTGAATTAAGTCCACTCTTCTAATTAGAAAATATGTCCTCTTAAATTATGGTATACGCTGAACTGAAACGCTGTTCGGTGTAAAGAACAGGACGGTTCTAAGTTGCTTTATGCTTGATGCGATCATCGGTCAGCTTGCTTATACGGTCTTGCACTTTATGTCAGACTGGTAAACACTGATTTTTATATGCTAATGTGAGAGTTGAAAATAATTCAAAATAGTCGTAAAATACCAGGTGCAAAGACACTACCCTGGTTACCAGAGTCACATAAATTCGAAAGCGGAAATAGAAGATGGGAGTGGAAAACAGAGGAGTTTCTACCTAAGAAGAAGAACGACGCTCCTCCGCTTCTCTGCTTGGCATTCTGTTTACGCGCTCGAAATGTTGTGGCTCTGGTACCCAGGGTACAAAGCGCTGATCTTGTTTTGTTGCTTCAAGGTTATATTTTAGATTATTTTAAGTTACGTTTATTTTATATACAAATTGCATCAGCTTTTACCGAATTGCAATTGAAATATCACATATGAAGTCGAACTACGAGAGAAATGCTCAAAATACATTTTTTGTGTCGAGAGAATGCAAACGGGATCAATAGGTCTTACCTTTTTTTTCCTGTACACAGAAACTAGAAGCTCAATTAAAAGACATTGCTTATGGAACAAAACAATACAAAATTGAGCCTACAGAGTTGGTAAGAAAATAATTTGGTTTACATTTGTCTTAAGACGATTTCAAATATATTTTTATCTCTCGCTAGACTTTGCCAAGAAATAGAGTAGCCGGAATATACAGTAGAGAGCGCAAAGGTTTTATTTATTGTATTGTAAAGGGTTGAAAAGACATGTGTGGTGTGTATATGAAGAACTGGAATTTGTTTTCGATGTCACAGACTTTTGTAAACATAAAATGTGAAATAATTTGATTCAGCTAGGAAATACTTGAGTTATTATGAATGTGGTACAAAGGTCCTTAGAAGCTAGAGGCATGATGTTGAATTTCACAATATCATTTTGTATTGTGTAGCAACACTAGCAAATTTGTTCATATCTTGACAGCATGAATTGGAGTCAGCTCAAGACGAGGCTGTTGTTGATGTAAACTATGAGTTGGAGCGTGGCCAGAATGTATTGGAAATACACATTGGAAAGGCAAGTGATCTTTTATCGTTCGTGTGTGTTGTTAACGTGTATAAGGTGTATAACAAGCTATAATGAACCTATAACTGTCCCTTAAAAATAAATTAGAAGCATTATAATTGTTTTATTTGCAACGGCCTTTATATGTTGTTTTCATACGGTCTTTCCCAGGTTCTTGTAACAAAGCAAGGCCTAGCAGTATTTGGCAATGCAGAGCCAGTCACATTCGTCACATGGGAGTTCTTTGAGTTCGAGATGCAAGCGACTCCAGTTATCAGCGGCCAGAGGTTGGTTAAAAGATTTCTCCACTAACTCAGATTATACGGTATTCCAAATTTGCCAAAATCAATTGCATATATTCTATTGAGGTTTGACAAAATTGAATCAAAAGCATTTTCCCTGGGTCAAAAAGCTGTAGATTGAATGATATTAACATGTAAATAACCCAACTGAGAATTGCTTGTCCACAGGGACGTGCGGTGCTATTTCTGACAGCTCATTTTCGCTTTCAATTATTTTAATTGCGACTTATGATTCGCTTCCTTTGGAAAATAAAGCTCCGCGTTGTGGACTGTACTTTATTATGAAGGCGCTGTTAAAAGTTCGTTAGAATTATCTTGCACTTTCAGCGCCTTCTTCACCACTTATTCCCTGCTATCTCTGTTAGATGTGATCAGCTACCAATATGGTGCTTTTAGTGTGATTTATATGCTAAATTCAATTCTTGACCTAAACTAAATATTTTAAGCTACTTCTAGAAGAATAACTGTCGTTCTAGTTACGAATGCATTGCGTGTCATGCATTTAACAAGCAGGGTGGCGCCAATTTATAATTATCAAACTTTGTCAAAACACAGGTCAAGAACAATCGAATTCTGCAATGAAATGAAGAAGAATATCTTTTCTGCTAGAATTCTTGGTGCCTCTCATTTGCAGCACCATTTGATTCTGTTGGTGCCTTGCAAACGCTTTTGTACAAGCGATTTCTTTCTCAGCCTTGCACTGAAGTCTTCAGCTAGTTTAATCGGATGTTTATAATTATTCAGATTGTAAGTAGAAAATTCTCTTCATGAATGTGTGCCTATATTTTTCTTGTGGCAATGTGAAAACGCCGAACGATAAAAAGCCAGAATGAAGAATGAACCTTTAGTCTTAAGCGTCTGTTTTGATCATGCAGTTTACTTTATCACACTTGTAATGTGATAAAGAATCAGCTTGAAATGTTTGCTATCCACCCATCAATTCTGCTTCTTCTTTTTAGGCCCGTGTTTGGATTTACCGCGCAATACATCGTCAATGTAGACGATTTCTTCCTGCACTACATCCAAAAAGAGTGCATTTGCATCGAGTTTCACCAAGCTGTTGGAACTGAATACAAAACTATCGCAACTGGGAAACTTCGTATGAATGGGCTTCTAGACAAAAGTCATGGACGTGTCTATGGAACAGCTAAACTTTTAGGTAATGTTTTCTGCAATATAGCTACAATACCCAGGCTCATTGCTACAGGGGACGTGTGGGGTGTGACAACCCCTTGAAAAAAACAATTGTAGAAACAAATAGCTTTTTGTCATCTAGAGGTGCTTAGTCGGCAAATTTCCAAACCTGTCGGCTAATAAAAGATGGCTCACCTACTTTGTCGGCAAATGGGACTCAGAGACCCTCCTTGAGGCATCTACATACATAGCTGTAACTGTTATTGTAAATGCAATCCTTTGTTTCCACTGACCAATCCCTTGTCTTCAATTGTTCTCAAACAATGGTGCCCCTAATGATTCTATCCTTTCTACGGCACTGAAATGTCTGAGTAATCTCTTCTCGATAGATTCATGTTTACTTTGGAGATCCTCTGAGAGTTTGGTAGACTCTTTAACTTGATTCTTGTCATCAATGATTTGTCGCATAAATCCTGCAAACTTCTTTAATTCACATACCTTACCATTGTTTCTTTTTAAGGCAACAAAATTCAGAATTTGAATTGGATGTTTATTTCTTCTTTTGTTTCATACCGTAATGTTTCAAGTACACCCGCTATCTTTGAGTGCTCATGTCCCGTCAGGCACCCACATCCTTACAAGGATGCTTCTTTGAAATTTTTAGTATTTTTTCGAAAAAGATTTTTCGCACATTTTCATTAGCTATTCACTTTTTTAATTGCCTGAGAAATGTATAGTTTATATGTCTTTTATTTTCTTTCCTTTCCTTTTCGGATTTTACGAGAGATTAATATTGCTCTCGTTTATATTAAGCGCCCATATTTAATAAGCGGCCATATTTAATAAGCGGCCATATTTAATAAGCGGCCATATTTAATAAGCGGCCATATTTAATAAGCGGCCATATTTAATAAGCGGTCATATTTAATAAGCGGTCATATTTAATAAGCGCCCATATTCAATTAGCGCCCGCATTTAATAAGCCATAGGAAAAAATCTAAAAATTTAATAAGCGCCCAAGGTACTTATTTAAATCATTAGATAACTTTCTTAAATCAAGTTCCACTTTTCTGTTGAGCGCTACATATTCTTCATTTCATTTCACTTCAATTGCTTCGCCCAGGCATTGACAGCAACGAAGAGTTAGCGGTTTTAGAATATTGGATACGACTTCGAGTGCCAATGGAGCAGGCTCTGCGACTATTCAAGGTTTTCATTAGCTGTTGTTGTCTTTAGTCTCATGCTGTTCGTTTTATCACGAATTCATCATAAAATGTTGGATGAAAAATTCATAATTTACAAAGATACTCTTGGAGCGTTAATGTCTGCATTCTTAAAGTATTGTATCAATCATTTCTTTATAAAAGTTACGACATGAACATACGGGTGACAAAATCAAAGCGTCGGAATTCTGTCTAAAAAGCCTCCTCGAAACCAAAGTGATCATCTTCCATACTACTGAGGTGATACTATGAAACATTAGGAACAGAGTCAGTTATACGATAGAGAGACTTCAAAATAGCTTGTCTTGATATCTTATAATATCAGGCTATTATCTGTACCAGAATGATTATTTTTCTCATAACAAACAAACAAGCAAAATGGTGAATGTTTTTACTTGTGTATTTGTGCTAGAAATGGTGTGGATAAGTTGTACTTCTTCCCTTTCACCAGGAAAGATCAAAAGCACTGGGCTACATAACTTCAAATTCTACAAGCAATGTCAACGAGGAACGGTCGTCTACTCTCGAATCTGGAATCAACGAGCTAAAGATATCTGTTCATAGATGCACAAAGCTTCAACCTAAAACAAGTATAACTTTTTTCCTTTCTGTTATTTGATCGAAGGCACTAATAACTTATTATACTGCTGTTCTTATAGGCTGGACAGTTCTGCAGTGGGCCTATATCAACAGCTTGGGGGGGGGGGGGGGGGGGGGGAATCGGTTGGAGAGGGGGTGGGGGTGGTTTTACCGAGAGCAAGCTGACAAAAGGTAATGGTATGATTCTAAGGGTACTAGCATTGAATGGTAGCAGTCTTTGATAATAGCTACGGCATCAAATTGTTTTTGCTGCAAAAGTTGTGGGCAATTTTGGCATGGCAGTGGCGGGCAGAGCGTTGTCTGGCTGAGGGTTATGGTCAGGTTTTTCATTTTTTGGGTGAAACAATCTTTTATGGGTCAGGATTATCGTTACCTGGTCAGTAAGATCGCCTTCCGCTAAGTCTTTGTTGCAAAAGTTTGCTTTTTATGAATCTATGGTTTAGTAATAAAGTTAGAATTTTACATCAGAATTCCAAAGCAGGATTCTTGAAGAATTTTTCCTGATTTTCCAGAACGAAATTACTTGTTTTAAAACTTTTGTTTTGACTCCTGTGTCTGAACTGCATTTTTCCAGCTGAGTTACCATTCTGAACATTGTGATAAATGTTATAACGGCCTGTTATTTTACCATTTAGAAAAGCAACCAAGTTCGTATGCTGTTTACAAATTCTTCGACTTTGCGGATCATGATACTGAAATTATAGTTGGTTCATCAACTCCAGAATTTAATGATGTGCAAGTTTTTCCGGTATCGATGAGTGAAGAGTTGGATAATTATCTAAAAACAACTGTAAGTACAATTATTTTGTTCAGTTTAACGATCAAGATATCTTTAATCTTCCTTTTAGGAATGGCCATTTCTTTAGTCTTCGTGAAAAGAAATAGGTTTTAATCAAACACACTGTAGTTATATAATTGCAGTTGCGCAGTCCCGACATGAAGGTTTTATGTTGTTTCTGCTTCTGCAGCTCTGCCCACTACTTCTGATAATCTTCTCCATTCTTTGCGGTCCTTTGCTGTGGATTGTATCTTTTCAAAATCGCCATTGTTCTTTATGTTCGGTAGTGGAAAAGACCTTTCCATTGCTCTTGCTCTGGTGATATCTTTATTTAAGGTTGTCACGAGAGTTTCTCTAGGTCTGCCTCTGAATCCCCTCTCCGATCCCTCAAAGTAAAATCTCATTGCCTTCACAGCCGGTGTATCGTCGGACAAGCGTAATATGTGACCAAACAGCCGCCATCTACCCTTGAGGATGTCAATTAAAATTGGTCTTTCTTTGCATCTTTTGTACAAGTTCTGATTGGAAATCTTGTTAGGATACTTTTTTCCTATTAGCTGTCTCAGTTGCTGACTGTGAAAAGCATCTAGACCTTTCGTATCTTTTTTTGTCAGTCCCCAAGTAGAGCTGTTATACATCAAAACTGGCTCTCCAAGTGTTTTGTAAAGCTTGAGGCGACGTTTTTCGCTGACGTGGTTATTTCTGATCCTGATGTGATTTAATCTTTTCATTGTATGCTTCTGACAATCGTTTTCTTCTTTGTATATTCTCTACATCTAACAGAGAGCCAAGCTTTTAAACCGCCCTCCATTGCTCTTTGTTTCTGCCTCCTCGAAAAATTTCTTCAAAATAAATGTTAAACAGTGCACCAGTGAGCGCATCACTTCGTTATGTAAACAATTTAATAATAAAGGAAGAACGTATTCTCTAGACTTCCATCGAATCTATTGTCAGTATCCACTTCATATTACCACTCTTAAACTTTGCTGTGTCAAAGACCGAGAAACAGCTTTTTGTTTGGGGGAGCAGCCATGATAAATCATTGTAACAATAGCCATATTTTACAAAATAACAGTATTTTACTTATGCAACTTAAGATTTTTTTAGGGGGGGCAAGGCCCCCTGGCCCCTCGGTATCTCGGTTCGGTCCTTGATCTGTGTTATTTGATGGAGTAAGAAGATGCATAGAATAGCATTTCTGACTATAGATAAACTTATTCTAATCCATTTTCTGTTGTAGATGTATGACATTTCGACCTGTTATGCGTTATAGTTAATATTTACTTAGGACAGACAATTCCCTACGAAAAGGAAAACAGCAAACAAGTTCTCGTAGCGTTTTAAAAACGTACCTATCTATCATTTTTGAAATTCTATTGCATAACTCATCGTCGCTCAAACCAAGTATAAGTCCATCTAATTTCTTTGGCACATGATAAAATATTTTTCATGGATCTGCTAGGAATTGGAGATTTACGTTTTTGATGATAACGAAATTGAGACGACAACCTACATGGGACTTGCTAAAGTGCCGTTAGTAACTTTATCTCAAGACAAACTCGTCAAAGGGACATTTCCTTTGCTGCAGGTGAGAAAAAGAACTTAATTGCTGTTTCACCATTGTTTTGCTTGCTGTTATCATGAAAAGGTTTGCAGTAAGATGACATCAAGAAGCTGTAATATCAATGTTATCGCTGACACGTTGGATTGCTATCGAATCTTTTTTTAGACCCAGCTGTAGCCTGGTGGGTCTTAATCGATCCTAAGCTGCATTGTCCGAGTTTTTGCTTGTATTCAGCTGTCAATATGTTTTTCTCTGACAAGAAACTATCGCAAAAGTTTATGAAACAGCCGTGTAGCTGTGTCATTTCAATTGCATGGCACAGCTTAGTTCTTCTTTAATTCTGAATACAGGAGTTGCAAAGTAAAATGAGAAAAACAAGACTGTTAGCTATTTTTTCTTCTCCCTGCTCACGGATTGCTCTGTTTTTTCATATTGTCTGTCCTGTGAATGTTTTTGAGACAAAGATTAAATCATAAATAGAAACACTACAGACAATATTCTGGGCTAAATTCAATAAGCTTACAAAATATGATATTTAGCCTAGTTTGGCATGCTGTCGTGTCTAATTTTACTAGCATGTTCGCACATTTTATTAGCAACTCTTTCAGAGTAAACTTTCGAAAAGACGAAATATAGTCAGAAACAAAACAACACGACGACGAGAATTCAATGTAATGAAAGATAATTTTATTGTATTGTTACATCTTGGGATCTCAAAGTTTTCAAAGATGTCAGATGTCTTTCTCTGCCCGTTATCTAAGAAGCCTCTGGGAAAATAATTATTTTTTTCTGGATACGTTTTTTCTGATTCTCATTTCGTTATATGTTTGTTTTTTTCTTCTCGTATTGATAGCCAAACGGTGAACGTCGTGGCACCATAGATGTTACTCTCCAATGGCTATCAACGTACTTACCAGCGAGTTCAAAAGCCAGATCGTATCCAAAGGTTTGCTATGTAAATATTGTCTTATCAAGTAAAAGAATATGGTTTTCTAGAAATGAATCTTTGGCTGGCTGGCTGGCTTGATTTCTGGCAGTTCACTCTGCGTGTATTATATTTTGTCCTATTTGCTAGACTTTTTATATTCATTCTTTTCTCGTTGTCTTTTATTCAAAGCTAATGTCAGCGCAAAATTCACCGAAGAACAGTAAGCCCCCGAGTGGACCCTTACGGGGATCCATGCGCCCTTTCAAGCAAGCTAGTAATCAGTTTCATGACCCCGAAGACATCAAAGTACCGGAGAAAAACGTTGCATCAAAAGAGAAAGACTCTCCAAAGACCCACCCTCTTCATGATGCTGAATTAGCACCCCATCCTCGCCAGCGAACTGTTTCGTTTAATGAAGACACGATGGTCAATTCATTTGACGGTAGTAAAGCACCAATCGAAGAACCTACAGTAGAATGGGAGGTTCTGAAGAGCATACCTGTCGAGGAAATGACTATTGATGAAATGATCGAAAAGGTTGAGGAAAAAGGCGATATTGTAGAGGATTCTGGGAATAATTACGAAGTAAGTCTCTTGCTAAATGCTAGCCAACTTTTTTGTGTTGGTACTCTGGTTGCCAGATGGACCAGGAATGTGCGGGAGTGGGCATTAAGGGTACTGAGGTTTTTACCCTGTATGTTAGCACAACATCGCCCGATATGGAATGCTTAGAGCCAAAATAGCAAATATACACCTCTCAATAATAATTATAATTATAGTAATAATATTATTAATAAAAATAACAATGATAAGAATAATAATAATAATAATAATAATAATAATAATATTAATGGTACAATCGAGCATATCCACTACAAGTGTGGCTCTTCAACTCTAGAATTAAAAGCAAAGTTAAATTACAAGTTAAAAAGTTAAGAGCAGCTACATAATCATATATAAAAGGAAATAATGTTTTTTAGTCCAATATGTTGTTTGCTTTTTAAAACAAATGCTTCTTTAAGTTGGAACAGAACATCGTGAAGCAAGACTGAGATTTAACACCTCTTCAGATAGGCATAGCTTAAATTTTCGAAATGAGTGTAAGACGAAAATGCAGGATCATCAACGAAGAGTTGCAAATCATCTCACCTGCTTTTGTTTCATCTTCACAGTGGTAATTTAAATTTCTACCAAAAATGTTTTGTACAAATCGTGTACTCCTTTAAAAGATATTTTTTTGTCACTAGAAGTCTATTAGAAAATTGGCTTCTTCTTTTGGCTTTTAAAAAATGACACATTTTATGACATAGACATAAATAGACTAATGAAACTTTAAATGCGTAAGATGCGTTTAAGGTGTTCATGTTCGAAAATTTTAAGCCGGAATAAATATACACCCTGATCTAGTAACTGAAAATATAGATAACCACGTTTGCTTTTGTCAAAGCCAAATTTTTTGCCCCCAAAAATAGTTTTTTTATTTGTCGCACATTTATGCACAATCAACAGAACGACTCATTTCGTCTTTTATCATTTTAAGGGTTGCTTTAGCCATAATGTAGCACTTTGTTGAACGGAATTAGGTACTGCCTCCATTGAATTGAATTGATTTCACTGAGGTATGGTTAGATAAATCTATAACGCAAAATAAATCTGCCTCTAATATTTGAGTGACAAAGTTCTTGATCATATAATTGTTGTTGTTTTAGAGCGACGAAGCCTTAATGGAAGAAGAACTGAGAAGAACTGTCGAGGCGCCTGATGTTCCGGCATCGCCTACCTTGAATAAAGATATCGGGAATGACACTCTGTTTGAGGAGTCTATTTCAGGTCAGTAGGGCTTGTGGTTTGAATGATGTTTTAAGAATTTGATTGAAGATCTAAAGTTTTTGTCTACTTTGGAGGTTCGATGTTTAGCATAAACCAGACATCTGGCAAGCATAAACGATCGGCTGCAGTACCTGTTTCTCTTTTCAGCTATCATCGATTAAGATACAGAAAAACAGATTCATTCAGTCTCACTCATACTTCGTAAAAATCCTTTAGTCGAGGGTGGCGGTTTGGGGTGAAAGGGAGCGGAGCTAAATTCTCACTACATTCTTGAAATGACACCCCGTCGGCAACAGACAGCTTAGATGTTTAAATTTGGACGAGAACAGTCGATATTTTGAATCTTTTCAAAAAAAACAGACATCGAATGATCTGCATACACATTTTGAAAAACTCCATGCTTAGCGCTGCAGTAAAAGATCAGTCAAATATTGTTAGAAATCTAATACTACAACATACAAGTACAAAAAATAAAATTATTTGCGGCAAGATTTTGCAAATTATCAGCATTAGCATTTCTGTGAGATGGTCGACGAAGTATTGTCTGATTCCTAACGCCACACCTGCCCTTATTTATAATTACAGCACATGGAACTTTGAAATTTTGATAGATATCAAGTGTCATGCTCATTAAGTACTTAATATTTTGATCACTATTCAGAGGAAGTATAACATGTGGTTATGTGTTCGATGCTTATTTTTTTTAATTACACCCATTCGTCTATACCTTTGACAAGCTTTTTAGGATAACATATCAAGATTATACCATATTTTAAGTCTTCTTGCAGGGAGGGTGGCAGGGGCGGATCTAGTGAAAATATTGAGCGGAGCAAAATTGGGGGGAGGGGGGGCTGAGGGAGGAGCCTCAAGAAATTTTTTTACGAGCACGCCCTTTAGATTCTTTAAAAATACTTCATTGCAAGCTGTTTCTTTCAAATCAATTTAATTGGATTGTTTGAACGGTACATAAAATGTTAAGGAGGCTGTTGATGGTAAATTTTGAAGCAAACGTGAAAATTTTGAGAAATTCCAAGATATGCAAATTCTGACGGAGATAACTCTTCTTATTACCCTGGCTTTAAGTACTGTTATTTTTATCTGTTTAGATGATGTTTCTCTGGAAGACGATGACGTTGTTTTTGTTCCTGGTGCCAGTAGAGGTGCTAATGAAAATAATGAAGAAGATCCGGGTACTTCCTCCCAAGAAAATGCTCAGGAAGGTATTAACAGTGCCGAAACAAGTGACAGTGAGGGTGTTGTAGTTTCATCAGCGCCCTCAAAAGCTTTAAGTGCTTCGTCCGTAAGTATTTTTTGTCACATTTCGATGTTTAAACGTTTTTGTTAACAACAATCCTTTGCGTGCCTTAGGCAGAAAGAAGCAGACTCCACAGGTGGGTTGAAAAATGGCGATGGAAAGGCTCTCCTTTATTTCATTCTAACAACAATAGTTTTGTTGACGTGAACATCTTACATCTTTCACGTCCTATTGGAGGACTAGCACCTACTGACTGTCCATATCCTAATATCTGCTGTTTTTAGCAAGGGCCTAGGCGACATTATGGTTTACTTCACTGCCTGGGTTTATGCTTACGGATGTTCTTAAACTTTTTAAGCTTCAACTTGCGATAATTTTCATTGTTTTTTTTTTATAATCCACGAGTCAGTATCGCCCGAAAAGCCACTTGAGTTGGAATTATTGTATTGACCCATAGTCTGTTTTTCTCTGGAATATGTTTTAGAGAAGCCTTTAAGTGATACATTTACGTTGGTAACTGTGCACTGGTTTGCCAAATCGATTGTATAGTTCAGCAAATATTATAGTATGTTCTCCTTAAATCTAAAGGAACATAGCACTAGTAATCTAAAAGGTGCCGATATCTTTCTCTTTCCGGAGGTAGTATTCTTCTTTCACAGCTGTTCTGATAAATTATGAAACAATTTCCAAAGAACTCGCTTTCAGTACGAAGAAACTTATACAATGAATAAAGATAACTCAAACCCTTTTCAATAACAGATTAGCAATAAAACATGAAAGGTTATTTAAGCCAGGCTTCTTAGAATTTCGGCTAGTGATTTCAAGAATATTTACTCTTATCCACGCTCATCAAATCGGCTTCTTCTACGTCACTTTTTCGCAAAGTCACTGTTTTATCTGATGATTTTTCAAGAGCTCAAAACAGGATTTGGGTTTCTTGCAGCCTCTTTGGAAGAAATTTTTGTCTTCTAGTTTGGGCAAGGTCACAGGTGTTTATAGATCTCGAATAATTTTTTAGATTGGAGAACGACAGGTTTTATCGTTAGGAGAGTTGCATGCTTCTATTTCAATCTTTAAAGGAAGTATTATGTTATATAGAAAATAAAATATTGCAACAATCGATTCAAAATATTGAAAATGCTCTGCTGTGGTTTTTGTCCGGAGATGTCTGAAGAGTGAATTTGTAAGCAATGATAGAATGTCTTCTGTTTTCCCGTTTAATTCGAACTTGAAATAAAACATGGCAGAGCTATAATGAGACGCGCTCTTATCTTGGACCTTAGTACCGACTTTAGATTAGCTCCATAATCGGTACTCGGTTCCAATAGCTCGAAAATCGAGCTTTCTGAGCCATATTTGTTGCAAGCTCGTATTTTGCTTTGGAATTCCGCTGAGTGGAAACTGGCGCAAGAAACTGACTTAAGGGAGCTGGCCTGAGTAGAAATTCTTATCTCATAATTGAAAAAACCTAAGGGAAGCTGGCCAAAGGGAACCAGACTCTGCCTAAAAAAGAATCGAGAACTAGAGTGTGCCTAAGTGAACCAAAGCGGGCCCAAGAGAACCGAAGGGGGCCCAAGAGAACCGGAGCGGGCCCAAGAGAACCGGAGCGGGTCCAAGAGAACCGGAGCGGGTCCAAGAGAATCGTAGCCGGCCTAAGGGAACCGGAAAGAGCCTAAGGGAGCCGGAACGTGCCTAAGGGAACCAGAACGGGTCTAAGGGAACCGGAACGGACTTAAGAGAACCGAAACGGGCCTGAGAGAACCGGAACAGGCATAAGAGGAATCGTAGTCAGCCAAAAGGAAATGGAGCCATTCGGAGATCCGGCCTGTGAAAAAGCCAAGATGCTAGAAGTGTTATAAAGTTTTCAGCAAATTGAAATCAAAACTCTTTATCTGATTGACCGCTTGTTGATTGGCGGCTTTATCATATCAAGTCCAGTTCACTGATAAGATTTCGAATTGGACCAGTGTGAAGAGTTTTTTTTTGAGTGACTACATACAATGTTTTCCTATTTTGGAGCAAGCACCCCACTGAATATATCTCGGGTCCGCTGATTGTCGCCAGACTTGTTTTTCATTTACGCCTATTTACCCATTAATAATTTTCACAATTTTGTAGAAGAGAAAAATGGTAGTGACCATCGAAGTTGGCAGCTTGATGCTTTATGACAATGCAGCGGTGTATAGTATGGACAATCAAATGCAGCTCTACGTCGCGTACAGATTCTTGGACGAAGACCCTGCATCACTGGAAACCCCAGATTCTTTGCCATTACCGAAGCCAAATAGGCCAATCCATTACAACTTCAAGAAAGGTAGCCTTAGTTTTCAATATTGATACTGCCGCCTTCTTTGACAGCTATTATGCGCTTCTCCCTTACCTGCATTGCAAATTAAGAACCTTTTACTAAGGTGCGTCCCTATTAAGCGCGGTCTTTTCTAAAGCATAAATGTCTGTTATCTAGTTCGGCTTAATAAAGCCTTTTTGTAGAAAGTTTGGAATCTTGGATTTTTACTGTCATTTTTTTCTTTTTGCTTAAGAAAATATCCATTTCACTTTGAAAAAGAACAGAAGTACTAAAAAGTTGCTTGTTGATCGCATTAAGCGCAAAACTCACGAATTTGCAACTTAGAGTCATTCTGCTCTACACACCAATATAAATTCCAAGATAAGGGTTTCAAGTAAGGGCCTTCTTGTCGATTAGAAGTTACGATTTTGCTATCAATCACCTGGTACGTGGATTTTACATAGGTTTGTGACAAAGAGTAAGAGCTATTATAATAACTAGACATTTGAACAATAAGATTGTTACTTTGGTTGACCAATGTTGTAAGCAATTTAAAAAGGTGGCACTAGACAATTTTACGGAATGTGGTTTGAAAAACATATCATACTTTTAGAGGACATTTGGACCGCAATAGAACGGCATAAAATACCTCTCGATTTTCAAAATAAAGTAGATATGTTCAAAATTGGGTGAGATATGGCTAATAGAAAGTTTCAAGTTTGCTAAAGGATTCCTGTTGTTCTGGTTCATAAAGTTATGAACCAAGAGGTTTGATGGGGGAAAGAGCCTGTGCTTATGTGGCCATATCTCAGCCAGTTTGTAACACCTACAACTGATTTTGCACGTTTAGAGGTACTTCATAATGCTCTTTTGGGATACCGTGAATCCTCGAATTAGCCCCCTGGGGGCTTATTTATTTTTGATATCTTTAGATGGGGGCTTATTCGAAGGGGAGGGGCTTATAAAATTATAGTAGACACCAAGAAGACATTATTAAAAGACCTCGTTTATTTCATTAGAAATTTCATTATGAGCATTTAATTAACTACTACCAAAAGTATGAATTTGTTGTGCTAATTCAATAAAACGCCAAAGGCAACCTCAGATGGCAAAAATCATCAAATGGAGGGGTCCAATTCGAGAGTTTACGGTAATAGTGGGGGTTTATTCGAGAGGGGGCTTATTGAAAATTTGTAGTTCTAAGGTGGGGGCTTATTTGAAGGGGGGCTTATTCGAGGGGGGGGGGGGCATTTCAAAAATTTACGTTAAATTGTCTAAACTTAAAAATTCTAAAAATAAATGTTTGTGACGTTATCATCATGGTACACTATTAAGCTGTGTATTTGATTTCTGAAAAGTGAAGGTCTGCTTTAATTTCAATGTGTCGTTTTGCTTTTTCTAGTATTCTATGTCGACAACGAGACGCACGAATACCAACATCAGCAATTAATGAGTATGCTAATGCCGGAACATCCATTAGAAGGGAAGTAAGTCAACATTTTTCACTTCAGACGTAACTTGTGAAAAAAGATCAAATGTCAAGTCTTTTGCAATTCATTGCCAAATTATCTCTTATAGTCGCCAACCTTAGTTGCGTAGACACTATTGTAAACAGAAAGAGCTCTAACCCTTGTAAACCATTGTAAACCATTTGAAAGAGTTGTAAACCATTTTCTCTAGGAAAATCTTTACATATTAATTGATATAAGTTCATTAATGTTTGAAATAATTGGTTTTCTTCAAACAGTAGGAATTCATCAACAAAAGGGTCAATGTTTAAATATTATTCTTTTAATTGTTATTCTAATGTATGGAACTACTAGGAAACAGCAGGTTTAGCGAAAGATCCTTGAATCAACTAACACTTATACCACCAATGGCAAAGTCGTCTTCCTATAAATCGCAGTCTCTTTGAAACCAAGCCATAGCCCCTTCTTCCTTCACGCCTATCTAGTTTTAGATATGTATATACATTCTATAGTTCAGTGGAATGCTTCTTTCAAAATTCTGATCGATATTTTCCGTAGACTATACTTCAGCGTCGTCACAGAGCCCGTGGATGGTGATATATGCGAGGATGCTGGGATAGCATGTGTTGACTTCATTCAGGTAACTCTTACTTGCTCAATAGATTTTGATTAGTCTCTTGGAATCAGCAGTTGCATCTGCCCAAACCGACTGTAGTTGCAAAGACAGGAAGGTGAAATTATTTTGCACTTTAGGTACCTCGGTATAAAGATTCCTTTCCGTCATGCTCATACCAGAGCGAGATTTCCAGACCAACAATTCCAATTGGAAATGGTCTTATACTTTCCAAATCTTATATTTATACTTATTCTTCTAATTAAACTCTAAAATATTTTATACAACATGGATAGAGAGTAGAGACTCTTTGAGTGCTAAAAGCATCTCTTCAAACCCGCCTTCGCATAACCTAAGAAATTTACTGCTTTTTAATCAACCAGCTTTTTAACATAGAACAGCATTTCAGGAAATCAAAACAAAAGAATGACCAATTCGCATTTTTTGCACATGATTTGATGTGCCTCAATACCTCTTTATGACATTAAAACAAGAAGGTTTCCATTTCAGCTCATAATCAGAAAATTCTCATAAAAAATATATAAAGCCATAGCAGCAATAGTCAGCAGTTTATTAGCAGAGCAAGCTAAACATTCAGCGCAAACGTTGTAAACTTCCCTTCAAGCATGTCATTGTATATATCTGCAAAACACGCTGGTTTGTACGTCCAAGCTCAAACATGCAAAACAAGCATGTCCAAGCTCAACATTTCTTACGCATTTTCAAAACAGAGGTCATTCGCGAATTTGTCGTTCTGCCTTTACTGTATGTCAGATCAAATCGTAGGAAAAAACACGTTAGTCTTACGATACCTTTAATCTAAAATTCAAACATATTTCATGACAGGTTTTTCTGAACTTTGCTAATAACTTTCCGTTTTCTAGTTTATCAACTACAGATTCGTTATGATGCCTAGCTATTTTTCGGTCCCTTATGTTGTCATTTTTTTATTATAAGGCAGTTTTTGTGGAATTGCTAGATTATGCCATCAAAGCTGTTTTAAAGCCTCCATATATATCTCCTAAACATTTGATATAATGTTTGTGTATATGATTTGTTGTATATGATATGATATGATGTGTATATGATATGATATGATATGATATGATGTGTATATGATATGATATGATATGATGTGTATATGATTAGGTTTGTGTATACGAGTCATCATGTGCAAATCTGTAACTTTATCAAGCCTCTAAATCATTATTAGAGAACTGTCAAATTAACAGGTGTTTAGAAATAAAGCCATTTGTCTTCCATGGTTTGCATAAATTTTTTCTTCTTTCTCCATCTAAGGCTCGCCAGTGGCAAAATTTACTTTCAAAAGATGCTCAGAAACTCATTCATTTTTCAGTTTCTTGCACTTGCAATGGGAAAAGTTGCACGTATTGCTTTGCCCTTGCCAAAAACCAACTTTTTCATCGCACCCATTCTTTGAACCTTTTATAAGTTTATTTTATTATTTTTGTGTCTTTATTTTATAATGTCTTTGTGTATCTTTCGCTATTTTGTTGCCATTCGTTTTATTTATGATATTGTGTTTTAATTTTTTGAAAATTATAAACTGGGTAAAGAAATTTTGAAAAGTTAAACAACGCTTTTAAGATAAACAATTTTCACCTCTGCTTCCTCAAGCCTTTATCGAATTCTTATGCATAGAAATCGCTTTTAAATGTAAGCTATATTTTTATTGATTAATCTCAGTGGTTACATACTTTCATCTTGAGGATATTTATTCTAGATACTCAGAGAGGGTCGTGATTTAGTCGATGAAGATATAGAAGGTAGGTCATTACAAACTTTATTATTTCATCAATTTCTTTCATTAGCGAGCAAATTTAATTCTGTTTAAGTAAGCTCATCCCACGTTAGAAACCTTTCCTTATGAACTTGGCTTTTCTCTTGATTTCTACCACTAAATAAAAATCAGCCCTTGCCCTACCTACGTTTTTGAAACTAGACTTCACTTTTTTGTTTGAGGAAAAGCTAATGAACATACGCACTTTGCGTGGGTACACTGACGTAGATGAAGATCGAGTACAGATGTACACAGATGGGTCATGTTTTTGTGAAAAAAGTGTATTGATTTCCTCACTTTGGCTTGCATTGTTGTCTTTTGCTCCTCCCATTCTTTCATTTACCCATTACACATATGGTTTCACGACGTTATTGCTGCCCTTGATAATTACGTTCATTGTCTGGGGAAGTGCTTTCTTAATAGTTTTAATGTATGCTGTTTACATAATGTTCTCTAAAGTATCCAAGCACGTGGAGTTCTAGTTTTCCGTGACCTGAAGATGAGCATCGGTCTACTCGTAGGTTTTAAAAACAATTAGTTATACTGGTCCTCAATTTGATCTACAGTTAAACCTAATTGAAGAGATTACTTTATGTAAGAAGCACCCTTGAATAACGGACGTCTTTCTGCAATGAAAGCCTTGTACTAGTAACCTCCCAATAACAGTCATCTCCCTACAAGGTTCACCTCTCTACCCCAGTCACCTCCCTACCCCAGTCACCTCCCGCCAACGGTAAACTCCGTACAACAGACACCCTACTAAATCCTCACCTCATTTAAGCAGTCACCTCCCTACCCCAGTCACCTCCCGCCAACGGTAAACTCCGTACAACAGACACCTTCCTAATTCCTCACCTCATTTCAGCAGTCACCTCCTTACAACAGTAACCTCCCTACAACTGTCACCTCTCTACAACAGTCACCTTCTTCAAAGGTCGCCTCCCAATAAATTGGCTTAGCACTGTGTCGTGACGAGTTTTTCGGCGTTCCACGTGACTAAAATCATGTTCGGCAGTTAAGCCAAGTTGATTATAAATTGATTTGCATTTGTCAAGATTTAACTAATAGCATCAGTTTACATCATCGTAGCCATGTGAATGAAAATATCTATTCTTTAATCCCTTAGCGGCAAAATTTGTTATAAGAGATGCTACTTTTAATATTTTTTTTTCGATTTTCCATTTTTCGTTTACATTTTAACCTGAAGTCTCGTGACTTTTTTCACAATTTCCCTCAATGGTTCAAATTTTGATGTTACCAAAGACCTATTTGTAGTTGTTGTCAAAACTTTTGAAATCATTACATCTTGGTTGTCAGGTTAATTTGATAAAGAACAGCATCTACTAATACCCTTCCAAAAATCTGAAGTGGATGTTTTTCAAAGTCTATGATATATCTTCAGTTTTAGATCTGCAAGGAGAATTAATTGGAACTCTGACAGTGACTGTTGAAGCATTAGATGCTCTGCAAAGTTTGTATGAATGATAATAAAGTTTTGTGAATAGAGGGTATTGTATAGAACAGAAGATTGTAAATATGTTTATATCAAGCTTTTATATCTCTCGTTTATTATTTCTGCAAAAGTGACCCGGTTTTTTTTGAAATACCATTTTCAGTACTTTCTTTAAACTCATCGAATTGAGAATTTCTTCCATAATCATGCAGTTACGGGAAAAAAGTTACTACACATATTTTTTTTGCTGAAAACCAAGCCTAATAAACTTTTTTGTTTTTTCTCATAGCTGCCTATTTATGCTTCTTTCGGGTTCCTTTTTAATTCCATCTCGTTAACTTTCCTTCTGGCTTAACTTAGATGAGAGAAATTTATAAGAGTAACTTAGATTAATTTTTGCAAAGCTCGTGTCAAGTTAAGCTCCATTTACACTTCACTGTTCTTGTACCAAAAATGGCGAGAAAAATTTACGTTTCGGTGAGTGTGTCCACTTTCTGGAGAGAATCTACCTCTCCTTCGCATTTCCTTTCCCCCGTTCTTCATCCTTTGACTCTCTGAGGCTCTGGCACCCAGGGTAGAGAGAATCAAGCAAGGACGGAAGTTTTTGAGAATGGATAACAAAAACCAAGCGCTATAATTCACAGATGAGTTTGACTTTGAGCTGGATATCCACAAAAAACAGACGAAAATGTAAATGAAGAAAAGGGAACGGAGCCTCAGTAGAAAGCTTGTGATGGTTATCATTTCCATGAAAAAGATTGAACCACAAAGTCTTACTGTATCATTGGAACAAAGGCACTGTTTCATCGTGCTATGCCTCTTTTAACACAAATTAGATGTTTAAACATTTATCCTTTATCATCGATTTGAAATCCTTTATCTTGAAGAAATTACAATTACTTCTCATAATCTAAATCACCATGAGTTAAAAATCTTGTTATTAGACCCTTTCTGCCATTTATATTAACGAAACAGCAAGTGATGCACAAAAGTTTTATTGATTCTATGTTGAAAGAACCAATTTCCGAAAATTATATCTCAATAGTGAAATGAGGTTTCTCGATTTTTTCATTATCTTTGATGATAAAGGGATAACTATTACAGAGTTTAAATTGTTTGTTTCTGAAACGCCTTGACCAAGAACTGTTTAACGCAAATTTCAGAACATATTTGACTTGAATTGGCATTTCAAAGTAGCATCGAGATTGTAAGTTTGCTTTATTTCTTTCATCACTTGCAAAAGTTTGTATCAAAATGGAATGCAGTAAAGACTTTTGCTATTTCGTGTTGCTGGGAACTGTTGGCGCCGATATTTTTGATACCTTTTTGTACATTTAAAGCAGTGGTCATCGATACAATCATTTTGGAACACTCTCACAATGACGTAGAGCGTTTGAGTACAGTTTCGGAATAAGGATATAGGTAGGCTGAATTTGAATATGGAAATTTAATTTATTTTATGAGAAGGAAAAAGATCTTCCGATGTCTCTGATTCCAGCTTGAATCAATCTTTGTTCAAATCTGAAGGATCTAGCTGACATTCTTTAAAATGTGACAATTGAATAATGTTGATGATTTACTACTGTCCGTTGCCCGTTTTTGTACCACTGGCCTCCAAACTAATACCACAACATTTTTCTACGGGCTTTAATCTTGTTTTATGCAGACTTGAACTAGTGATGTATACCACAGTTCGTTTGAAATTCATTCTACCAATTGGTGAAGGATGTTACCTTTGGAAATAAACTGGAATCCTTCTAGCTAAGCGGGGGTAGGACCTTTAGATGTGTACTTGAAACTTTTTTTCGTTCGTGCTGAGAACATTTTATTAGAAAATCTTTAAGAGGTTGAAGAATCTTTCTTATTGTGGCCACGCGATACTTCTTTAAGAACTGCTTTTTTAATCTGATACATTGATTAAAACTTTTAACGCGCTAGCTAGCAGTTTTGATCACATCCAATTTGGTACTGCCATAGTTGATATAGTGAATGGTATATCAACAATGGTACTGCCTTGTTGTTCGTTAACTGACCCATAGTTGATATCGTGGGTCAACTATGGCAGTACCACTATCATTGACCCATATCAACTATATCAACTATAACTATATCAACCATGATATACCCAAGAATGAGAATGACGTCACGCAACGGTCTCTGCTGTACAGACCTTTCCTCTTGACTTGAATTCACTTTCCTGTCAGAATCCGTCAAGAAAAACTAGTGAACGACCAATATGTTTTTCATACTCTTTGCACCTGCTTTACAAATTATAAAGAGTTAAGCGCTGCTTTTGAATATCAAACGCCAATGAATATCTTAAGTATTCAACTTTGATGTGGATTAAAATGCTTCCGTGGCATGTTTTTGATTGCCATGCTCAAAAAACAGAGCAAAACTATTGCTATTCTGCTTCACAATTGAGAACTGGAATTAGGTCTGCCAATTCTTATTACCAACCGTGATTTTTTTGGTGGAGCGATCTACAAAATGCAAACCAAGACTTTCAAGTCGTAACGACATTTCCTTACTTGTTTGTTTTATTGTTTCATTCCTATCATTGGAAAGGGATAGGTAAAAAATTTGTGTTCACTTTCAGGAAGCATCTATACATTTACAATATAGACTCTTCCCATTATGACGTCATGTGCCTTTAAGCCTGCATTTCGCTTCGCGGCAAACTCTTGCCTAAAGCAAGTCGTACTTTGCTGCTCAAAAGTAGCACTTTTTACCATCTGCCGTAAAACCACAGAAAATCTTGCTAATTTTGTCGCCCAGCATTTCTCTAGTTTTTTCAAAGCTGTAGGCCGTGGATCACTGTGAAAAAGTATTTGCAACAGAAGATCCTTGCGATCAAAATAGGAATAGTTGCATTCGAGCCTGCAAACAATGTTGAAGGAGCAAAGCAAGTGGATGAGATGGCTGAACCATCTCAGTTGGAAAAGACAGTTGGACAAGGACCCTGGCCCTACTTTCAAAGTTCAGCAATAGAATGACACCCAAGGTATTCGGACCAAGAAAGAAGGAGACAAAGTACAGAAAGAAGGATACAAGCGTGCAAAAAGTAAGAGATTGCGATTTCTTGTAAAGGCAAAATCGAGATTAAATAGATTTGAATTTCACTTAGCTTAGGCAGTGATGACATGCTCCACCAGATGCAAAAGTTCTGTCGTTAAAGTTTCTTTTCTTGTCCTTCAATAAGCGAAGGAAACGAAGAAGAGAAAGAAGCCTCTTGTACATAGCCTGTGCCTACCAAGGTTCACTTTTGAAAAAAGTCCAGTTGAACTAGAAAGCTCATTGTAAAAGTTTAGATTGGCAGACAGGCCTTCGTTGCTCTTTTTGGCATAAGCCCTGCTCTTTGTTCAGACAACAAGCTCAAGAGCTTTGAGGATATTGGCTGGTAGTGGCCTAAATGGTAAAAAATTGCAATACTCAGTTGCATTACGTCCACAGATGTCATCATGATGTGCCACACCATTGGGTAAGTACGAACAATTTATTTGGAAAAGATGAAATACGTAGCTGTTGAAGAATCGATTGAAGTTTGCCTCGAAACAATACTGTAAAGTGCAGAGCCAGCACATGTAAGTGCGAAGCAATCTACAAATTACTTTTAGTTCTAAGGTTTGTAATTTTAAATTTGTACCGACCTGCATCTGGTCAAAATTCAAAGAATCGTTGCTACTTTAAAAAAATTCTCTATTTCTAAAAAAATCTCTTATCTTCACAGCATTTTTACTATGCATCTTAAAGTCATCGTATTATGTTGCGTCAAATTGTCGAATGCATATTCCTATTCACCCAAGGTTGGTATGCTTCTCTGTGCAAGATATATCGCCCTATCAACTCTGCTATTTGTTTTGTTACAGATAGGCCCTCAGTTTTCATTTATGTTATGAAGCCATTTTTAATGTATTTATCGTCAGTAATGTTTTTCTACTAGTTTCAATTTCTATCTGGCATACATTTTTGCCAAGTTGAGATAAACTGTTTCTCGAAATGCATGCAATGCCTCGCATTGAATTTTGCTATACAAAGTTGGCTGCCAGTTCAATGAGCTTTAGCCCACCGCCTTCCTAAGACCTTGCTGCTAATCTGTGAAGCATACATACTAGGACTGATGGTAGAATGACGCAGCAATGCTATTTTCATTTCTGCACCAGAGCTGTTGATATAATGTGTCTCTGCGTATAGAACCAACAGGAACGGAGCTGATGGAAGGTTTGATTTTACTAGATATTAAGTTTCTCGAATGTTTACTATAATCTTCTAACGTTGAAGTTAGTGATATTAGCTCCGAAAGGGAAAGGCAAAGTAGAGAGTAAAGGAAAAAAACTATATCACACATGACAAATACTGTATGCATGATGCGTGATTGTATATTTTTGTAGGGAATGTGCCTGGGGATATGTTAAAATTGATTTTATTTTTTGTGTTTAAAATCATCAGTGTATTATTTCGCTGAATTATCTATTAGGGAACTGGATTATGGGATTGGTGATACGGACCCAAGTCTGCTTTGGCTTCCTATGTGTGCAGAAAGTGGTGTGGATTGTATGTTAACATTTTCAAATGCTATGTACCTAAGTACCTTGTGGGGGGTATTTCTCCTTGCAAACAGATGTTTAAAGTCTGATGAATTCGCAAGTGTTTTTTCTTGTTACCTTCTTTTGCTGTCATTAATTATGTAGTCAATCATCCCTTGATAAAAAGCAACCTACCCCATTTCCTGCCAAGCACTTGTTCTAATTTCCTTCATATTTTATTCATCTTTTTGATGAAAGAACGAGACTGAAAAACCGTCAGTTGAAATTTGGAATTGCTTATTCACTGGCGAATGGAAAGTCTTTTTTGACTGCAGGCTTGGCATAAAAAAGTGAACAATCTGAGTGAAACAGCAAGATCGAGCTCAATATTTGAGATGAAAGCAAAATAAAAGGACAGGTGCTATATACATCTTTAACAAACTCACACTTGTACGTTGCAACCTGCTGCCAATAATAGCTTCGGTAAACAAACAGAAGAAGCCACTTGTTTCAGTCTATTTTGCTCGTATGCGCTCGTTATGGTTGATCTAGAAACAATTAGGGCGCGATTTGTTTGAAACAAGCTCAGGCTTAGAACTAAGTACGGAGCTTTCGACGGCCAATGCTTTCCTGTACAGCTCGTTAATAATGGCTTTTGATGATATCTGTCGAAAAGAGAGTGCATATACATATTTAATGAGTTGTTCAGTTTCAACTTGATACGAGAGAACTCTCCCCTCGGTATTCAGTTGAAGGTTTCAACTGCCTCAATCGGTTGTGCGTTATTGGTGAGCTCTGTAGAGATTTGGTAAGTTACCCAATTCTTCTTCATGCATTTACACTATATTTCCTTTCTTGAGCTGTACAATGCTTTAGCTGGCCAACTGTTATCTAATTAGGATTTTGATTGATCATTTTCTTTCCGAAGTTCATATAAATCAAATACTGAATTTGGAAGGACGGCTGACACGTGTATTGCGTTGCTGTACCGTGTTTGTTTCACACGACTTCGTTTGGTCATGAGTGTTCATCTTCAATGCAATAACATGAAAATAATTTTTAATTTCACCTGCCATTCATTAGCTTTTTTCTTAAAGCGGTTGACGAGAAACAGCTTGAATACAATGAACAGCACGAACGCGATGTTAAAACAGGAAACTCGTTTATTATTCTTTTTAGTCAAGAAGCGCAGACAATGAACTATGTTGGTTCACTAGTTCTTCTTCAGTATCTTCGGCTTTATTTCTGCGTTAACCTCAGTTCAGTTGATTTATGTTGCTCATTTCCAGTTTCGGTTTGTTCCTTCTGGCATCACTAATCTGAAGAACAATGCTCTTATCTGTAACTTTAATCAAAGTAGTGATTGAAAAAGAAACAGCAACTCACTTTTTGCAATACTTTTTGAAGCTTATTTAATTCGAGAAAGAGCTGTCATTGAATGAACCCAGCTTTTATTTGCATGCTTTGTGCATCGCAGTACTTTTAAATATCAACCGCTTGAAAATGTTTCAAAGCCAGCACACAACACCAGCCAATCGTTGTTATGAAACTAGCGAATTTTTAAATGAACTTTAGATAGACATTTATCAAATGAATCGGATTCCGGTCAACAACATGATTAAAACAAAGATAAAATAATCTTGTTTATACGGAATATGCAGTAAGCAAGGTTTCTATTATCAAACCTACAAGCTTCCCGCTGTTTCAACTAACACAAAATGTGTTAACTTCCAGTAAAAGGAGAAGTGATCCTACCTAGAAGTAAAATTGCCCTGAGGCATCTTTATAGAAAATTTGGCTGGCAAGGTCCTTCGCTTGCTGCCTAATGACTTCTACAATATTGACACAGGGTTTCCGTTCACAGCATGATGGAAAGATGCTAAAACGGGAAACAACAATCCTAAAAATAGAAAGATGTTGATCCCTTGAAGTTTTGACAAGTTCCCCTTGTCCCTTTAGCTTGCTGCCTAATCATTTTTGCTCTTCCATAACAATTTTTTCACATTTTTTCTTTCTTTGAGGTCTTTTTGTTATTTGTCTTGTATATATCTTTGCATCTAACTGGCGATTTTTGAGCATGTTACTTAACGAATATACGAATATATTAACACAACAAAAACTATCTTCGCAAACAAGACCAATTTCAAAAATGTCCCCGAAATTTTATGGAAATAAGAAATGTTTTAAATCATTCTTGTTCTCGGTACATGGTCTGCTGCCCAGTTTTGCATTAATCAGTCGCGTTTTCAGACGTCAGTCCTGCGTCACTCTCAGCTGTTGTACCTTCGTCTTTTTATGTTTAGGGCGTACTCAGTATGATGGGATAGCAATTGAAATAAGAAATAATTGAGTTGCGACTTATGTAATCTTGGTCTCAGTGTCTTTAGACAGTTGCTGCTCTCCACAGGCTGAATACCGCATTTCTTTGATTCTAAGTCGCTGTTTTCAGCAAGCAGCCATCCGCTATAAGCCGCAAAAAATAAACCTCAGTAGAAAATAGAAGTCGCTTTTTAATACGAATTACTATTCACCGGTCGAACCTTCGCATGTGCAGACTCCATGTTGGCTTTTTTCTTTCCAGGTTGATTCGCGCCGAAATTCAATTATAGGCATGCGCTCTCTGCCAAAAAAGGGAATTGTGGGATTGAAAATATATTATACATCGAGTTCGGTACATGAAAAGTTCGTCGTTTGAAACCCAGCCGCGCTTTTCTTGGGTAGCACGCCAAGATTTGCCGATCCAAATTTTTCTGCCGCTCTTAATTAAATTTCCCATATCTAATCGATTCAAACGTCGCACTCCACTTAATTTTCGATTTAAGTTCGACACATGAGAAGCTCGACGTTTGAAACTGGCCTTATCTTCTGCTCAATACCCTATAGACAGAGCTAAAACACGTTTCGGTTTGCAGACCAGAAAGTGGCAACTCCGAGTTTCACGCTTAATACGATCAGGCAACTGTATGATACATATGCAAAAAGTAATCCTCTGATCTTCTATCTCATCACAGTCAAAATTCGCCTTTTTTATTCTGCCCATTATCGCCATCTGATTCATCAGTACTTGCTCCAGTCCAGACAAGACGAGAAATCTTTGCTGGATCTTCACTAGATGTAGTTTTGACGAATCTATATCTTGAGATAAAAAACGAATGATGTATTTCTAAACCAGAAAAAATGAAATGAAAATGATTTACTTTTTTCAACCAGAAAATAACTTTGAACGATTTACGCATTTCCCAACGACAGAAAATGAGTCCCTGTCGCTGCTGAACGTCCATGAATAAAAGCCTAAACAAATTACTGAAGATATTAATAAGCCCTGGCCTTCATATGATCAAAAGATGACGCTAGTTTTCGAAATCCGTTCTAGGCAGCTGTTGGACGCTGCTTAAAGACTACTCCAGTGTAATTTGATTCAAGAACAAACTCGAAGTCATGGAATTTTGGTGTTTGTCTGCTGTGATGGAGATAAACTAATTACATTCCATTGGCAATCACTTGTTTAGAACCAGGTTAACTTTTGACCATTAGAGCTATTCGCCAGCCCCACCGTTATACAGAAAAACCTCATAAACGGAATATTCCAAGTCTAGGAGCATGGGTAGTTGGTGTTTGAATAAGGTCTGATACCTTTGATTTAGGCCATAATTTAGTGCAATGGTGAAGAGGCAGGGTACCAGAATGTCACCTTGAGGTACTCCAGATTTAGAGTCATTGCGTTGCGAAAATTTTCTTCCGTAATTTCTACTGCTAATCTTCACAGTTCTGGGTCCAGTCACTTTCATAAGAATGTAAATAAAAGTCATCTTTGCTGGGAAATTTTTAGTTAAATGGCAGAAATATAGTCGTTAAAACGAAAAAAAGGAAGTGATAAGCTTTAGAGAATTATATAATGTGATTTGATTTGATTTGATTTGATTTGATATGATATGATATGATATGATATGATATGATATGATATGATATGATATGATATGATATGATATGATATGATATTATATGATATGATATGATATGATATGATATGATATGATATGATATGATATGATATGATATGATGTGATGTGATGTGATGTGATGTGATGTGATGTGATATGATATGATATGATATGATATGATATGATATGATATGATATGATATGATTGATATGATATGATATGATGTGATGTGATGTGATGTGATGTGATGTGATGTGATGTGATGTGATGTGATGTGATGTGATGTGATGTGATATGATATGATATGATATGATATGATATGATATGATATGATATGATTGATTAGATATGAATGATATATGTGTGATGATGTGATGTTGAAATGTGATTTGATTTAGTATTGATGTGATTTTGTATATTGATATTATATTATATTATTATATTAATATTATATTATATTATATTATATTATATATATTATATTATATTATATTATATTATAATTATATTATATTATATTATATTATATTATATTATATTATATTATATGTAATTATATTATATTATATTATATTATATTATATATATATTATTATATTATATTATATTATATTATATTATATTATATTATATTATATTATATTATATTATATTATATATATTATATTATATTATATATATTATATTATATATATTATAATTTATTATATTATATTATATTATAATTATATTATATTATATTATATTATATGGTATATTATATTATATTATATTATATTATATTATATTATATTATATTATATTACAGTTCTTAGGTTGCCACAATTTCCTATATATTTGGTTACTTTTATTCTGTCTGTTTGACAACACTTTTCTGTTTGTTTTAGATATTTACTATTTGCTTTGCAAATAGCGCCTGTACACCTTTGCAAATAGCAGGCGGATTTTTTTCTGTTAATCATTTCCAGAACGGAGTTTGTTCGCTGTGACAGAAGGTCTTGAGTGATCAACGCGTCTCGTCACCTGCTCGTTTGATTGCATCGAATACACAACTGATGATAGAGAAATAGTAAATAGAGCATAAAGCGGACAACCGTTTCGCTCGGAACTAAGTCTAAAGACTACAGTTGGATATGCCGATTCCAGATTATTTTGTCGCTCTTCACTTGACAGTTAATGGCAAAAATGATGAAATGCTTGGGACAGATGAATCCGAACTGTCTACAATGGAAATTGTTGTTATCGACTCAGAGCTTAAAAAGGTATGTTTCACTGTTACGTATTCTTCATCAAGGATCCTTGTAACAAGAAACGTCTCCAAAGTCTTCTTTGCTATAATAAGCTTAGAAGTTATGAAAGCACAGATACTTATTTTGGTCTTTTTGCCAGAATTTATAATTCAATGATAATTTTCGGAGCCTGAAAATATCATAAGTTTATAACTTCGTTGCCCAATTTTGCATTATGACTATTGCTATCAAAAAGGCACAATTAATCTGAATTAAAGCTGGAACTTTTAGAAGATTTTTTCATAATTAAATGTAAAGCATGTTATGCTAAATATTCAGTATTGCAAATCTGCACATTTCGACTGTTTTTGACAAGAGCTTAACACGCTTTTGAGATTACACGATCGATCGTATTTCAAATATATTACCGCTACGCAAAGTTACTGTTTGCTATCATCGCTCAAGAGTTAAACGCCGTATCCGGTAACAGGTAATGTTGAGCCCGATTAGATCGTTGGAAAGTTTACCTGTATAATCGTATTTGAACAATTTTTGTTACTAAAACCATCTTGCACATGAAACGCCTAGTTGCCTATCCTGAGGTTTTTTGAAATTTAAATTTAGCTCGTCCTAGTACAAAATAATCTATAGTAGTTTTGATATTTTTTGACGCATGGAAGATGCATAGATCAAAGAGGTTTGTGGCAACATGAGGAGGTCTTGGATTTCAAACTTTTCATGGCGAATGCATTTCTTTAACAGCAGTTTCTGTTGCAGTTACTTAAATGCCAGTCTATTTAGGAAACCTCTGGTAAACCAAGAAGCGAAAACTTGTTTCCTGTTTTTTATTTGTTCATATTTCTATCCCTTGCATAACAGTTACTATAAGCTTCTTTTGTTGTCTAATAAAGACATCGATAGATCTTCATGTCCATTTCTTATTCAGCATGACCCCCTCTACCTATATCAATGTTGGGGTGATTTTATGGGCTAAAATCGAATGCTGGATCATTTAGCTCTCATAAGACAGCAACATTTATATGGGGGGGGGGGGGGGGGGGAGTGGAGAAATTGATATGCCGCTTTTTTGGGAAAAATTGATAGCATGCCAAATTTTTAAGACAGAATCAAGGAGTTTTGGACACGATTGTAGATTAATCTAGAGCTGGATTTCATTTTCACATCGTCATTCGGTAAACATTTGACTGCGAATTCCAACTTCGGCATCGATTGGGTCTTGGATACGCAGATTTTTTATGTTACTGTCCTCAACACTTTTTTGTTTCTCTCAAATTTCAGCAAGCATATAGATATTTTCAAACTGCATCAAAAGTGCAATGGTATTATTTTGCCTTAAAGCGCTAGAGATTTCCATGACACAATTAAACTCTGCTAGAAAGACTCTGGATTTTCGTTTGAGATGCCAAACATTCAACTTAAAGTTTCGACTTACTAGTAGGAATTACCAGACTATGAATTTTCAACATAAGCAATTTTTACTTTAAGTGGCTTGATCCTAAGCAAGGCTATTTTTGTTACTCTGTGCATAACAAAAACAGGCAACAATTGACATTTTAGATTGAGAAAGAAAGATTGATAATATACATCGTTGAGTATGCCACATATTGTAATGGAATGACACAACAAAACCAATGAATTGCTATAGTAATCTAACCGTTATAGAAGCAAGAGGGACGAGATTAGCTGATAAATAAAAGTCAATGCATCTAGTGGAGCCTGAACCAGTATTCAAGCTTTAGTGTGCTCTTTTATAGTTAGCTCCACAGGATTGTTTTAATCAATGGGTGGTTTTGCATCACAGAGTTGAGACATTAAATACTGACCTTGAAAACTCAATTTTAGGTGCTGCAGAGCGACAAGATGACAATTAGGCCTGAAACAGCTCTAGCCAAGGATGAAAAACGGCAACCGACAAAGAATTCATTCACAGGAAGCGGCAAACTGATGAGTTTCAAAGAATCTGTAGAACAGGTGGGTTGCATGCAAGGAAACGAGGTCGTTTAAAAGCGAGATTTTTAACAGCTTTGATTGCTCTTTTTAGTCTGAATGTAAAGTGGTGTTGCTAGCACAGTCGATTAAAGCTGCAAGATATTGTTTGACTCAAAACACCTTTGCAACAATTGGTAACGAATGCTAGAAGTATTGTTTATTTAATGAAAAACTTGTCTTTAGAGAATTTTTGGAAATTTATCTAGAGTTTTTAGTCTAACTTATCAAATATGAGATTTTCTATTTGTTCTATGCCACTTTTTAATACTATGGGATAATTTTCATATGCATATGCACTATTTTTATAAGAATATTTAGGCTCAGAATCATCCAATTTTTAACGATATTGCCCAGCCTTAGCGCGCATGTCTTGTCTTTTTTTGACCAGTTGTTTTGCGACGATCATAACAGACAATTGCGCAATAGACATATCTCCTTTTTAATAGGCCTGGGTTATTTTCGAGGGCGGGTGATTTTCACCTGAAACCACATCAGATTTGGAAAAATATAGATATCTCAAAGCCCAAAACGAAAACTTTATAAAAATATCGAGGCTGGACAAAGCTTATAGTATTCTTATCAAAACAAACCGTTAAAAACCGTTGTAAAATATTTTTAAAAAAACCGTTGTGAATTAAAGAGAAAATATTTTCATACCATCTCATTTTATGAAAAGGGCGAATTCAAATCATAAGAAAGCCTCTTTTCCTGACCTCTTTTCGTAAAGACTGCTTTGTAGCTTAAACTAAACAGCGCTCTCCAGCTTTACCTCCATTCGACTCTGTACTCAGCTTGTATCCCGTTCCGAGATATTCAAGATAGCTATATCTTGATGAGATTATGTTGGAAATATCTTTGGCTGGCATCCAAATTCGTTCTGGATCAGGGGCTTCGCTTAGCCATTGGTAGGAGGCTATAGACCTCTCTTCGATGCATGTAGCCCCCGCCCCGAGTGGAAGATGAATCTCGACGTTCCACCTGCAAGAACGACCAGCATCTTAACGTCTAATATTTGGAGTCACTAAAATTCTGCTTTTTCGTTTGAAATAAAACATTTGCTTTTCATAAAGATTTTTCTTGGCTCTGGCACTAAAAGCCATTTCAATTCTTTCTAAATTGTAGTTCATATTTGTTTGTGTTACTACCGACCTCTCTAGTTTTGATGTTGTTCGCAACTACTAACTATAATACTGCGTTGATTACCAAGGAATACTTCTTTTTCAGATTGGTTTGACAATCGCTACGTACACAGATAAAGGCAGCAAGACCATTTCCTTGACAGCCTGTGACAACCTACAATTTCGCCAGTGTTTGCATCCACAAGCCATTAGGAACGGCATCAAGCTAAGCATGGAGCTGCATAAGTATCACAATGTCTGTCACGAGTACACTAAATGTTCGGGAAAAAGCTTTACGTCATTGAAACAAATAGCCGAAGGTATGTTTAAAATTCGAAATGCATGTGCTTCTTTTGATGGCAGTAGCCACCAAGTGCAATACTAAAGTTCTTAGATAAAATCATCGCTTTCTGGGGTTGGTTCTATCAAGTTTTTACCTGGAAATGCTTAGATCGATAGTTAAATGTCATCGCTGTCCAGTATTTACTTTAGTGCTTCTATGAAAATGCTAAGATCGATGGTTGAATGTCATCGCTGTCCGGTATTTACTTTAGTGCTTCTATGGAAATTCTAAGATCGACAAATCACTTCAAACAATGCTTCTACAATGAAAACTTAGGCCCAGATCAAAATAAACAAGAAACTATAAAACCAGAGAAAATAACCAAACCATTCACAACAGAAGAAATTCAAAAAGCAATCAAGAAACTGAAAAATAACAAGGCTGCAGGTTGTGACAACATCATTGCAGAACAACTAAAACACAGTCCAGAAATTGTAGCAGAGGAAATAGCAACTATCTTCAATGACATGGTAAGAACAGGAAAATATCCAGAAGAAATCAAAAAAGGGATACTAATTCCACTCCAAAAGCCAGGTAAAGAAAAAGGCCCAACTGTAAACCTAAGACCCATTATGCTTATGCCTATGCTCAGAAAAACATTAGCTTTATGCATGTTAGAAAGAATAAACCCTAGAATTCAGGAGAACATACCAATAAGTCAAGCAGCATACAGACAGGGACGTAGTACCACAGAGCAAGTGCAAGCATTCAAACTATTGGCAGAGAAAGCTATCACCACAGAAGACACAGAGTACACTATAACACTAATAGACATGAGCAAAGCATTCGACACTGTGAACAGGAAGACCTTGATTGAAGACCTAAAACATATAGTAAATAAAGAAGAACTGTACATACTATCAAAGCTGATCAATGACACAGAAATCCAAGTGAAAATAGATGGAGAAGTTGGACAGCAATTCCGAACAACTGAAGGGGTAGCTCAAGGCGAAGGACTAAGCCCCATTCTATTTACTCTATACCTAGCCAAGGCCTTCAAAGAAGACAGCACAACCTACCCAAGTCAAGATCACAACTACACAAGCAATGCACCAGAAATACATCAACTAGGCTTTGAGATGGAAGAGCAGTATGCAGATGATTGTGGTTGGATACATGAAAATGCAGAAAAAGGAAAACAGAAAATAGAGAAAACCATCACCAGGCTAAAAGACAGAAATCTGAATGTGAACAATGACAAGACTGAGATATTCAAGATTAAGAGAGGTGAGACAACTGATTGGAAAAAATGCAAAATCCTAGGAAGCTACCTTGACACAGAAACTGACAATGAAAACAGAAGAAGATTGACAATAACCGCGATGTCAAAACTGCCACATATTTGGACAAAAGGAAAAAGCATCACCACCAAGAAAAAGATACTATCAAGTTTAGTAGAGCCAATCTTCATGTACAATGCTGAGCTATGGAACGTCACCACCACTCTAGAAAAGAAAATAGCAGGCTTCCAACATCGAATTCTGAGATGGATGCTAGGAGTAAAATGGCAAGAAAAGAAAAAGAACACAGAAATTGACAAGATTGCTGGTATGACATCATGGTTGGACAAAATCAAAGAAAAACGAAGAAGATGGACGGGTCACATGCTGAGACTAGATGATGAAACACCTGTAAAGAAGGCTTTAAGAGAAACTAGAAGACCTGGAAGAGCCCATAGGGGAAGAAAAAAGTACATATGGATAACACAAACAATGACCAAAGACTTTAAAGATATGCAGTTAGATGGATGGAATGAAGCTGAAAGAGCGGTGCAGGATCGAGTGTTGTGGCGAAGAACAGTCAAACGAAGCCTGAGAAACTAACTTTTTTTTTTTTTTTTTTCACTATTTGATGTACACAATGTTGTAAATACAACGGAATGTGTGATTATATATATAGATCGATTGTTAAATGTCATCGCTGTCCGGTATTTACTTAAGTGCTTCTATGAAAATGCTAAGATCGATGGTTAAATGTCATTGCTGTCCGGTATTTACTTTGGTTTCTCTCTGGAAATGCTATGATTTTTTAATACATATCAGCGCTCTCAGTCATTTGCTTTACTTGAATTTTTCTCTTGAAATGCTAAGAACTGTAAATAATTGTCATGGCTCTCTGGTTTTTGCTTTGCTCAAACGCTTGAATCCATTGTTATCATATCAGAACAAATGAAAAAATTAGAGAATTGTTGGCAATGTTCAATCATTGATGAGTCTGACTGGCTGTTAATTTGCAAAAGCGGAGATGCTTCAAGTAAACATTATTCGCATAAAGTAAAGATGGAGGACTCGCAGAGTAGTGTATTTGCAAGAAGCTTATCTCACCTTTTTGTTGAACTTTTCTTGAACGTATAAAAACTCGGTGTTGCTGTTATATCATCAATCATTTTATGTCTCATTTTGCAATTGTGAAATGCATGAAATTGCATTCGGGATCACATTGTTTGAGATTGAGCAGCAATTTTGTCATTTTAGATGCTGGTCTGGACTATGACTTGATAGTTAAGGATGGCAAGAGTCGTCTATGTTCGGAAATAGTCATTGACTTGATCAACAAAGGTAACACCAATATATTTTATCTTTCTATTCAATAACACGTATTTCACTTGTATCAAAATAATCTATAATAAAGATTCCTTGGTTTTATCGGCTGTACACAGATTCGATCCATTTTAGCTAGGGATCTAGGTCTGTGTGCAGTAGTTCTTGACTGTCTTCTTGGCAAAATGAAAAAGTATGGAGGCAATCTTCTTCTTTTGATTTTTCACTTACTCTTTTAAGAGACAGCTAGCATATTTTGCGATAAATGATAGATTAGTTTGAATTATGCAATCGAGAACATTTTGCTAAAAAACTTTGCATCCAAAGATATATTTAAGGACTTTACATAACAGTGATTTGCATTTCCTTCAACTGAAGCTTTATCAATACTCCACGTTGCAAAAAACATACTGTGCTGTTCTGTCCAATTTACTCTTTTGTTAGATTTGGTAAATTACCAGCCAGCATATTCTATAAACGCGTCATGATTCAAGTTAAACTTTTCGACTTCTAAACGGCCTTGACGCAGCCTTTTATGTAATCTCAAAAGTTGGCTGCCTGTATAATGCGTTTCTGCACGGGCCAAGACGCATGTGCTTAGATAATTTTAATGTTACACGTTGAAATCTGATGGACCTGAAGTTATAAGACACAAGTAGCATTTTTCATTTTTTTCATTTTTCCTTAAAGTTTTCCTTAAATCCATGCAGAAATGCATGGATTTTACACTTATGCTTTTCTGCATGGGGCAGCTAAATTCAGAATTTCACCGCATTTCTTTTAAAAGCATATTGACAATTGTGAGGCAATTGTTACATACATGTTCTTCAAAAAAATACATGCAAGAACATTTATGATTAATTGAATTTTAACTCGGACCTAACCGAAATGCGTGGTAGTTCTTCAATCCTATCGATGGTGCGATTGATGTTCTATGTCATGATATTATTTGAAAGAGGTGAAACATAAGGTTTTTACCTTAAAGGCTCCTAAAGGCTGGCTTGTGCCCAACACATATGCCCTTCAGGCCACCCACAGCTAGGCCCAACTTGTCCGCTATTGTTCGGCACTTGCAGAACCGCACGTGACACCAGAATCTTTTTTAAGCATTGGTTCTCATGGGTCTCATTATAACAATACTCCCTGCTATCTCTTCCAAGGAAAAATCTCCTTTGACATGGGAAAAATGCAGCATGATGAAGATATAATTTAATTGTGAGTCACCGGCTCACTGCAGACGGCTGGCTACACAGTAGGAAATTCACGAAGAATTCCTAGCATCAAAGTACCTGCTGTTTTGTGCATGTACATTTCTGCTAAGTGATCTTAGGCTGGTATTGGAATATCCATTACCCATGTAAGCAAATCGAAACAATTATCTTTTGCAGAATACGATAGTAGACTGTTGAATATAATAGCGATCTGCAGAATATCATAGCTGTCTGAAGAATATCATAATATCATAGTGGTATGCACAATGTCATTGCTGTCTGTAGACTATCACAACAGTGTGTAGAATATTATTGCAGCCTTTTGAATATCATAGCTATCTGAAGAATGTCATAATATCATAGTGGTATGCACAATGTCATTGCTGTCTGTCGACTATCACAACAGTGTGTAGAATATCATTGCAGCCTTTTGAATATCATAGCTGTCTGAAGAATGTCATAATATCATAGTGGTATGCACAATGTCATTGCTGTCTGTCGACTATCACAACAGTGTGTAGAATATCATTGCAGCCTTTTGAATATCATAGCTGTCTGAAGAATTTCATAATATCATAGTGGTATGCACAATGTCATTGCTGTCTGTAGACTATCACAACAGTGTGTAGAATATCATTGCAACCTTTTGAATATCATAGCTGTCTGAAGAATTTCATAATATCATAGTGGTATGCACAATGTCATTGCTGTCTGTAGACTATCACAACAGTGTGTAGAATATCATTGCAGCCTTTTGAATATCATAGCTGTCTGAAGAATGTCATAATATCATAGTGGTATGCACAATGTCATTGCTGTCTGTCGACTATCACAACAGTGTGTAGAATATCATTGCAGCCTTTTGAATATCATAGCTATCTGAAGAATTTCATAATATCATAGTGGTATGCACAATGTCATTCATGTGCAAGAAATATGCTAAATCAACTTTGAAATTGTAATTTATTTCCTTTTGAACTGTTTTCTCATTGATTACCTTGATATACGCAGAAACGAGACCTCAAACACAAACAAGAGGCTGATGGCCTCCAAAATCCCCGTATAGCCTTCAATTGACCAAAATCACTTGGTTCCATAAATTTCGCTCTCGGACGAGCATTCCCCTATTCTCCGCCTGGTCTATTACGTGAGAGTGGCTGAAAAAATATGTTGAAATCAACAGCGGCGTTTGTGAATTACGTATTAGATAAGGTCATGTAGCGACTCGTCTCCTCTGCGCATATCTCAGGGTCCTAATAAATTTTTTTTCTATCTTGCCGCCTGACCGCTCTGAATTTTGTCTTTGTATAAAGATTTTCTACTGAGCCTTATTTTGGCTGACTGGAAAATTTTCCACAGATATGTAATATTCAAAAAAAAGGGAAGAGGACACGCTCAATTGACCAATTATATGACTAATGAAATCTAATTTTCATCATGAAATCAGTGAAGATAAAGTAGCAAAATAATCTACCCTACCAAATATGAATTAACATTGTCTAGTTTTTCGATCGATAATCATCGGTTTAAAACAGTAAGATATAATATGCATATATAATAAACAGCAATTTGGAACGTTCAGAGTGACTCATTTTTCACAGCATATGGAAATACCGTGAGATAGATGTTAATTATGTATTACCTTATTTAAGACATATGGCATTGTTACGAGTTCATTTGAGGTTTTTGGAATTTTTACTTCAGCTTTTCTTTTTCTACGATGTATGATATTGTCAAGCATATCTTCAGCATTTGTGACCTATTGTTTTGGGTTAGTTGACTGCGTTCTTGCTATTTCATTAAAGGAAAATCAGCATGCTTATATAAGGTGAAAATAAAATTGTTCTTGTTTCGGAAAATTGGCAGAGCCCGGTCGTCCTTCCATCTAGCAGTTTTGGAGTCGATCTACATACAAACGAAAAAGCCGCCATTGTGTAAACAGAAGAAGTGCGTTTTCTCTCTTGGACTCCAGTGGTAATTTTTCTTTAGGCTCGCGGCACTGATTGGTCAACTATACCGGTCTTGTGCTTGCGTTTTTCTGATTGGCCTATTTCGATCCACAACTGGGTATATATTTTTCATCGTGTTCTTTCGGACCCTTATTCTGACGTTTTATGCTCTGAGGAGTGTCAGACGAAAAAGCTTTTAGTATGTTGTATAATGTTTGCTTTTTTCAAAGCCATTTTCAAATTCTGTACCGCAAAAAAATTGTTCAAAATTATACTTACACCACAAAAACTAACATGGGCTCTCCTAAGGTTAAAAGTAACCCAGGTCAAACAAGCGTTTACACTGGGTACTGTCGATTTTGTATTCTAAATGGGACCTGGGGCAAACCCGGGTTAGTTTGATAACGACCCATGCGTAGCTTCAAAATGTCAAGTCAGCTTGCTCCAACAGATCTTGATTTTCAGTCAGTAAAGTGCTTTTATCTTTATAAGTTTGTTTTCCTTTCCGCAGAACATTCCTTTGACGACCCTGAGGTAATTATGAATATTTTGCCACCTGGAATGAGTACTGGCCATGTTCTGGATGAAACAGTTGTCCGAGTCCGTGGTTTACCCTGGCAGGTTTCCGATCACGATGTTGCATCTTTCTTCAAAGGCCTAAATATTACCAGGTTGTCACTTTTATGCAAAAAATTTAATTGAAAACGTGTTCTGACGTACGCAATATCAGAGTCGAATGAATTATTTCAACTATCTAATTACATTATTATCCGTGTTTCATATTTCTTTTATTTGATAGAATTTTTTTTGACTGTTATTGTCAATAAATGGTAATGTCAAATAATGATAAAATCAGAAGTTACGTGATAAGAGGTAGAGAATTGACTTGTTAACTGTAATGGTTACAATATTGGAAGGAGTTTTTGCTTCATGCGGTCTTCTTGGCGATAACTTTACCAAACTGACTGAACACAATCTAACATGTAAACCAGTTGATGGCAACAAATTGCAATCCTTTAATAGATGTTTCTGATGTTATTTCTTGCTTATGTGAAGTAAATTTTGTTTATAGGGGCGGTGTTGCTCTGTGTCTGAATTTGAAGGGTAGGAGGAATGGTGAGGCGCTGGTGCGGTTTGAAACTGCGGAGCACCGTGATCTAGCAATGAAAAGGCATAAGCATCACCTCTCCGGAAGGTACATCGAGGTGAGGCAATGACACAGGGGTTCATTCTAAATGCATTGGCTGGCATCAACGTTTTTAGAGCTCGTAGACGCAGGGAGCATTTTGAAATGGGAGCATGTAAGCAAGAGATGGGAAACTGAGGAAGCTGCAGATAGAAACTGTTTCTACAATAAGGAGGGCACTTGCCATTAGTGCCCTTGTACCCCCCAGTGTTCCTAATGTCCCCTGTGCCCCCCCCCTGTGCCCCCTGTTCTCTCGTCTCTGCTTCTTCCCACTACGACCGTCTAATTTGTAAATATTCCGTGTTGGACCTAGGATGATTGTTATAAAGGAGGATCATATGAGAGGAAGAACAGCCAAACATTTTAATTGTTTTGCAATTTTTTTGAAAATGTTATTATTACTTATACTTGCTATTGTTATGGTGGTAACTACCATTTTTAGTTGAAATATCATAATGTCACTACCTCGAATGCAAACTGTCCGTCGAGGTTGAATTATTGCAGCAAATTTCAGAATCCAGCTCTATTAGGTTCAAATTTTTAGTTATTCGTTTTCAAGCTACAAATATTATATTTAATTGATTTATAGGTTTACAAAGGAAATCGCCAAGATTTTATAAAAATTGCACGAGGTAATGTTCTATACTGATAGCGTTTGCTTTGCAATTTGGCCGTTGCTATTTGTTCTTGGGCGGCTTTCTAAATAATTATTGAATCATGCCATTAGCAATTAGACACTTTTGTATTGCTATTATAAGTCAAAATATTCTTAAATGCATGTGATTAACAAATGGTTCCTTGGCAAAAATTATCTCGTTGTACAATTTAAGATAAATAAAGCCAGGTCAGTAGAATCCTATTTGAAGTTCTAGGATCATCCATAAAAGTTACAATTGATAGATAGTATTTTGGAGAAAAAAATAATTATAAATTCCTAAATCTAGAATTCAAAAGAAACCTTCGATACAATACTGAGAACTGGCCAGCTTTGGTTGATAGGAAGACAAATGTCGTTTAAGTCATCTGCCAAATATTTTTAGTTCTGTAAAAGACTGGAAATTTCATATTCCTTTACAATCTTATATTCCTTACTTCCAATGTTAGAAGAAGCAAACTGCTTTATTGCTCAAATGATAACAATCTATGTAATATGCATTCATACTTTTCCTTAAACTTACAGCAAATGCATTCTACAACACCATTTGCAATTCAAACGGTGCCATTCCTTATAAATTGTGCCAAAAAATAGATTCTTATGAATTAAGGGCCGGTTTGGATGTTACTCTGCTTTGCAAGTAGTTCACCTGGGTTTGAATGATCAGAGAATGCTCGCTCATCCGCAGCGAACGAGCTCAGAAGTACCGCGCGACCGCAGCGCATCGAAAAGAATATAATAATCTTTTGCTGCAAAGTAATTGTCCTGCTACAGTGTTTAACATGTGTTTTCTTTCAGGTCCAGTTGGAGCTATGAATGTTGCCGCGAGTTTTCTCAGTTTGGGCGGGGATGTCATAATACGAATGCGAGGCTTACCCTATACAGCTACTGCCAAAGACATTGTAAGTAACTTTTTAAAATTCATACTGTCAATTAAGCCAAGTATTTCTTAAATGTTTACGTGCATAAGCCAGCATTAATTCAACACTGTCTGCAAAAATCACTAACAGCAGCGCGAAGAAAATTCTCAACATTTCTCACATCTTGTAAAGTTGCAATGGAAGACATAATTTGGCCTTGGTCCCTTGCAAAAGTTATCTTTGTGAACATTTTTACTCAAGTATTCAGCTGAACAACTTTTTTCGAAATATTTTCAAATGTTAATATCTATTCGAAGTTTTTAAGTTTGTTATTGAATGGAAAATTACGTACCTTGGACTATGCTAGGATTCATATTTCGACGAGTTAGTCCGTAAGACAGAATTGTCGTATTGAACAAGTACAAATTTTTGACTTTCATATGTTCAAGATGCCTTTTTTTAATTTGAACGATATTCTTTACAAAAAACACGCAGTTTACTGTATTGTGCAGTTTATGCATTATCGACTTGTGTGGTGAACTTTTCTAACGTTAAGGACATCCTGGTAGATATATGATATACATTTGTTAAAGGCCGATAATTATGTACATTTCTTCTGTGCCTGCATCCTTTTTCCAATGCACTAATCTTGGGAATTGTGATATACATATACATAGATCTGCGGTTATAATTTTTCGCGAATGATTGTCTTGTTAATGAGTGTGCGAGGACATCTATTAGCATCAAGACCGCCCTCGTAATGATGAGAGAAAAGGGTGCATGTTAAAATCATGGCTGTGAAGCGACAGAAAATCAAGACCGATAGAAAAGAAAAGCCGACATGACAGTCTTATGAGTCGTGAGATTCTCTCTCCAATGTGGATCAAGGGCAATGCACCGTCTTTGGTTTCGAATGGTGCAGCATCCGAAATTTGGAATAAAAAACCTCTGAAACAGAATAGAACAGGTTTAGCAATGTACAATTCTTTGATCTTGCATCCGAAGGACAGAATGTCCATATGGGATTTGGTCATTCATTGACAAGAAGATCAAGATAAAAAACACTTTAAAGGCACTATGACTCGAAGCATTTTGATGGTCATTTAAATTTCCCATTGGTTGAACTATACAATGATTCAATTGGCAACGTAGGACTAATTCTCCATTTTTTCTCAATCATAATTCTCGATCAATTTTTTTTCGTTTCATTATACTTTATCTGTCGGGTATGTTCTCTCCTGTCCCTGTCGATTGTTTCGCCATTCAAGTCAGGCAATTGCCCTTATTTGTCTTGTTTTGTGTATTCCTACCTTTTAGTGTGTCTTTCATCCTGTGTTTTATATCAGACTTCAAACTCTCTAAAGAGATGAGCCATCCAGGGTAGCTCATATGACTCAGATCCACCAAACAGATGTTAACACAGCCCCACACACATCACTTCTCTAATATAGAACTCCTGGATTCTAGTGTTTGCATTAATGTCTCTTCATTTGATGAATGAGATGCGGCTCTGGTCTTCTCATCTGTTACACAGTCTTTTTGTACTGGCTTTCCTTATCTATCGTACAGTCTGGTGACATAAATGCCCATATATAAAATTTTTTTATACAACCACGAATTCTTGAGCTTCCAGATCTCATCATCCCTGTGATGGCTAAAAATGTACGCCTTATTACCATTATTACCATTAGATCAGGCTTAACCGTGAATTCTCTACTATTAAGAAGGTGATAGCATGATATCTTCTGCTACCGTTAAGTGAACTACCCTGAACTGACTGAACAGCAAATCAATTGTGTTAGAAAAACGTTGCTAGATCAGAAAAGGAATCCATGTCAAGTATAGCGAGCCGCTGATGATTTTCAAAGCGTTTTACAATGAGCTCAAAAAAGTACCAGAGCAGTTCAGTTACTCTAATTTTCTGTCTGTCCGCAAAACATTAATCCGAATATCGGAATTTTGGTGTGTGAAATCTTGGACTTGGTAACTTGACGTTTACCGAATAAATAAATATATCGTATTTTGAAACCCAGCACATAGATCATCGACATATGAAATCTGTGAGCTTGAACAGTGGATGGAAAAAGAGAAGAAAGGATCAACACATCTTGCAATGCAAAAATTTCTTTCACTTGATATTCTTTACAGCACAGGACTTCTTAGTGAATTCGTTCTCAGATCTAGACATTTAATGATTTACTTTCTTCATGTAGGTAGCCTTTTTTGGTAAGGACCTGTCGATCCAGAATGGTGAGAGCGGTGTACTGTTGGTTGATCATCCGGACGGCACTTCCACCGGGGACGCATTCGTGATATTCAGTGATGAAAATGACGCCAAGGTAGCACTGAAGAAACACAGAGGAAAGATTGGACAGCGCTATGTTGAGCTGTTTCGAAGCACACAGGCCGAGCTGCAACAGGTTTGTTCATGCAGTTATTCTTCAGATGCATTTAGGCAGTAATTCTTTAAAGTAAGCAGAAAATCTCAAAGCTAGAAATAGATCAGTTTGGCAATTGGGTGGTTTGGAGGCTATAGTGTTCCAAATAAGCTTGGCTTAGTATTATCTATTGTGAGCTGTCTAGTTTCCATACTGCTCAACCTGATGACGTTATTAGTTCACCCTAACCCTAGCCCTAAACCTAACCCTAACCCTAACCCTAACCCTAACCCTTACCCTAACCGTAACCCTTTACTTGAAATAATTAATCATACTAATTTATGACTATTAATCGTGCTTATTTATGACTATCAGGTCGAGCAGTATGGAAACTAGACAATTCCTATTATTGAAGCGAACAGCAGGAGGATTACCCTGGGTACCAGACTCACTATGTATAAAATGAGTCTGGTACCCAGGGTACAGAAGGATAGGAGGGAGGGGCATCAGGGTAGTATGTGCAAACATACAGAAACTCTCCTTTGTGCTTTTCTACCGTTTCATCGTATAATTAAGGAGAAAGTGGTTTGACGCCATTAAAATGATTTGTTGCAAGAGGGGTAGACTGATTCTTTTTTCGCCAAACCTATCTTGCTTTTGCTTTATTCACTCTTGAAATATGAGCCTGGCAAACTTTCTAAGTGATCTTGAGGGCTACAGCCGCGAACACTCGGATTTCTGGAAGTTAAAGCTTATTTAGCATGGAGTGGTTGTTGGACCGCTTTAATCCTGTGACGTAATAAACGAATTGAAACGTTTTCTAACACAAACTGGGTCGTTTTCTTGCGTCATATAAACAATTTATGTATAGGAAAACTTTATATTTATCATTTAATGCAAATAAGATTTTGATAACATGCAAGCACTGACACATCAACTGGATTTCAATAATCCTAGTGGCCCACCTTTTGGGAATTTCGCCAGTCTTGAACAAACCTTATGTCAGAGCTAGTCAAGTTCCGCAGGGGAGCAGTGAGACCATATACTAAGTAGTTCGAGTTTTAAGACAATATTCCTTTAAAAAGAGTAAAATCAGGCCCAAATGATCAAGATATTCTTCAGTTTCCAAAAGTCGCCATTCACCCATCCTTTCTCCCGGTCCACTACGCCCATGAATATATATATATGTTTTAACTACTTGATCCACGCATCTTTTGAGACCTTCTCGGTAAAGATGTATGTTCCAATTCAATAATTAGTCTTCTCCTGCTGGATGAAGTCAAAGACTTCTTGATAGAGAGACTGCTCCATCCATCATCATCATAAGATCTCATCTTCAGCCTTTGGCATCATTGGAAGGGGTAGGCAGGGACGCTGCAGCTCATTTTGGAGTGGGGGGCTAGGGGGCGGGGTGGCTCTAGACAAATTGGAAAACCTATATGGAAAACGTCACTGTTCAGCATATCACCTGTATATCACAGTTTAGCAAAAAGGTAAGGAAGCTATAGCCCCCTAGCTCCCCAGCTTTGGCGTACAGATAACAGGAGTCATTTGCTCAAATATCATAATATTAGGATAGTTTGTAATTTTTTCGACAAACTCCAAATTATATTTGTACAGTTTTGGTAGAGTTTTTTTCAAATATCTGTGATTCTTCATCTAGCGTAATTTTTTACCCGCACCTAGATTTGGTTCAACGTTTATCTTTATGGTCGCCATCTGACGTTGATTCGAACGAAAAGTGCTCGAATATACTTTATTCATTTCAACTACCCCGTGCTATTTTTAAAATACTATCTCAGAGTACTGCTAAGGAACATGACTAGTACTCATGTGCAGGGGGGGGGGGATTTCCGAAGGACCTTTAAAAATTGCACGGGCATCTTTTCACGCTAAATTGGTTAAAAGGACAATTTGAAGTCAGAACAACATTTCTTTGCGTAACATTGTTTAGGCCGTGCCCATAGCTTCTGCCGACCAGTGACTAAATGTCTGGAGCCATAATTCTAGGAAAAAAAAATTGCAGTTCGATAGCAGACAAATTCTTCTTTGCTGGTGCTAAATTCAACTGTACCTTTTTAGTTTGTTTTGAACAACAATATAGAAATATTTGCCTGACAGTTATTCTGCAATTTGTATTTGTTTTTACTTTTGCTCTCAGCAGATATAGAACCGCGCATTTAACCCGACTCACTAAATCCATGACCCTGAAATTTTTCCTATTCACAACTTTTCTGAAATGGTCACCCTGTGGTTACTATGACTCAAGTCCACCGCATTGTAGTGGTATCCATATAATCCAGGGTGTGTCCTCTTTACATTTTCCAAGTCTCAGTAACTGAATTCCAGTGGTGATGGTTACCCGTTACAACTTACGTCGCTATTTTGCTGACGCATTATAACCAACAATAGAAAAAAATTCGTGTTTCGACACCCCGAAATCTTCTCCAACAGGAGTGTTTTTTTTCTACCACTCTAGCTCTACGTTTGTTAAGAAAGTTTTTAAATGATCAATCCGTGATCAAATTGTCCGGCCCTTTTGTTACATAGTGCCCTACGAATTTTCTTCTTCAGGGACCCTCAGTATAGAACAATTTTAACCCGAGAAAGTTTTTCCCCGACTTAAAACAAGCCACATATCCCGATTCCTTACCTTGCCTTTCTCACTTGCAGGTTAATCTAAGAATCCGTTAAAAATTATCAGTGTGTCTGTCCAATTTTCTCTCGAATTTTCCATCGTTGCATCAATTTTCACTTACCTAATAAACCATGTTTTGTACTCTTTCCTCCAAATATAAAAAATCGTATTTACCTGCAAATCATAAGTCATTGTTGTTTTAGCTTCCGAAAGAAATCAAAATATAACTATGAACCGAATTCAATACAGCTTAATTTTGGCCGGGAAGACTTAGAGCATAATCCAGGAAAGGGCGGGGAGGTGCAGTGACACAGGATTCAGAAAATTGGGAGTGGTTCCATTGACGATTTGGTAGAGCATTCAGACTTCAGAAAAGCATCCTTTTTCGACTTAGAGAAAACGTGGTCTTAAAAATCTAATAAAACTACTTTTGGGTTTGTATTCACAGTTGCTTGTACAAAGATTGATTCGTAAATGAACATGCCTGAGGGAAGCTCTTGCATCAATGGTGCACTGTGCATAGTTCCCTCGTTCCCTAACCGTTAAAATGATATTTCTCAAAATATTGTTTTTGTTTGCTTTTTTTAATTCATGAATACAGCAATATATCGGTGTTTATTGTTGGTAGTATTAATTAGCCAAAAACAAGGAGCTTCTGCCAGGTGTCTCTACACAGGCCTTTCCGCAAACCGCTAATACTTTATAAGCTTCATTGACCTTCATTTTTGATGACTGAATATTGTTCATTAAGTATTGTACAGTGGAATCCGCCAGTGGCGGCGCCAGCTACTGCAGAGTGGGAGGGTAATGGGCGTGGCCAGTGAGACCACGCCCTAATCGCCTCGTTTCAGTGCTTTGTACCAGGTCAAATTTCCTTAGGAAATATGATCTACCCCTACCTAGTGCTTTTTAACCCGTTTTTAGACAAAATATGTAGACCATGTTTCGACAAAAGTGAGGGGGGTAATTACCCCCCATACCACCCCCTGGCGCCGCCACTGGACTCCGCTTATATTCACTCTAATTGAAATAAGTTTCGTTACGGAAGTAAAATTTCTGCGCAAAGCTTCGCTTTGACAACAGAATTCACTTCGCTTGATAGCATATTATTATCTGTTGTTGATTAAAGCACTTCAAGTTCCAGATAAATTCTTAGAATGGCATCTAGGACAAAAAGTGTGCGATAATTTCAGCAGAATATGTTCACAAGTTCTGGCAGAATATGCACTTGGTGGGAAAATTCTATCAAAGAAATTGCTGTATCAAAAGAATGGATTGAAAACATTCGAATGTGCAAGGAGAGTTTGAACTGAAGCCGTTCGTTAAGAAAAATCTGGTTTATCCGTACTCGTGTAAACGGGAAGTCTTTCCCTATCAAAAGTTGTACGGGACCGTGTAAACGCGATCTATCCGTATAACTTCTTATCCGGATCAAAAGTTATCCGGCATCGTGTAAACGAAGCTTTAGTATTGAGATATGATAAAATACGTAAATGCTTTTTAGGCAAGCGGCACTGATTGGGCAACCTCAACAGTCATGTGCTCGCGTCTCTGATTGGCCTATTTCGATCCACAACTGAGTATATACATTTTTTAGCGTAGGAAATGATCTTCTGACGTTTTATACTCTGAAGAGTGTCAGACGAAAAGCTTAAATATACTCAAATGTTTGCTTTTTTCAATGCCATTTTTAAATAATCTTTATATACGAGTCTGTCCTCAAGTTACGTAATTAGCTGGCACTAACACCCCCTCTAATTGAAGGCCATTATAAAAGCGGGGTATTTATATCATTCGATTGAAATGGGGGCCTTAAAACACGAGTTTCAACAGGCATGCGGTACTGATTGGATAAATACACCGATCATGTGCTCTCGTTTTTCTGATTGTCCTAATAATTTCCATATTCTTCTTCAGGAACCTTATTCTGATGTTATATACTCTGAGGGGTGTCAGGAGAAAAAACTTTGGTGTGCAGTAAAATTTTTGCTCTTTTCAAAGCAATTTTCAAACATTGCATATCGTAAATAAAAGCAACTGCTGTCCAAATTGGCTTATTAACTTATCAATGTTGTCTACAGAGAACATAGAGAAAAAGTAAGAGCGAAGCATTGCCCTCACCAACCAAATAAGCAACTTCAGAGAGTTAAACTGAGAAAATTGTAGTTACTTTGAGGAAATGGTTTTGAGCCAAGCTGTTTATTAAAAAAGGTATATAGGTTATAAAGGAGACTCATAAGAGATATGTCATGCAGATTTGCGTGGAAGTTCCTTCTCGCTGACAGAAATGTACCCCTCCTTATGTGCCTCTTTCTGAGTGTTTCTGGTTACAAAACCACGCCCCGAGATAGCAGTATCTGCAGTCCTTTGTTTTTAGCAAAATCACTGAAAGCCCTGTGGGAAA